ATTCCTACGCTTAGAATTACCAAATTACCACGCGTTGCATTATTACGCGTTGGATTACTACGCGTAGAATATGCAAACGCTAGATTACTACGCGTTGGATATCCACACGCTATATTAGTACGCGTTGGATTACTACGCATTGGATTACTACGCGTAGGATTACCACGCGTTGCATTACCACGCGTTGGATAACTACGCGTTACCCGTTGCTGCCACTCTCGCGTCTGCGCATGCGTAATCTCGCGCTGTGATTGGTCCGCGTTTTTCCTTAATAATTCAAAAACGAAGCTTCAAACCCCATTTTTGCAAAGGAAAATCTTACTCAGAATCGCATCAGCTATCATTTCAGAGACCTACAATTGTGAAGAACCCTATAGATCAGTTTTACTTTAAGTAAAACTAATGGCGGTCATTTTAAAATTTGAGTATCATAACAGTGCAAGCTAAAAATGAAGTGAACTTGTTATTTGAAAAATGTAGGCCATCTCAATAACTTTAAACTTTCATCTTTAGATTGCTACACTCTTTCTGATGTATTTGATACCATTTTGTTTTTTCAGGTGTATAAAATGAGAATGATATCGAATCAGCGTAACATCGACAGGAAGAATGAGACATCAGAAATCTGAAAGAACAATCGACGCAACGACGTGAAATTTGTATCCATGGATGAAGGCACTTTTTCATGCAGCTCGCACTTTTTATCACGTGCGATCGCGCGATCGATCTGTATAACGCTATATCCCGTACAGCGGCAGCCACATCCATCGCTCGACCGTCGACCCATAAATTTCAAACGTCCTCTCTGTTTCTCAGTATCGCGATAAAACCGCTTAAATGAAACTCGACCGGTGCAAGGGTGTGCGGGCGAGTACATAATGAACGTTACGTTGGCTACTCGTTTCCATACTTTTGTCCCCTGGGCGAGATTAATTCTGGCACCCCGTTACTTTTTAGCAAAATTAAAAACTTCAAATGAAAAATCATATAGGAAGCTGTCAGAACTATCACAGAGTACTTCTCATGATTTTTAAATTAATGTAATCTCAATTTAAAGTTTCGGCGAAAAGAGGGAATGTGTTCCTGGTACAAAATGGCGGACGGTGACCGATTTTGGTACTCCATGATTTCATGACATAAAAGTTACAAAATGGTACTTGTGGTATATCAAATTAAAGGTTAGAATTTGATGAAAAGGACTACGTGAACGTTCCATCGATATTTTTCATGTTAAATGGTTCTCGAACGAGAAACGACCCAGTGGGGAATACGCAATTTCCAATTGCTTCTATTTCGAAATGTTTGACGTTCATTTATTATCCCATTGAGAATTTACATTTTTCGAATATATAATCTTTCTGATCACGTTGTATAAAAGAACCTTAAATATTACTTTGTTAATAGAGCTGTGAATTGCTTTCGAAGAGCGAATTTGTATTAAAAACACCGATGAAACGTTTATACAGTCATTCCCATCAAACCTTAAGCTTTAAATTGATACATTATTAAACTTCCAATTGATACTTTTATGTGATGAAATCCTGTCACTCCAAGTGTCCCCCAAACACGTACCACTCAATTCCATTCGAGTTTGAAACTCAATTCCTCTGAAATTTTTACTAAAATGAATGTAACTTATCCTAAGTAACTACAGAACAAAAAAGAAACAAAAAAGAAAGTCGTAAAAGGGTATCGTTGATCAAGGAAATCGAGGTTTGATGAATCTTTCACGAATCACATTCGAGTTTCGTTCAAACTGTTTTATCGCACAATGCTCGAGAAACAAATTGCACATTACCTGCTTATTATAATCAATACGAGAATATTTACAAGGTAGCTTGACAAAAATACCTGCTGCATTTTATGCTATGCTATTACACAACTTTTCACTTCTTTTCTTTTACGCTCGTTATTCCAATCATATCACGAACTTTTCTCCCTCCGTGCGAAAGGGCAACACTTAAATCATGTACACACATACTTACATACAACCATTGGCGTAACTACCACCTCTGTGCGAGAAATAGTTGTTATATAGCATCGCGGTATATTGCTTGGCGTTGCATTGACTTTTAGTGTAGGGTGGATTGTAGTGGGGGGGTTGTTGGGGATTATTGGATCACATAATTTGAGGGTTTAGGGGTTTGGAGATTTAGGGATTTAGGGATTTAGGGATTTAGGGATTTGAGGATTTAAGGATTTGGGGATTTAGGGATTTGGAGACTTGAGAATTTGGAGATTTGGGAATTTGGGAGGTTGAGAATTTGGGGGGTTGAGAATTTGGGGATTTGAGAATTTGGGAATTTAGGAATTGGTGGGGTTGAGAATTTGAGGGTTTGAGAATTTGGGAATTTAGGAATTTGGAGGGTTGAGAATTTGAGGGTTTAGGAATTTAGGGGGTTGAGAATTTGGGGATTTGAGAATTTGGGGTGTTGAGAATTTGGGGATTTGAGAATTTGGGGGGTTGAGAATTTGGGAATTTAGGAATTGGTGGGGTTGAGAATTTGAGGGTTTGAGAATTTGGGAATTTAGGAATTTGGAGGGTTGAGAATTTGAGAGTTTGGGAATTTGAATATTTGGGAATTTAGGGGGTTGAGAATTTGGGGATTTGAGAATTTGGGGTGTTGAGAATTTGGGGGTTTGAAAATTTGGGGATTTGGGAATTTAGGGGTTTGGGAATTTGAGGGGTTGAGAATTTGAAGGTTTCAGAATTTGGGGATTTGGAGATATAGTAATTTGGGTATTTGGGAATTTAAAGATATAAGAATTTGGAGATTAACAATTGCAAATTTAGAAATTTAAAAATGCTAGAATTTAAGTATATGAACCTTGTAAATTAAAAAATGTTGAGATATAAAAACTTGAGAATTAGTGACTCTAGAAATGTATGTATACAGCAATTTAAAATAGAACAACAACAATTATAAAAATGTAAAATCCTGAAGATATAGAATCTATAGAATTTGACCTTCTTCAGGATTGAATACTTATGATACTAAATTATATATTCAATTATGTATACTAAAAAATTTGAGCATCCCACATATCAAAGATGTAAGAATTCAAGAACACTCTAAAAATGTACAAACTTGAAACATTAAGAACCAAAGAATGTCTACTTTAAAAAAGAAATTAGCTTACTAAGAATATGCTAAAATAGGAGTTTGGAAATGTGAAAATCAGCAACGTCAATGTTTATTGTCAACAGTGAAGTATTGACAATATATATTGATCATCTAAGATCGAGGTGTTCGTTACGCCACTGCACACAAGTACACAAAAGCACACACGCACTCACACAGTGTATCGCGTGGTTTCGTCGCCAAAATCGATAAGAACGCACGCAGTTTCGCGGAGTGTGGCAATGAATCCGCAACTATGCGAACTCCGTTACAACGCAATAACAATTGTCAACTTACATAAGAAATTGCTCGTTTGTTTCACAAACTACCGTTTAAGCTCCACGTAGCTACCTTTTGTATGTTCTTTGAATTGTAACAACCTTTAAAAAGTCTTCCATCAATGTCATCGATATTTCAAAGCTCTTATTGATAATATATCAATAAATTCTGAAATATCGATCCGTTTGCATGCGGCGAGAAACCCCTTGCGGTTCGATTTATAAAAACCAAATTAAATATTCAAACTGCTTGTTAATTTGTAAAACAAAAAATTGTTAATTTATTGGAACCACAAGGGGTGGCCTCAAAGTAATCTGCGATACATTTGCACGCGAGTTTATTTTATTTTCTCAGCCGACGATTACAAAAGAGAAAGAAAGCATAAACAGGGAGGAGGTTCGCATCTGGCGAACAAAAAACAAATGACGCCGGGTGTACAATGTATTTTATACAATCGCGTTCGAGTTCGCCCTTTAAAGCATTCGAAAATGGAGACAATGAGCGAACCTTGCAGCTTAAATTGCTCGAATCGATAAATCCTTCGCGAACGACTTCCAAGCTTTCGAAGCTACGAAATCAGAAATTAAAAAGAACGTTTGGTAAAATCGTGGGATACGAACGTGGAACAACAAAATAAAAACGAGATTTTTCGATGGATGGATCGATAAAAAAATGGAGAATTAAAATGGTAGATTTGAGTCTTCGATGGAGAACGATTTGGGACTCGAATACTGACAATAAGTTCTCCGACGGAAATAAAAGAAAAAACGATAAAACGAAGTATTCGTAGATGAAGATCTATAAATACTCCGAGTCTGTGAATAAAAAATGAAACGACTAAAAAAAGAATCGGAAAAGGAAATGGTGTTACAAATGTCCCCAAAAAATTCTCGAAATCGTGGCTTCAGTTCCTCCGGGCGATGAGGAAATGAAACGCTCGATCAGAATGCTTTAAAGGGTGAAACAAATGGGTTCGAAAGAAATGCGGTGCACGATCAAACAACGGGTTTGTCGAACGAGTGTTGGCAAGGTCCTCGGTAGATTGCAATGTTTTATTAAACAATCAATTGTTTTCCAAGGATTTGTCTTGCTACACTTAATTTCCTGTGCGCTTCGCTAATATCCGTTATCTACAATAAGTTATCATGGCGACGACCCGTCTGCTCGCTTCAGGGCCGAATAAAACGCTAATACAAAGATACAGACTATCTTTTTGTTTCTCTCGGAAGATAACATTATTTTATAATGCATGCTGTAGAATTATGTACACAGGTTTTACAATGTTCACGGATCGTAAACATTTACAGATGAAACGCAAAAAATGATGGAACAAAAAAGAAAAAGAGTAAACGAATTAACCGAGCAAACGCGTCATCGCCAACGGAACTCGTTCGTCGAATTTGTTTACATTCGCCCTTCTCGCAATGGAACAAAAAATTGTGGCTCTCTTGCTTTTTCGTTTCAGAACTACGCTCCAGAACATAAAAATGGGGGATAATGCACGAACTGGACCAGAACATAAACATTGCATTTTTATTATAATACACTTTTCGAATGATTCGTTGACATGCCCGTTTATTATCAGAAGTTGACGTAACTAGGGCCTTTTCGGCAGGGACCTTATATCGACACGCGCTATATTACCACGCATTGGTTCGCTATGCGTTACATGTATGCATTAGACTTATAACCACGTTCTACACGTTAGATCACCATGCGCTACATAACCACGCATTGGATTAGAAATCGTGTCGCCACATCATTCACGTGTCAAATTTCGTTACATCGTTAGATTCAGAACAAGTACCAGCCTGGAAGGGCCACCTAGTTACGCCACTGAAAACGGAACAATTAGCATTATATTAATGTATCAGAGGCAAGTGAACAAAGAAGCGACCCGTGAAACGAATTCTGACGACCTCGAGTTTAACTCTCTTTCTCTTTCTTTTTTACATGCTTCATCGCCGCAACGAATTACTTTCACAGGTCAACTCACCTGACGATAAATAGTTTAGTTGCTTGTACTGGTGAAACGCATAAGTAAAACAGAAGTTTCTTTGCCTTACATAAAATCCTATAAGAGTGAACGCTCGATTAATTACCGAAGCGACAGCCACCAGACAATACACGCACACCTCGCTTCCGTTCGTCGTTCACCGACAACGCTATCGAAGATACTTAGGCGCCGCTTCAATAATACATCTAGATCTTAACAAACGTGTTTACGGTGTATATATCGTGAAGTCGAGTACCTCCGGATAGAGAGAGAAAGAGATTGTATGTTGGTGTGTTTACGTGTATCTGTCCTTTATATCTATGTATTTATATATGTATATAGGCAAGCGAGTCGCGGAGGGTCTTCGACAAGGAAGATCTCGACGTTCCGCGATCACCTTCTGCCTCTCTGTGTCGAGAGTTGCACGCGAGACAGTGTCGAGACAGGTTCGACGGTTAATAATACGTGTATGTACAGGATACAAAACGATCGTCGAAGTCAGTGCAAATCTCTTTGAAAAATTGCATCGAGTGAACCACGTGGGTGCAACTTGCACTCTTTACCAACTGTTACCCCGTCCTCGACCACGGAAGCCGTTGCCTCTGAATTGTCCACCGCGTTTCAACCCCCTGGGTATGAAGTTGCCGATCGCGGGGCCACGAGGCCCTCTGTCCATCCAAGGAACTCTGGGCCCACCTCTGAAACCTCTACCCCGCGGTAGACCGCCTCTCCACGGAGGGAATGGGACGGGACCTCCGAGACGAGGCCGAAAATTCGGTCCGACAGGACCGTCGAACTCGTATACGCCCGAATGCGCGTCACCGGAAGCCTGTGGAATCGGCCCGTTTAATCCGGAGTCGGATTCGGTCGGCGTTTGAGGTCCGTTCGACATCGTCATCCGCTTTTTGCTACAACTGACGTCGTCGTCGTCAAAGTTCCCGTTTGTCGACGTTCTCTTCAGGTCGTTATTCGGCGTAGTGTTACCGAGGTCGTCCAGCTGCTCCGACACGTGAGGCTGCTCGGTGAAGTTCATCTCCTGACCGGGTTCCTCCATCGTCTCGTTACCGTCGCAAACCTTGTCCGACGTTACAGGTTCAGATTCCACCTGCTCCTCGTATTCCGCTACGGGAACGTACTGAGGATCCTTGGGATCCGTCATCACTGGGACAACCGTCACTTGATTAGGTTGCGGCAGTTCGTCCGGCTCCGCGGATACAGGTTCGGGTTCGTGTTCGAGATTCGGTCCAGCAGGATAGACGGGCTGTCGTTGGTCAATGTCACGGGAGTTCGGTATACCGTGAGGTAGGCTATGGTCTTGTTGCGACAGAGATTGACAGTTCTCCTCTGGTTCCGCATCCGGTGCGTGATCTGGATTCGCTAGAAGCTCCTTCTCGTTCGGAAGACCTATCGGCATACCTTCTTCGTCAAGGATCACCACGGTGTCGGGTGCTTGCAGCAACAAAGGTCGACTGTTCGGTAAAATCTCGGGTGATGATCTGTGATGATCCTGCGTTCGTGGTTTGCGATTGTTCTGGATGTTCCTTTGCTTGTGGTCGTCCGAGTATCTGTCACGTCGGTTCCTAGGAAATCCTCGGCCGCCACGACCTCCTCTTTCGCTCCGGTGGAAAGGCATGTCCCGGTGCTGATGTTCAGACGGCTGCGAGTACCTGCCACGCATTTGTGGCTCACCGAGGAACTCTTGATTAGGTCGTAGATTGTGATTCTCACGATACTCGAAGTCCTGCTGCGGGAAGTCTGGTGGAGTTTGATGCATTTGGTGGAACTCTTGCGGACTGAAGTCTTGCTGGTTCTGTAGGAAATTGGGCGGCGGCCTGTTCTGATGGAAGTTCGACTGGGCCGGGTGAAAATCTGCCGAAGGATTGTGACGAAAGTCTGTTTGGTCTTGGTGAAAAGAAGGTTGACCTGGGTGAAACTGAGGTGGTGGAGGTGGGGGTGGAGGGGGTCCTGGATGCATCATGTGTACGTCCTGCATCATTTGCCCGTGAGATCCCGGCATTTGTCCGGAGGGGAGCGGAATCATACGCATGTCCATGTCCATGTGCTGAGACGATGCTACCTGATTACTAACTCTCATGTCCCTATCCTGCGATCTTACGTCAACCAATACCCGTCCCTTTGGTTTATTATCAGTCTCGTCGTCCGACATCTCCATGTCAACGCTTTCCACGATATCACCGGGTTGCATGTGTTGCCTAATTGCGCAGCGTAAAAACATTTAAAGTTGTAACTTGAACAGTCGTTTGTATTAACACAGCGATACAATATAATGGAAAATTCTAACGGTGAAACGTATTGATATCTTACCGATAATCTTGATCCCCCGTTGACCATAAATTGTTAGCGTTAGACAGCACATTCATAGAAGTGTCACTGACGTTGTGGTTCGCTGGACTTCCGGTCAAACTGATCAAGTTACGGTGGTCGACGTCAGCTGCTTTCATTAACCGATACGGTAATTGATTTTCGACCGTCATCGGAATAGGTATCACTCTGAAATATTATATTTAATGGTAAACACGTGCGCCCCTATGTTTCTTTCTGTTCTTCTTCGGTTTAAAATTCTTCACCTATGATCGACGTCTCCGGCGGTACTTAAAAGAGATTCTTGAGGTTGAGAGTCGTCGTATTCTACTGGATCTGTGAAGCCAGTTTTTTCGTAAATTGGTGGTGATTCTGGGGTTTCGGATAAAATCTCACTTTTTCTTCTAACTGGCCCAACCCATGTGGAGTCGTTATTAGAATTCCACCTATCCGGATCTCCGTCCATCCACACCTTCGGTTTCTCGTCGCATTCCCCGGGCCAAGTTGGATTCATACTATTTTTTCCTGGAAACATAACTAATCTTACTTTGTCATCTATTATTTCAAATTGGCATGAGAAAAGTAATTTGTCGTAAAACATACTCGTACCCTTCTCTTCCCACTTGGCTGGTTCCTTGATACTTTCGCTTGGAGGTGTCCACGTTGGAAATTTAGGTGGCAATTTATTATAACAATTTTCGTCATCAAGAAAAATAGGTGGAGGTAATGGCGGAGGTGGTAAAGGATTAACGGTATTATTATTAGTAGGCCCATCGAAAGGTCCAGTTATATTACTCTGACTGTTTTGGCTGGAGTATGGAGACGGTGTGTGTGATTCGGCGGACAAGTTCCGGACAGGCAAGGGGGTACTGTGACTTATTTGGCAATTAGGCACGCCTAGGGGTGTTGCCTGATTACCCATCATTCTCGAGATCACCGGAGTTACAGGATGTTGTCCTAACACAGGCGAATGCCTGTAATTTGATCGCTGTGGAGATTCCACTTGCGATTCGGGAATATCTAAACCAAGACCTGGTATTCCACCAGAATCTTGCGTTCCATCAGAAGAAGGAAGAACAGTCTTTAAGAAACTAGAGATATTAAAGTCGACGCTACTACTTTCGTTTTTGGAGGGCCTCATGTTGATTACCTCTATTGGTTTAGCCTAATAAAGCATACATCAAATTTTTGTTAAATGTTTTAACGAATAATATAAATGTGCAGTTTAATTAAATATACCTCTATTGAATCATTATATTGTTGTGACATTCCAGTAGGAGTTGATGACCTTTCATTAAATATATTTCTCTGGAAATGTAAATAACAGTTAAAACAATATATATTAACATCAATGAATTCTTTTAAATATAATATCTTACCATATTACCAAAGTCCATATTGCCGCCCATAAAGGATGAAAAATTATTGGTGAAATCACCAGAATCATTCCCTTGGCTCAACTCAGGAGCTGGTACAGGTACAGGATCATATTCATGTGAATATGAACCATACATAGATGGTGGTGCTACATCTATCATGCCTAATTGATTTTGTGTTTGATTTTCATCCCCTGGAAGTTCTATATCACTGTCGGGACTCGGAGATGGGGCATTTATATCCGGTGATGGAATTGGAGAAACTAATGTTGGCAAAAGTTCATCCAATTTTTTCTTTAAATTTTTTACACGACTTCCAAAATTTCTATAAGCCTATTTATAAAGAATTTTATGATTGAACCAGTTATGAGAAATAGCATTTAGTACACTCTTTATTTACTTACATTTGTAACTATTTTCACTTCTCCTCTTTGGGTTTCATAAAATTGATCAGCCTGCTCTAGAAGTTCAAGAACTTGTGTTCTTTCTCTGATTTCTGCTTCTAATGCACGAACATAGTTTTCAACATTTCTCACTGCCAAATCAACCTCTTTCTCTGCATCTTCAACTCTTCTTCTATCTTTCAAAGAAGCACACAGTTCTTCAGCATTTTCTATATCTATGTTACTTTCACGTAAATCCCTTAATCGTGCATCTGTTGCTTGTTCTAATGTAGCACATGATCTCATAGTAGATATAAGTAAAGCAGCTTGAAATTCTTCTGGTGGTACAGATGGTTGGGGGTCTAATTTCTTTTTTGGGGCTGCAGAAATTAGTCCTGACAGATCTGCCAGGAACTCTTCGTCGTATACTTGCCGCTGATCCCATATTTTAAAAATCCTTAATATACGATGTTTTACTTTCTCATCTCTAACCATTGTTGTCGCTCTTTGTAATGTTGTACCCCATGATTCCACAAACTCAAAGTTTTTTCTCTTGGAATATTGGATCACATCATTTGCCAAATAAAATAGTGTCAGGCGATGCTCAACTTTCACTATTATTTAAGAATCATTATTGTTAAACATTGTTACACATTAGCAAAATTATTATGTATTAGCAAAACAGTCATTAATTGAATCACAATAATATAGAGTAATAATAATAGTAACAGAATAAAACATTTTTATTGAAGGATCATATAAATTATTAATTATGTTATGTCTCAGCTAGCATGATAATAAAATAAACGTAAACATACATCTTTCAAAACATATATCAACAGATGATTAAAACTCTCAAGAATATAACATTTAATATTACAATTTAAGTTAAATTAACAATGTATAAACTCACCCTTCTTTAGTACTTGCAACCAAGTAGCAACAATTTTCTTGTGATGTTGTCGCCTTTCTAAGCACCAAGCTGAAAGACCTTGTATTGACTCCTGCGAATCCTTCAGTGTATGAAGTCTTCGCTCAAAGAGCTCCACGTCAAAATCACTTGTAGCCATTATGGATTAAAATAATTCATTTAATAAGCTACCTACGAACTCGATACAATATCACGTTTTAACGTGAACCACCGAGAGGAACACGTGGAACGTTGTTCGGATATCATAGGTATAATGTCTACCTAGTCAATCAACCTAACCAAGTAGTATTGCTAATATGTCAATTGTCGAGGTATTAAACCACGTGAACATATATCAGGGACAAATCATTTTACTCCTTGAATCACGATACTGTTTTCCAGTTTCTTAAACCGTGTTTCGCACAGAAAATAACAAAAATTTCTAAAAATCACTCGAATCAGAGTTTGTATAATCCGCACGCTAAAGACACCGCTTTCACGGCACTTACGACGCTCAAAGAAACTGTTTAGATCTTGAACATAAATCTGACGTACAATAATTTCACGCACTCAACATTATTGTATACACAACGTGTCAACTTTCGCTGCTTATTTCAAAAGTATCGCATTTCTATACGACCGAGCTTGAAAACAAGGGTCCGCCATCTTTTTGGAACCAAAACACGAGCGCGCAATGGCCGGCGCGATTTTCTTTATAGTAGCAAGCACAGTAGGCTTTCCTAGGGAAAATGGCGATGTAGGGAAAGAAAATCCCACCACTTGTTGGCGCTTAGTAAACTTTTAAATCTATGAACTCTCATATCTTGAAGTGGGAAAATTGAGCATTTAAGGATGTGGAAATTCAAATAGAATTATGTAATGTTTATTGTTATAACAAGCTCAAAAAGCGACATCTTGAGGAAAAATGTCTCGCTCATATGTACTTGTTCATAGAGTTTCCAATCTCTTTGCAAAGTTTCATTTACGCTCTATCGACGAGCGTGGAGGAAAGTCGTGAAGTAGCTTCGTCATTCAAGGAATTGTATATTTTATTTTTTATGATTAGATTTAAAGAGTTTAAAGTCCACTTCATGTCACAGCATTCTTAATAAATCCAACACGTTCAAAATATCCAGTTGTTATCGCGAATTAAGGACCGGATTGACCGCACGTATACTTATACATATTTTTAATTATTTCTATATCGTTATTAAGAAAACATGAAAATGCCATCAAAAGTGAAAGTTTACGTTGTGGGTGTCGGTATGACAAAATTCGAGAAACCAGGAAAACGACAAGATGTAGATTATCCGGATTTAGCGAAAGAAGCGATTACAAAAGCATTGGAGGATGCACACATTCCTTATACTTGTATAAAAGCTGCCTGTGTTGGATATGTTTATGGAGATTCCACCTGTGGTCAACGAGCTATATATGAAGTTGGTCTTACGGGTTGTCCCATATATAATGTAAATAATAATTGCTCTACTGGCTCAACTGCTTTAATTATGGGGAAACAAATCATAGAGAGTGGGTCAGCTGATTGCGTATTGGCTGTTGGTTTTGAGAAAATGGAAAGAGGCTCTTTAATGTCAAAGTTTTTAGATCGTACCAATCCAATGGATAAGCATATAGAAGTTATGTCTGAAATTGCTGGTAAAATTATAATTGTCAGAGCACTTATTTAAGTTTTTAAACAATTTGTATTATAATTTATATTTGATTTTAGGCATAAATAACAGTCCAATTACTGCTCAAATGTTTGGAAATGCTGGAATTGAACACATGAAAAAATATGGCACTAAACCTGAGCATTTTGCAAAAATTGCTTATAAAAATCATTTACATTCCACTAATAATCCATATTCACAATTCCAAGAGAAATATACATTGGATCAAATAATGAAGTCTCCCAAAGTATTTGGACCCCTTACTAAGCTCCAATGTTGTCCAACATCTGATGGTTCAGCAGCTGTAATTTTAGCCACTGAAGAATTTGTTCATAAGCATAAACTTGAATCACAGGCAGTAGAAATTGTAGCAATGGAAATGTCTACAGACACACCTTCAACATTCACAGAAAAAAGTGCCATTAAACTTATTGGGTAAGAAAATTGACTTGAAAGTTAAAACTGATCCATATTAAACTCTCACATACATTATTTTCCTATTTTACAGCTATGATATGACAAAGAATGCTACTGAGAAATTATTTACTCAAACTCTTTACAAGCCAAGTGATGTTAACGTTATAGAATTGCATGATTGTTTTTCTACAAATGAACTTATCACTTATGAAGCTCTTGGCCTTTGTCCTCCTGGTCACGGTGGAAAGTTGGTTGATGCTGGAGATAACACATATGGAGGAAAATATGTTATAAATCCAAGTGGTGGTTTAATCTCAAAGGGACATCCTTTAGGAGCAACAGGATTAGCTCAATGTACTGAACTTTGTTGGCAACTTCGGGGTCTAGCTGGCAAAAGACAAGTACCAAATGCAAAACTTGCATTACAACATAATATAGGCTTAGGAGGAGCAGTTGTAGTTGCTTTGTATCGTTTGGGTTTCCCTAACGCACAGAAATCTACAAATTCGCGAAAACCTACAATTTCGCAAAAACCTACAATTTCGCAGACACCGGTCAAAAAGACTTTGGCCGGAACTCCTAATCCAGATATCTTCAAAGCAAATAAATTATTCAAAATATTGGAAGTTGCAATGCAAGAAGATGAGGATAATTTAATTGAAAAAGTTCGCGGGGTATACGGGTTCAAAGTAATTAAGAAACCATCAGGTGAGGAAGGTTACTGGATAGTAGATGCTAAAACGGGAAAAGGAAAAGTAGAATACTATGGAACCGCGAAACCTGATGTTACAATTATAATTAATGACGACGATATTACTGATTTCATATCTGGAAAACTGAATCCGCAAAAAGCCTTTTTCGAAGGAAAGATCAGAATTCAAGGTAACATGGGAATAGCAATAAAATTGATTGATTTGCAAAAACGCGCTGCTAAAAAAATTGAACTTCTTCGTTCCAAGTTGTAAAGCGCTAAGATTTATGAATATTGATAGCGAAAATATGTTCGTTCTGATAAAAACGGCGAAAACACAACATTGATAAAGATAACATTTGTAAAAGATTCAGAAGATTATGTATTATATAACTATGCAATCTGAATATTATCTCACTTGACATTTGAACGATTAATACTCTCGTTCTGTTAACTGGGATTGTTATTCAAAATATATTATAGCTTATATATATATATATGCAACAAATTAGAGTATCTAAAGAACAAATTTAATATGATCAAATATAAATTATTAAAAATTTTTGAATTTTTATATAAAATATATTGATAGTTAATATTTTAATCTAAAATTCTATTTTTATAACATAAAATGTTGTTCACCACCTCGAAAGTATTAATACACGAAAAGGTGAGAGTAGTGCAATACATAAAATGCAAAGAATATGATACTAAGTATCTATATTTGTTATCTGGTTAAGTTTTCTGGTATTTTATATCAATTCCAAGAAAGATTAACTCAGTCAAGTTCTTCGATTAATTTTATGTGGATTTTAGGACAAATTAGTTAATTTATATATCCACAAATGAACGTTGCTTATACGTTCATTAAAATTATATTACTATTAATTCTTTTGATAGAAAATTTGGTGTAAAGATAAAAAATTGTACCTCGTTTTATTTATGTCTGTTTTTACTTTTGTATTGAAAAATGCTTTATAAAATTGTATTAATATTATGTAACAGTTATAATGCTCATTTTTTGTATGATTCATTAATAGAGTATTTCTCACAATTTATGTTTTTATACGGTGCATCTATAAGGTGCAATATGTGGTTAAAACTGGTGTTATATAATTAACGTGATATTTGGAAACAGGGTGTATCGAAAATGTTATTACAAAGTTTTTATACAGAAGGTGTAGGTGTCTGCCTTTATTATCAAATTGTCTTTCTAACAAAATAAATGAAATACCCATATGAAACTGTATCTCTTTATTAAACAGATAATGTTACTTTTTTGTTGTTTCTTTTATATTTAAAACATTTTATAATATATACACATTATATGTATATAATGTGCGTTATCATCTGCATTATAATATGATTGTAAACGCACGAGGAGCGGGGCGGAAGAGGGCTTCTTAATTTAAAATTTGAATTTAGTAAATTGGCGGTTCCGAACATGCGCAGAAATGATCAGTCATCATGCATCAGCAATTATATTCGAGCTTACGCTCAGTTCATAGATCCTAGATCTATGGATTTAGCGCGGCACAGATGGCGCTGGTGATATCGTTTAAAAAGTGCGCGTTCATTCAAATTTGAAACTCGTGCAACAATATAGCTAAAACAGTATTTTTAGTTTATGGAACTTAGTCTTTCTCAGCAATATGATACTCTGACTTAATGGGGTACAAAAAAATGATTTACAAAGCAAACACTGTACAGACGACGTCAGTGAAAATGCGTGCGTAAAATACTCGCAAGGAGGCGCACTATATTTATAGCTAGAGATAAATATATATCCTGGCATTCTTCCAAATTACCAAACGCACGGGTTCGAGTCAAGTAACGGCCTAACCCTTGTAATAGCAGCATCGTGTCAGTGCTATTAGTGACGTCTATCGATGTTACGATCGTTGTAGACAGCGAAGAAAAAAAGAAATTGAAAAATCAGTGCGGAAACGAGTAACATTGTACGATGTAAATGTGCCACGGAAGCTGCGATTGAGGGACGCTTCGAACGGATTCATTTTCCCGGCAAAATACTCGATTAGTGTAAATTGTTTAATATGCAATCGGCTAACTCGTTTTACTTTTTCAAGATGGAAGATGAATTTCTAAGCATCTTGTGTAATTGTTGCTAATGAAATTGAACTTTTATTTCACCTGTGCATCAGAGTGAATATCGATCAAGTGAGTATACGTCAATCGATAAAAAATTGCATAATACTGGAACATGGTCGTAAAAATATAAGCTACACCACTGGAATAATCAATGCATCACATTGTAGATAATATGTGTATAATATATAACTTTACATTTCATATGATTTTTTATCTTTCAGGATGAATTGTCTAAAAATGAATGGATAATTTTATGTTTGAAAGTTTAGCGTTATATGAGAATATTTTATTTATGTTGAATATATATATTTTAATATTCGTCTTTGAATATCGGGAGGAGGGAAGGCGGAATATTTACTCATTCGAATCCTAATGTGATACTATTCCGAAACTCTACAATTTTTTAATTTCCAAGTTCTAAAATTCGCAAAAATATAACTTGAAACGTAAATATTAAAATTTTTTTTATTGTTACAACCCGGAAGTAGCATCGCGAATTGTTGGTCTCTTTGTCCCCACATTTCGTCGCAACTGAATGCCAAATTAAGGAACACGATAATTAAAAAAATTACGAGTAATACAAATTTCATGTTTTATGCAGTGGATTTCGACATCAAGGTTTCTCCAATACGTATTGCAACTATATATCTATAAAGCAGAGTTTCAAGTCGATTTTCATTTATTCCTTGCCAAGTATTTCACGATTTGCAGAAAGCCAAGCGGTTCGCTAAGTCTCGCCCCGTTTCTTGCGAAACTTTATTCTCTTATTAATTCAAGGTTTCGTTTTTAGGTAGATCCTATGATACTCACGGCCCTCGAGTCATCAAACGAGTACTTTAGTTACTGTTAGACTCAAGAGGCCAAACAGGACGCTCAGTGTGATACCCTTACAAGATATGCTCTGTCGGAAATCGGTCAGCGACTCGATTTCCGCACCCGTGTATTTTCCACGTAACGCGTATATGGTGGTACGAAATTTATCAGGAGCTTCTTCAATGTATCTTCAATGCTGTCGTCGTCGTTCCTGACCAAATTGTTTAATTGTTTAACCAGATTCAAACTGCACAATGAAGAACCATTCTTATATGTACTATCATCTTGTATCTAATATTACTATGTTATATTAAAGCCATATTTAAATGGTGAGGCAGTCATGAAGACCTTAAAATGATGGACAATTTTAGTATAGAAATTTATATGGCTTTTTCATTTCCATCAGAAAGTTCACAGTTAAAAGAATTTTTGCCTTTCATCACTTATAAATAGGCAAAAGTTGTCTATCATTTTGAGATCATTGTTGTAACCTTACCCTTTAATATATGGCAATACTAATTTCTACTTGTTTATTCTAGTAATATATAGCACCAGATTATGATTCAAACTGGTCATTCATGTAAATAACGATCCTCTGTGATTTCCATCTGAATGTCTTACGCAGTCTCTTCTATAAACTTACATTCTTGTAAACTTACACTATATGCAAGTTTCAATTTTAACATATTACACTGTGTGCAATGGTGTACCACTATGTCATAAACATAAGTTAACTACATATGTACACATGTCTAGATGTCTGTCATTCGTTATCTCTTGTTTGTACATGTAGAATGCACCACATGTATTCGTCGAAGAAAGGAGACCCTCTCTGCCCCCTTGGTTTCCATCCTCAAGTGCGGTGGCCGACCCGCTGCAAACGATGCTTCAGGTACCTTTCTTTTCATGGATATAGGAAACACATAAAATATGTCTCTGTGCTGTGTTCATGAGTTCTGTGATGGATTAGTAAGACTGAAGTTAAGTAACAATACAAATAACTGCTTTATTTCTTTTAGGGATTACAAAGAACACGGGGGTAAGAAGGATAACTTGAGGGACATTACGGCGTCATCGCCTAGCCTTTCGTTTGATCAATCTTCAGGAAGGTATGGTACTAAGCTGTAGAAATTAAAAGTAAGTTAGTAGCATCTAATATAGTTTCATCAGGTCCGCAGAGAATGGGAAAAGGGTATGGTCATCAGCAACAAACCTAGCAAAAGATGATTTTAAAGAAACTCCTGAACCGTCGCATGCGTCGGCCGGCTGGACATCGCTCATGGATCTTTCTGCCATCGATAAAGAAGATGAAAGATTAGATAGTAATTACATGATATCATTTATTTTCTTTCAGTTTCTTAAATACATAATACTTTTTCTTATCAAATTATATTATTCCCGTAGGAAGAAGGCCAACGAAATTACAGATCAAAGAAGTTATAGCTAACAGCAGTGAGAATACTTCCGAGAACGACGTTGAGTTTATCATTCAGGTAAACTGGCATACTATAGAGATACTGTCTTAAAAATCATTGGAAAGATCATATAGAAGGATACTAGAAAACAGCTCTCTTATAAAACGCTTAAATGATAAAGAAAAAGATGTTCAATTTAGAAATAGGTTTTTTTACAACAGCAGAACACAATAATCAAGAGATCCTGACACAGCTACATTCTTCAGTCCCCATCTACAGTTGTTTCAATGTTTTTTATTGATTTGATTCCATTAACCTTGAAACTTTACCCGATCGAGGTATCTACCCTGAAAAAGCAATGGCCACTTGCAGAGAAATGGACCTCCCTTGTCTACGAATGTTGCGTAAATTACTGTTTCTCTATTCAGGTGAAAAAGTCGAAGATCGGTTCGTCGAAAAGCGCGATACAAAATGAGGATCACCTTATGGGAAAGGAAGAGACGACGAAGAACGTAATGATACCAACATCTGCATCCCATTTGCGATTTTTTTTTGTCTTTTTTTGTTCATCGCTGATTTTCTTTTTGAATTGCGCTAATCAGAGAGTCTCTTCACTTAAGAGGACACTTCTGAGGATAGAACGTACTAACCAAAGATTCCGTTCATCCAAAAAACTAACACTCGTCAAGTACTTCCATGCTGTACAAATCGCGTAAAAAGTTATCATACATAGTTTCATGCATCTAACATTTCCGATCCATCTACAAATTGCTGAAGAACGCAACGTCTTAATTATACAGAATACCTGATGTTTGAAGATGAAATTAATATCCTCGCTGGACATAGAATACAAGCAGCTAATAGATAATTACAATTATATACATTATCAGTTTATTCTGAGCAACGTGTTGCCGGCTGGTATAGCGATAGATAATGCTAGAAAATAGATGCAAATAGTAGCAAAGCTGAGAGTACAGATTCAAATCTACATGTACAGAAAAGAATATGACAAGTTTATTTTCTTCAGAGCGAGATGGACCGTCTAAGGGCACAATTGAACGAGTTGCAAGCAAGATGTGAGAAAGCAGAGAGGGAAAAGAGTGAGATCTTGATGAGACGACTGACAACAATGGAAAACATATCCAACAAAGCATCGTCGAATGAGTTACAGAAACTACAAAAAAAGAATGAAGGTATAAATTCATATTTAATCTTAGAATTAATAACTTCACAAATAAATTACTATTCTTTAATAAAATTCTATTCATACACAGCCCTGACACAAGAGAAGACAAGTCTTCTGAACAAGATAAAAGAGCTAGAGAAAGAAACAAGTTCAAAATCCTTCAGAGGCGAGAGAGATCGAGAAAAGGAGGAGCTGCGTTCTAAACTGAAAGCAGCAGAAAATCTGTGCGAGACCCTGATGGACGAAAACGAAGACATGAAGAAAGAGATTCGTCAGTTGGAGGAAGAAATATATGAGTTACAAGATACCTTCAGGTAACTTATATTCTTGTTTGCTCGCGCATGTTCATATTGCTTATTTGTCTTTTCGTTTCAGTTTCTGAGAGTGTTTTATAAAGATTTTTATTATTTCCTTGCCTATCCTTGAAACGTGTTGCTGTAGAGGATCTAGACTGAAAGCAAAAAAAATTCGATTTAACCCTGTGATCCACGATTGTAAAATGAACAAGAAGAGGAAATTGAAGGCATTGTACTAACCGGTTTGTCTGAATTCGAATTCATTAACCAAATCAGTAAGAAACTTTCCACAATGGCGAATTATGACTCGCTTGTGTGATTTTTCTTGATGTCAATAACACGTGTTTGAATGCCAGCATAAAAAGTTTACAAGATGACACTGAGACGCTGAAGGGACTCGAAAACAGTGAATTTCCACTTACTGCGGTAAAGTTCAAATCAAACTCGACCTCTTTAAAACGATGAAATGGAAACTCGTAAATCGAATTTTTTTCGTCAATCAGGGATGAAACGTAACACGAGGGGAAATACTGCAGCGTGTCGCAAAAATCTTTTAGCAACATGAGCTGTCTGAATTGTTGCAGGACGACGATTTGGACGGATGACACGTGCGATTCCAACACGACGACACTGCTTTTCGCCAAAGCTACAACGAACGCGTGGACGTTTGATCGCTTGGTAAACGAGTTCCTCCGGCTTTCAATTGCATTGATGTTAACACGTTGACTATCACTGGACATCATCGGTGTCTCTACAAAAGAAATTAATAGCGTTCAATAATTCTGATTCTGTTACTAACAATAGCTATTATATCTGATTTGTTACATCTTCACATTTAAAAATATCTTACTCCAATTTTTTAAATTTGTATATCCTTCAAATCTTCAAATCCTCCTTCAAATTTCCAAATCTTTCTAAATACTTAAATTTTTAAAATATGTATATTGCTAACTCATATGATAGTCAACGTGTTGAGATTTTGTTAACAATGTCACTAAAGAGGAATCGTAGAAACCTAGCGTTTTTAAAGAGAGCAGTACGTGGACTGAAATACTGTCGTCGAACCCTTTCGATCATTATATACATTACATGCTTTTGTCTGTCGTGCGGTTTCCATTTAAGTCAATAATGTGAATGCAAATTAATTAATGAAGGTAATTATAATGTACAGCGGTTCAAGATATTGGCATAATCTTTAACGACGTATATTGTATTGTCTGTAACAATCAGTATGTGATACGAGAATGTTTGATTTTGTTAAGGGATGAGCAAGCGGACGAGTACGTTCGTCTGCGAAAGAGCTTGGAACAGTCTAATAAGAACTGTCGAATATTGTCGTTTAAGCTGAGGAAGGTTGAGCGAAAGGTAGAAGAGCTGGAGTCTGAAAAAGACACCCTGGAGAAGAAATATGATGAGGTATTTCATAATTAATGCAACTTCTGAAACTCATACCTGATTATTAATAATAAAAGACTGCTATTTTTAGGTGAAGAAGGTTGAGGATACATTAAAAAAGATCAAGGGCGAGTTCCAAGGCAGACCTCAGAAGAAGGCAACAGAATTCACGACCAAGGTACAGCTTAAGAAGATGGTGGATGAAATGGAGAAGGAAATAGGTGTGTGCTTGACATCATGAAACAGTCAAATTACTTTAAAAAGATACTGTGAAATCATGAATTCCTTTTACAGGAGATTTGATGACCATTTTCACGAATATTTCCGATGGCAAAGATGTGGACGTTCAAGAACTGAAATCCAAAGACAATCACGCGAAATATGACAAACTTCTGAAGGAGCACGAACTACTTAAAGAGAAGCTCGACACCGTCACAAAGGAACTGTCTGACGAGAAGGAGAAAAAGAGAACACCGTCGGGCTCCAAAGTTGAAGACAAGAATGTCGATGTTCAAAACAGTGAGAAAACCCTCTACGATCTAACTTGTTACTTAAAACTTTTACCATCAGTTTCATTGCGTTTCAGTTAAAAAGAAACTGGACGAAGCTGTGAACTTGAGGGAAGCTGAAAGGAAGGCATGGGACCAAGAGAAAACGTCGTTGTCTGAGGAAAAGGAGAAGCTGAAATCGAAACTACTCTCGTTATCCGCGGAAAAACTTAAAGTATACAATGAAGTTGTTCAACTGAAAAAGGATTTAGGTAAAGATGGATATAAATCTAAGGCTTTGATAAACCTTCTACTTTCTCAACATCATTATTCTTTTAGAGACAGCCAAGTCGTCAGAAAAGGAAGGCGAAAAAATGGAGAAAACGATAAATGAGCTGAAGAGAGAATTATCACAGGAACGAGAGAAAAACAAGAAGTTGCAGGACGATTTGTCTGCTTACACTGAACGAGAATCGAAAATGACGCAGTCAATGTCGTCTGTGAGTGATTTTGAAGGATCTAGGGACATAGGAATAGGGACATAAGAAAATTAATTACATGAACTCTTCCTTTTAGGTCGAGCAAACTAAGAGCAAACTCGACACTGAAGTAAAACGCTTGAAGAAAGAGTTAGAGAATGCAAAATCCTCAAATTCCACAAAAATAAGTAGCCTGACTACGGAGGTATCCGACTTGAAGAAAGAAAAGGAAAAACTGTTGTCTCAAATTGAACAGGAGAAACAGTCCAAGGAAGCTGATGTATCCATGCTGAAGAAGAAAATCAATTCGTTGGAAAAGACTGGATTAAACAACAAGAGGATGAACGAAATGAGGCAGACGTATAACGAGAAGATTTTAAGTAAGTTGTTTTACTATGAAGTCAAGGAGTTAGTCAGAAGAGTCTATATGAGGTAACAGTGGCTTATATTTCAGATCTGGAGAACGAATTGAAGAAGGGTCAACAGGAGTACGATAACTTGAATGAGAAGTATAATGAACTTGGAAAGTTGAAAGCACAGTTTGAAAGTGACAATGAAGCACTCAACAAGTAATTAATACTGCTAAATTATTAATTTAATTTTAATAAAATGAAATGTCATTATACTTTTATATTACAGCAAACTGCGAGAACAAAACACTGAACTTATTAGCATTCGCAAAGAATTGGAAGCACTAAGACAAACCGTTAAATTGAAAGAAAGCGAATGGCGATCTGAAAAAACTACATTGGAAGTAAGAATATATATAATACAAAATATCACAAGGGCTTTAAAATTACATATATAAATATTTTTCAGCACAAGTTACGGGAGAGTGAGTTACCAAACAGAGCCATGATAACAGATCTGAATAACGACATAAGTAATTTGAAGAAAGAGAACAATACATTAGTAACGCGATTGGAAGACTTAAGAAAAGCGGTAAGAAAATTGATAGTCGAAGATTAATTCTAACTTTAGGAAGATAGTTGAACGAATTTATATTTCACAGAATGACGATCTCTCTGACAAGCTGAAGGACTACGAAGCAGTGACAAAAATTCACCAAGCTTTGACGCCGGATACCAATGCTCTCGAGTCGGAGATTCGGAAACTAAAGAACGCACTTGACAACATGGAAAAAGCGAAGAAAGCTGACTTAGCGCAGTGCAAAATGAGATACGAGCACAGGATCACAGCTATTAATGATGAGATCCAAGCGATTCAGAACCAACTATCGCGATACAAACGCGAACGCGATACGTACAAACATATGTTGGAAGGTGCTCAGAAAACAATCGCGGATTTGAAGTCTGCTAGAGGCAGACAATCAAATGCATCTTCTGGAAAGTCTGACGAGGTGATTACCGAAATTCAACTACAAGTTACTTTGCTAAATTATATAATAAACAGTAACAATATTAATGGCAGAGTATTCCTTTCTTTAGGAGGAGGAAATGACTGGTGCAAGCAAACTAGTTCTGGAAAGGCAGATTAACAGCCTGGAAGATGAATTGTCTGAAACAAGGTTAGAAGCATCCAGACTGAAAGCTGAATTGGTGTCGGAGAAGTCGGCGAGTCATGTTAAAGTGTCTGAATTACAGTCACGAATCAATGAGGTATCTTCATTGATCAGCTTTGCTGTAAAACTGCAGACAGATCTTATTACCTTTTTAATATTACACTTCCAATACTATAGCTTGAAGAGGAACGAATGCTTGCTAGTGGCAGGACCAAGATCCCAGGGTTGAAAGTTCGCATGGAACTGGCTTGGCAAAAGGAACGAGAGGATCACCAAAGACTACTGCAAGAAACAGCTACGCTGGCCAGGGATTTGCGACAAACTCTATTCGAAGTATGTACTAAATTGAAGTTGTTATTACTAAAGTTTAGCACAAGAGTCAACTGAGTTACCTTCTTCTGCAGATTGAGAGAGAACGTTCCAAAGAACGATTGGAAAATAAGAGGCGACAGGATCAGTTAAAGAAGGTATACGATGAAGAAAAGGAGGAGAGTAAGAAGAAATTGTTGGAGGTAGACATACGTCAAAAATAAGAAAGTATTAGGTATAAAAGTTAATGAACTAGCGTACAATGTTTGTCTTTACAGTTGCAGTGTGATTTGCTAGAGTTAAGAGATGCTCATGCAAAATTGAGGACCAGCAACGAGAAAATGAGGCGAGAAAAAGAGCGACACGAGAGGGAGAGAGAGGAACTGAAAGACGCGATCTACAAAAAGTGTAAACAGGAACAAGTTGAATTAAGGAATATCAATGTACTGTTGCAACAAGTCAATGACTTGATGAAATTCTTCCCTGAACTGAACGGCATAGCTGAAAATGGAACGTCGAGCACTTACACGCCTACACCGCCTAGGAGACTAAAGGTATATTAAATTAATCTAAGTAATTAATCATAAAATACTTAATTCGCTCTCATGCTTCAAAGGGATCAAAGTCGAGAGAGTCATCGCCAATGTTGGACGCAAAGGGTGAAATAAGAGGTACGATCATTATTTATATCTAAATAATTTAAGTCGAATAACTAATTGCATTTGTTTGCAGGTTCAAATTCACAACTTGGTGAAAAAACAGAAAAATTGGAGTACACCATTAAAAAATTGATGGATGTAGCAAAAGAATTGAAGGAGTCGAAGAAAGCAGCCGATGAGAGTAACGCAACGAGGTTGAAGAAACTTAGCAAAAGGTGAAGATTAATGTATAGTGATTGATATATACAGATCGTTCCACTTTGATTAAATGTAACAACAATTTCTGTGCACTATCAGATCAACGTCTGTTGAGAGTGACCCAGGCAAAGGAATAACGACAGCTCGTTCGAAGCCACGTTTGAAGCGAAAGAGCTTATCTTTGGAACAGACGTCGGCACGAAACGAGGAAGTATGTATAGAATGATGCTTTCAATAATGTAAAAATTGAATCAGATATAACAGTCGATTCATGTCCCGTTACAGTCGCGTATTTGGGGCACCGATAGTAACATGTCCAGCTTGCAATCATTGGAAGGCTCGGAAGTTGATGGACGAACGCTTAGCTTGCAGAGAGATTCTAGTGTGGATAGGTATTTCAGTAACATATTAAATAATACATTTAGAAATATGTAAAATACTAAAAGTAATTTATTATTTATTTTTAGTCGGCTCTCCACTGGTTCTACGAAAAGCGAAATGCTGGAACGAGAAAAGAAACACGGTAAAGGAATAATAAGGAAGATCACCACAAAGTTAACTAAATCAGCTAGTGTAGACGATCCACACGTTTCCACGGACCTTTCTCTTCAGGTAAATAAATAACAGAAACATCTATTAAATAGCATTATTTCCCGTAATTGTAAAATCAATACTTCTCGCTTATAGACCTCAGGATCTGAAACCAGCATCAACGAGAAGACTGAAAAGAAAAATCTGAAGAAAAAGTTAACGGACATGTTCAAACGAGGCTCAAGGAGCAGCAGGTATAGTTCAAATAAATATAAAAGTGTTTGAAAAAATGCCATTTTTTAAACAATACAATTAATCGAGTAATAAACTACGTTTTAATATTGACGTCGTGACAAATATGTACAAATTAAAGAATGAAGATAAAATAATCAATGACAGAAAATATTTAACAATTTTTACAATAAGTATTAATTAATTCTGTTTCTCTGTTTTCAGCGTGGAGAAGAAAATTGGTACTTCCAGTCAAAGTAGACCAGTATCAAGGACTTCTATGACATCAAATAATTAAATTACAATTTTATAGAACCTAATTGAATTCATTGCTCTCCATTACTGATTCAGCTGTCTTTAAATGTACAATCATACCAAATGGTGCTGTAATTAACAAAAAAAAGGGACTGCTCAATTATGCGTATTATTAGACCGTATACGAAAACATGTATGGTTTTATACATATCAGACATCCCTTTACTGATATCATAATTACAATTTGCACGAGCATTTTCGAATATCTAATCAAGTATAAATCGCATTATGCAGTGCTGCAAACAAGAAGGGACGTAAAATAAATAATCAGCACGTATACATACTTCCTCTAACAGTATCTTCTTCGTTTGATCCTTCGTTACAGTCCCGATGTCCTCGATCACGAACCGCGTTTCTCCTTCTTCGACTTCCGCTTGTGCTTTGAACTCTTGTGCTCTTTATGTTTATGTTTTTTCTTCTCCTTCTTAGACTTCTTCACTTTCGTTCGCTCTACCCACACGCCGGATATCTTAGAGTCTGTTTTGGGTTTTGCTACTACAACGCTTTTAAACACAGGTTTGAAAGTTTGTGAACTGGATGCCTCTGGTGTGGGAGGCTCGTTCTTCAGCAATCTTGAAGGAAGTGCGGGTCCATACATATCAGGCAACAGTTCAATATCCGGAGGATTTGAATCAGCATCATTAATTTGTTTGCTTTCTGAATCTGATACTAAAATTGTCTCCTTCTCTTTTGTTTCATTTGCTTGTGCACTAGATCTAGGATCAGCTATCAGACTATCAAGGTCTACCTTAGCGAAGATACCCCTTGGTGGAGAAGTGTTTCTGTTTACATTCACCTCGCTTGGAACTTTACCGATTAAAACTGACTTCACTGCCTCGCTATCCATGCTTTCTTCAGGCTCTGACTCAGACTCTTCACTACTACTTAAGAAAATTGCTTTAAAAAGATCTTTCTTTTCTTCAGATTTACTTTTTATTATACTAGCACTTTCATCATCTCTGGCTTGCTTCTCTGCAGTCTCTGAAGTTGTACTTGAGTCAAACTTGCTTGTAGTTTCTTCAACTTCGGCGACTTTAGAAAATGTTTCTTGGACTTCTTTGCCAAAGACTTTCTCATAGGAAGCTTCAAAATTTTTCATCTTCTCAGACACAGGCTCTAAAATTTGACTACTAAAAGGTATATTGCTATTGGATTTTATATCTGAATTTGTACTATTGATACTTTCTTCTTTTGGTGTATCAGCAGGTTTAGTTTCCTTCGATACTGTATCACTAGCCCTTAAAAATTTCGTAGAATTACTCCAGTCAATGGAATCGAAGATGGAAAACTTTGCAGTTTTCTTTTGCAGCTCGGGTTGAGCACAGCCACCTTGTGGCTCAGGAATATTAAATCTTTTACAAACGATACTAGCAGGCTTCCAGTCTATGCGCTCTCTAGTTAACTTACCAAACATTTTCATCTTTACAGCCTGCTTCATCTCGTTCTCTTCTTCGTATTTTGTAGAAGAAGCATCTGAACTTGCAGACGTATGCTCAGAAGCATGTGTAAATTTGTTCGTAACGTAATCATTTATTGGTTGGACAAATAGTTTTGCTGCTTGCTCAAACTCCACGCGTTCGTGCTCCCTGTCCCACTCTGTCATTGATAGTGGCTGTATACTCTCGAGCTTATTCTTTTCACCTTTATTTGAGAAAACTAAATACTGCTCGAAACGTCTCTGTTTATCAGGATCAGATAAAAATGGTTTCACCGTGCTCTTGTTTGCAGAATTGTCTTCCTTTAAATTACTGCTATTTGTACCTTTTTGTTCATCAGATGCCGAAAAGGAATCTTTAAACTCCTCTAAATTTTTCAAGCTTCCCTCAGAATCTTTACTGAGACCAACAGTGCCTCCTTTGACAAAACTTTGCGCATTCAGTTTATCCATCCATGACGTGGCTGCTTTAGCTCTCTGACTTTCTTCCTTTTGCCTTTCTTTCGTTTCTTGTTTCCCATGCAAATTCAACACTTTAGTAATGATATTAGATGCAACCGATGGTACCGAATTTGGATACGATTCTGATGGTTTTTTAGAACTATTAGAGTCTTCCAGTATTCTAGCCCTATCCGCAGCTGTAAGTTCTTTGCGTTTTCCGTTTTCCATTGCTCGAGGAATATTATCGGTTGGTGGATAAAATCGGCTTTTCCTAACTGCATGCACTGGTACGAAATCCTTGGGTAAGTCTGGCGGTGGATAAATTTTCTTATGTTGTAATTTAGCAGTTGCCAGTGCAAAACCTTCTAAGCAATTATCGTTCAAATTTCTCAAACTGTTTTCGGCAGACCATCTCGTCTTTGTTTTACGTTCTGGACCGAGTGCAAAATCGTAACGCGACATGTCCTCCCTCTCGTATATATCTTCGTCGTCAGCCTCAAATGCACCAACTCCAAATGCTTGACCATGTATTGATAACTTCTTGTTTTTATCCTGAACACTAAATGCTGGAGTGTCAAATAAATTTACATGACCAGAAAGTATGGTTCTTCTATCTAAGCCACTATATCCTATGCCAAAGTAATTATCCTTCGGATTACACCTATAAAAAATGAATAGTGTATGTTACAAAGTGTTTGTCATTTAACAAATTTGTACCATAAAGTTGTGAGTTTACCTAAATGGTTCATAATCATCAGGAGCAAATGTAACATCTCCATAATCATCTTCTGACTCCTCTGAACTACTTTCTGAATTTGCCTTCTTAGATTCTTGTTGCAATATTTTCATTTTTGCATTTCTACTTTTTATTTTAGCTTTCTCCTGTTTTGTCAGTCTAGATCCTATACCTTGACCTGGTCTCCATCCCATTTTCTTCAGTAACATAATTCCAACTGTCTCTCTATTATATTAAATATTAATTAGTGATTGAAATTAATAGTTTAACTCATGTATTATATGGATACTTACTTTACAGGTTTCAAAAGGTCCTTCAATACTGGGGTACCAGGGATAGGACCACTGCTCTCACGGTTAACTCTTTCTCGTTTAATACCTCTATGCCCATGATCGGTATAATCACTGGTAGCACAAATACCCTTTGGTGCAATTCCAAATTCTCCTGTGTCTTCATCATCCATGAAATCTTCTGGTCGTTGAGTAATACTTTCTGCTTTGCTACTTCTGGAAGACTTGAATTGCTGTGGTCTCCAACCATCCCTGGTACCAACAGTGTTAAAGTATCCAGCAGAAAAACCTCCAGTAAAGGCTCCATGAAATCTACGCCTGCCTTGTGCATCATATGCACATTGTTCTTCAATGGTGACAGGTTTTTTTCTTGGTAAATTATCTACAAAAAGTACATAGCAAAATGGAACATGTTTAACATCAACCTTTATTATTGAGATTTTCTTAGTTACCTTCATCCAGAGGGTCAAGAGGAACTCCAAAAGAAACATAGTTCTCGTCCTCAGAATCGCTCATTTTTATAATGTACAATAGCTATCATTTAACGATAATTAACATTAAATAGAACTTAATTTATACAACTGTCAAAACAATGCATTTGAGGTTACAAGGTACACATTGAAATAGTGTTTCCTCTTTGACTAAATATCAGTAACCCAATACAAATTGACTAAGATATTTTAAAATATTTAAATTCTTCGAAATTAACTAAAAATTGTATTATTATTATTTAATTAACGGAAGATCATATTTATTATTTCACGAGTTTTGTTCATTTTGCGCATGTTGGCTTTGAACAACTCTGAATAAAATTTGTAATTCCTCGGTTTACAGAATTAACTATGTGTAACATATATATACATAAATTTCAGTATTACATATATAGTAAAACGACGATATGGTAGTTTCCATGGTAGATGTCGCAACCGCTTCTTACATTAGTTTCCATTTTTGACAATTCGTAGCGTTGAAGAGAATTCGCGTATTGAACGCACAGCTTAAAGTATGCGTGTGCTTTATTTCTAAGGGGAGGTGTGGTTACTTGAAAGTGGTGAGTCAAATTTAAGAATTGTGATTAAAGTCACTTTTTGTAAGATAAAAGCAAAAAGTGATCGAAACAGCAAAGAACAATGCTCGGCCGGCTTCCAGCATGTGTAATCGACGTAGGCACGGGGTAAGTACATTTCAAGTATCAAAATTATTTAAGTTTTATTAGAATAAGCATATTAAAGTAGGTATATTTATGATAAATACTTTGTGGGATACACCTTGTACTTATCTAATAATGTTACTTTTTATAACACTCAACTGTGGTACACTTTTGAAATTTTATGCTTGAACGATAGAACAAATAATACTTGTCATATAAATGTCACAGAGAATCTGATCTTTCAGAAAAAGTTTACATTTTACTTCAATAATATACTAATTCTAGGCTTATTATATTAAAACTTTTTTCATAATTTACTATTAAAAGGTACACTTGCAATGAAATCTTATATTACAGGTATACAAAATTAGGTTTTGCATCTAATAAAGAGCCTCAACTTATGATACCATCCGCTATTGCAATTAAAGAAACAGCAAAAGTAGGAGATAACAATGCTAGAAGAATTACTAAAGGAGTTGAAGATTTGGATGCTTATATTGGAGATGAAGCATTTGAAGCTACTGGATATTCCGTGAAAGTATGTAGTAATAACTTAAAATTGCCAATTACACTTGGAGTTTCCTTATAAAATATTTTGTAATTTATACCTAATTATATTTAGTATCCAGTTAGGCATGGATTAGTGGAAGACTGGGATTTAATGGAAAAGTTTCTGCAACAATGTATCTTTAAATACTTAAGGGCAGAACCTGAAGATCATTATTTCTTACTTACGGAGCCACCATTAAACACTCCAGAAAATCGAGAATACACAGCAGAAATAATGTTTGAATCGTTTAATGTACCAGGTCTTTATATTGCTGTGCAAGCAGTATTAGCATTAGCTGCATCCTGGACAGCTAAGAGTGTAGAGAATAGAACATTGACAGGTGTAGTTGTTGATAGTGGAGATGGAGTGACTCACGTAATTCCAGTTGTAAGTATAGAGTATATATTCAGTAGTAATTCATCTAGAACGTTGTGTTAGTGATTTTCATAAAATAGTTAATTTATTTTGTTACTTAGGCAGAAGGTTTTGTCATTGGAAGTTGTATAAAGCACATTCCCATTGCTGGACGTGACATTACGTATTTTATACAAAGTTTGTTAAGAGAACGTGAAATTGGAATTCCACCTGAGCAGTCTTTGGAAACAGCTAAAGCAATAAAAGAAAAATATTGCTATATATGTCCTGATATTTCAAAAGAATTTGCTAAATACGACAGTGATCCTACCAAAATAAAAAAATATGAAGGTATTAATAGCATCACTAAGCAGCCTTTTGTAGTGGATGTTGGATACGAAAGGTTTCTAGGACCAGAGATATTCTTCCATCCTGAAGTATGCTTATTTGAACTCAAGTTAAATTTTATAATAAAAGCAATTCTGCAAAATATATTTAATTATGTATTTTGTTGCGTTATTTAGTTTTCTAATCCAGATTTCACAACTCCACTAAGTGAAATCGTGGACGATGTAATACAAAATTGTCCAATAGATGTTAGAAGACCATTGTATAGTAATGTTGTATTGTCGGGAGGTTCTACAATGTTTAAAGACTTCGGTAGACGATTACAACGTGACATAAAACGAATCGTTGATGCACGTCTCAAACTCAGTGAAACGTTGAGCGGAAGTCACATTACGGTAACGTATATTTTATCACCACACATTCTCAACTTATCTTATTTGTGAATGCAATAAGATGATATACGAGTATATGTACTTTATTTTATTTTAGCCAAAACCTATAGATGTTCATGTTATATCTCATCATAAACAGCGTTGCGCGGTGTGGTATGGTGGTGCTCTGTTAGCAAGCGATCCTGAGTTTTACAGGGTTTGTCATACGAAAAAAGCTTATCAAGAATATGGTCCGGGCATTTGTCGTTATAATCCTGTATTTCATAGTATGGTATAAATTAAGTGAAAATACAAATGGCATTTAAAAAATAATCTTATCACGGACCAACGGTCGAAATGTAACATTATTTACGGCTCTGCCAATAATTTATTCAATTCTCAACTTCTGTTTTTTTTAATGACAACATAAATACTGGAAAAGATGATAAGGGTGTTTTTTACAGTGTAACTGCAAATTGACATAAGTATTAAAAACGCCCATTGTTATATTAATAAACGCACACGGAAATATTTTCATGCTCATTACAGAAATATGTAATATTTATGTAAATACACATTTACATTTAATAAAAATGCAGGGAAAAGTCACTCAAAAATAATTCAAATAATACTTCGCTAGAAATCATAAGAATACTTGATAAAATATAATATAAAGCAATTGTATAGACCTGTACATAAGATAAGTCTATGTGAAAATAATAATTCCTTTTTTTACCAAAATGCATTCACGAAATATTTTATATTATCCCATATAATAGGTCATTCTTCCACATGATATTTTCAACAATATAATTTATTTATTAATGTTTATTATATACAATATCTTTTTTACGTATTTACAACATTTAAAGACTGAATATACGACGATATCTTCAAAACCTTGTTAAAACTTAGAACATTGTACAAATCACGAATGCATAATCTCATGTATAGAAGACAATCAAAATATACTAAATTTTGAATATATAAGTAAGTATTAGAATAATAGTAGTAATATTACTAAAAAATAATTATAATTTTACATTGTTTATGATTAAATAGTATGTATGTATGTATATTATTTTCAAAAAAGTAGTTAAAATTTGAAAAAAGAATTAATAATATTATTTCATTTTCCACTATTATATTAGTATAAAATTTGTATGCTTTATTTCTTTACAGTGCAGTCAACAACCGGCCTTACGTTTACTCAATACTATCGTAACTAGAAATATAAAATGTCAATCGTCAATTCATTTAATTTATTAAAACTTAAAAATTATATATACTTACAGCAAATTTAGTGCTTCAACATCAGCTTCTTCAACTACTACAACTTCTCGATTAATATCTGTGAAAAGAGACGAAACAAAAAGAGAAAGAAGATTGGAACTAGTTCGAGTTGTGTTTCTAGATATTTTATAGATGTCAATGCTATCCGCAGGAGGCAGAGGATCATGTGAGAGAACCGAACCATCACTTTGCACCTATAATTAAATATCATAAAAATGTTATACAGTCATAACGTTGTTGAATAATACTCCAGGACTATATTGAATTATACCTCTTGTACATTCACGGTTACTTCTTTCATGTCGGATAATATAATATGTCGTAAAATATTTTTTGGTAGCTTTCCCTGATAACGTTTTCTTCGTTTTAATTCACAGTATTTAACGTAATCATCTTTACATTCAACACGAGCTATTACAACGTGTACGTTTTCACGTAACCACGGTAAAAGATCTGCTTCGTTCCACAAACGAAAGCTACGTGTTACGTATAAATTTTGTAATTTTTCTAACGCTGGTGATGTCGACTTTAGTGCTTTACTGTTAAAGAAGTCATGAGTTTGTACCTACAAAATATTTAACGTATTAATATCTACTTGCCTTTATATTATATTTTAATCATGAATATATTTAATTTAAAAGTACCGTTTCATCGTATTGTATATTACATTTGTTTAATAAGGGCAACAATACACCTGGAAACATTATTAATGCATTTTGTAAAAGTTCGTTGGCTTCAGTTTGATGACCTAAATGGAAATGAGCTGAAGCTAAACCAAATGCTATGTTTGGTAGCTGGGTTAGGTTTCTTGTACTATCCCAAAGATTACAGAATTCAATAAACCATTCATACTCTTTTGCTCTTAAAGCATAGAAATCAAGAGACAAAATCACAGCTAAAGGATCACCTTCAGGATCAAGTGATAAGAGTAATTTACAAAATTCCAAACTTGTTCTGGAACATAAAATTTTGTAAATACGCTTGAAATAAAAAATAGAAAAAATGTAGAAGTATCGGATTTTACCTATAACACGCACGTCCACCAACGAAATTCAGATATTTAAATAATGTTATGAATAGAGCCCGATTTGGCTGTTTTCTGTAATCTAATCTGCACAAACCAGTTGTGATATTAAATAAAGGATGGAAAGCACATTCTAAACAATATAAAGCTCGTTCTGTAAATTCTGCAGCCATTGCCAAATCTTCATTAAGTTTGCAAAGTTCAGCTATTTGTAATAATGCATCAATATGATAAGAGTGTACATTGATGATGCTCTAAAATAAATTATTACAAGATTAGTATTTCTCAAATGCTTCCACCCATAATATTTAAATTTGAATGTTATATACCACAATATTTTCAGGGTTTAAACTTTCAACAGCTTCCAGAAACTTCATCTGTACTTGTCTATATGATGGACTATGATCATATACAAAGTACTGAACATTATTAGCACTCTTTACAGTACGGTCTAAAGACATTGAAAGACCAGATTTACTAATTGGTGGCCAATTATCTCTTGCAGAAACCAACCATGTTTTCTTCAAATGACCCATACGACCTCTGTTTCTTCTATTGCTGTTAAAATAAATTATTCAATTGTGAGAATCAATTATAACCTCTAAGTTGTACCTAATAATGAAACAAACTACATTAAAAACATACATCTGTTCTGCTTGTACAGTTTTACTACCAAAAATTCTTTTAAGTTCATTATAAGGATTTAAGTGTTTATGTTGCACCAACAAGGTATCTTCTTTGGATTTTGTATCTACCCATTGTAAATTGTCTGTAACTTGAGAACTACAACCTGGGAGCGGTTCTCCCAGCAACTTGTTTACTTCTCTTACAGTTCTTTCAATTTCATCTATATCTTCTTCTTCCTCTCCTTCTTTGGATTCATTGGCTTGTTGAGTTTTAGAACTATCCAACTTCTTTCGTTTCTTCTTTTTCTTCTTACGTTTAGCTTCCTCCTTACAATTATCTTCTATCACTGGTTCTTCTTCATTCTCTTTTTCACTTGCTTCAGAATTTTCATTCAACTAAAGAGAGGAAGAAGAAACATTTAATAACATTATAAAATTCTTAATATTTCAGTTGAATTCTAACCCAACAGAACAACTGAAAATTATGAAATCAAAATAATTAATACGTACTACATCAAAGACATTAAATGTTTTCGACTTAACATTGCCGATTATCGAGTTTTCTAGTTCATTTTCATTTTCATTATCCTTTGGGAGCAACAAATCACTCCCATATACCTTTTTCATATAACGTGTGGACATTTTGCGTTCACTTATTAATCGGAACGTGAAAAGATGTGCAAGTACAGAATTTAATTCGTTTTATAAATTACTTCCTGCGAATTTAATAATGATAAACTGTAACACATTGATCTTTCTGAATTTCCTGGATTCTCACAAACATATTTTCTGCTCACTTGTCAATTTTCTTATACGTATGATTATGATTACTGTAAACGTATAGAAGAGCGACCAATGTGAAAATTTGGTGTACATCACTACACATTACAGATACAACCGTGATTCTAATTTCGCTAAAATCACGTCAAGTTCTACCAACATCTGTGCAATTTTAAAAGTTGTTGAACTGTCAGACCTTTCAAAAATAATATGTTCGTGTTTAGTTGTCATTGGTGCTAATTTGCCACGTGCACGTCAGTGTTTCAACGTTTCGTTACTTGAATACAATATTGCCGGTTCGCGTATCGCTTTGATGTATCAAAGTTGTAAAGTACATGGTATTTCTGTATTACATTTAACGTTATTTTTGTCGATCCCGCAGGAACATGTTTTACGGCAGAAGGTGACGCCATGAAAATTACAAAGTGTATAAGTCTTCCACATTAATTAGTTTATCTACGTAAAGTACTGTCAAAATGAATTTAAAAAACGTTAAGGACAGATTGAAAGATGAGACTTTAGATCTTAGCTTGTGCGACCTGAAGGAAGTGCCTGTTCGAGAAATCGTATGTTAAAACACATTTTGTTAAGAGTACATTATTTTATAAATAAGTGGGAAATATAAAAAACTAAAGTTACTCTTATGCGTTTCAGGCGACCATTAAAAAAGCAACACATTTGGATTTATCAAATAATCTATTAACTTCTTTGCCTGTAAGTGTGTACTTTATATTTTTCTGTTTTGTATGCACAGTATAATATACATTTTCCATTGCAATGCATTTCAGAATAATTTTGTCAATCTTAAACAAATAGTTAAGTTGGATCTTAGTAGAAATGCATTGACAGAAATTCCTGAAAATTTTGGTGAATTGAGGCAATTGAAACATTTGGATCTTTATGCAAATCAGGTAAACTGAAGCTAATTTATTATAAACTTTTGTGACAAATATAAGTGGAACAAATAAAGAACTGATATTTCATAGATAAGCAGATTACCACTCAGTTTAAGCGAGTTAAAAAATTTAAGATGGCTGGACTTAAAGGAAAATCCTTTAACACCTGCAGTGGCAAGTGTAGCAGGACCTTGTAGTAATTTAAGCGAATGTCAAGCTTGTGCTAAAAATATTGTTACATACTTATCACGTGTGAAGCTTACTATAGAAGAAGAAAAATTACGAAGGTTAAATGCAATTGCAGGTAATATATAACATTGAAAAGAATTAATAAACAACCTTTCTTATCCTGAATTTATTAGTAATTTATTTGTGATAAATACAGAAGCAGATGCAGCAGCAGCAAAAAAAGCAGCAAAGAAGAAAAAGAAGAAAGCAGATAAAGATAACAAACAAAATTTAGATAAAAATGAATCTAATTCTTTGCTCAAGGTATCAGAAGTCAATGAAAACAAAGTAGAAACTTCTACAGTAACACATCAGAAGAAATGTACAAATAAGAAATTGGTTAAAGGTAAAATAGCTAAATATAATTTAACAGTTACTCTGTCATATTGATAGCCTTTATATTGTTGATTTAATTTCAGGAAATACATGTCGAACCTTATTACGCACGATTATGTGGATTTTCCTATTTAGTTTAATTCTTATGCTGACAATCTTGGTTCTTCCATTGTACTCGAAACAATCGGAATTGTTTTTAAATAATTTAGAAACAAAGGCAGGTATACCTCTGAAAGCAATGCGACAACATAGTACCGATATATTTCATTCTTTCTTGCGAAGTGCATCTAATATCTACCAAGATTTATACTACGTTTACGAGAAGAACTTCAATACGAACAAAAACATTCCAATAAAGGACTAAACCATACTAAAAGTGTACTATGTATATAAGATCCTTGATCCATTAAAATCGAACGATGTTATTGAGTTCGAAACGTATAATCGTCTCATACAACACTTTTTATAATTAGCAAATAGTATTCATTGGCGTCAATGACGCGTGTTATTAACACTTTGATAGTCAGTATTACATATTCGTCGTGTCAACTATTTTTAATTTTATTTTTAGCAGTTATGTCACACAAGACATTGATTAAAATATTGTATCTTGATATGATACTATTAATAGTGGGTCCAGAATAAATTCCATAATCAAAGTATCAGGGATAATTATTTATTTTGCAAAATAAAAAATTCTTACAAACACTAAGCATTTCCATGTGATACAAATTTATAAGAAAATAACTAATCCGCTATCTTTGGTCTGTAAATAGTTGTCTTGAATATAACAAGATTAGGAATAATTAAGATTAATTAGGATTTTAGAAATGCGTGCAAGCATTTTCCTTGAAACGTTATGCATTGTTGACGACGTTTGTTTTATTCAAGAGCATCGACGACGCAGTCCTGACGGACGCTTTACCAAGAGAGTTCTCCATTCTGCTGATTAACTTCTGGAACGTATTCATTCGCAACGAACTTTGCTGTTCGTTAAACTCGTCCGTCACGTCTTCCAAACCGTTAGAGGCTCGATTACTTTCAGAAACGGTATCGATCGTTTTAGTTTTTTTCCCGAATCTATTCCACGATCTTTTCTCCGGACTAGCTTGCAATTTCGTTTCCTCGTTATCCTTCTTAACGGGATACTCTTTCTGTCGTGCTGTGAAGTCCGCAAGTATGGCAATGTCATCATACAATTCATCTGTTTCGATAAGAATGCTCTTAGGATGTCCAGCATCGACGCGGGGTATTTTATAATGTTCGTTATCCTCCACATTTTCGCACAAATCAGTAGAAGCATGATCGCGGCCATAACTATGTTTCCTGGGCGATCGCTGTAATGAAACAAATCATTAAAGTGATCGAAATAAAAATTAAGACGAAATTCTTACCTGATCAAATTGACACGTATCGCGGTCTTTTTCATACTTCTCCCGACACGCACTGACGTCGTCGTAAAATTCTTGCGAGTCGACCGTATCGGCCACCACAGGTGGTTTCACGTAAACCGGTCTCGGTGCGGGTGGACAAGTATACTCCGAGTCTTCTTCCTCAACACGTTTAATTTCTGGAGCCTTAGCGAAATCGGATACATCATCGTAATAAGTTGGCGGTTCCTGATCGATCTCGGGCGCCGGGCACGGCGGAGGTGGCGATGTTGGAGTTTTACATTTTACTTTCTTTTCACTTTTCTTCGGGAATTCTCTTTTGCTTCTCACTCTATCCAGGAAGGACTTCTTCTGTGGTGATTTCGTCACCTCGTCCGTTTTATCCGTTCGAGCTTTGATCGACTTTGAAGCTAAATTCTGCGTATCATAAAAAAATTAAGGTCAAATAAAATTAAGGTACATACAAAATTAAGGATAATTCATCAGAATGAATCTCTGAAGAGATAAAGAAAGACTTATACCTCGACATCATCATAGGAGACTAAACTCTCTTGCTCGTTAATCAGAACATTTTTGTCTTTCGTTACGGTATTCGCAGTGTCGTCGTAAGTTGCTTCGTTTCGCAGATTCAGCGACTTTCTCGCAGAGTTTTCGGAATTTTTCTTTCTCTGTTTGTGTTCCAATTTACTTTCATTTTTTATATTCGCGCGAGCAGATCGCGCATCGTCATAGGTTGCCGGTTCCCTCGCTCGAGCATTAGCTCGGATTTCAGCGAGGTTTCCGTAACGCATCGCGTCTCTATAATCTTCGATCTTGTGATAGATGTCGTCCTCTTCCTCCTCGAGAAATTCGTAAGACGAACGATCTTCGGGCAAAGACGGTAATTTCCGAGGAATTCGAGCTTGCGAATTAACAGAGTGAGGAGAAGGCGGAAGAGGTGGCGGAGGTGGAGGAGGTGGTGAAATTGATACAACAGGGCTAATGGAAGGAGGGGAAATGCCGATTTCAGTACACGTTTCCTTCGCTGAAGAATCGGTCTCTTTACTGTTATCTTCTTTAGCGTTCGAAACTGTTGGAGGCTCTTCGGGGACGTTATCGACCAACGATCCCACGTCCTGATATCGTTCTTCCCTACGTTCCGGATTTCCCTGGCCGTTCGAATGCGTCACATCGCTTTCCGACTTCGTCACAACTTTCGATAACGCTTTATGCTCAGTTTTTTCAGCACTCCCTAACTCGCAGATCTTCGCTATCCACTGCTCCATGTTCTTCGGAGTGCTCGCCACGAACTGAAACATATACAATGTTTTTATATTTTCTTCTCTTACTTTAATTCATGTAATGGTAAATATGATTTTACCTGGAAAGTCCTGTTACCAGGACGAAATATCTCGAAGGTACTTTCGCTCCGTCGCTGATCCCGAGGAACAGCGTTCGGAGCCGCTCGAGCCATATAACCGCGTATCGGCAAAATGGTGCACGGCCGACTGTCCCGGTCGCTTCCATAAATCAACAAGTATGATCCAATCAGACCTACGTCACAAAGAAATTGTCAAGTTGATCGACCACGTACGAAAGACGCTCACTCACCGATCCAGTATGCTCGGTATTGTTCGAAAACGAACAACTTCTTCCCCTCCTTCCTGTAAAGCGAGCCACACATCTGACACATGCTTTTGGCCTGCGCCGCCGACAGATTAGCATAAACCTCCAACAAAGTATTTTCAGTTTGTTCATCTGCATCTTTGTCCGTTCCATTAATTGTAATCACGTTACTCGATTCGACGGTTTGTAAGGTCTCGTAATAATCTTGCTGCGGCTGCTTTTCCGGCCGTTCTTCCGCTCCCACGTATTCTTGAAGTTCGGTTTCCACTTTCGTCACCAAACCCTTCGACTTCGCGGCGTTCATGTTCAGATACGGCTCCGGGGAACTCGACCTGACGAGCCTCTCTACTACGAGCATCGTCAACGCGTCTTTCGAGCGTATCAGCAGGTTACTTCGCACGCATTCCAGGCTGGGGGCGAGTTTCGCTTCTCGGAGACACTCCAGAAACTGCACCACGTCTACGGACAAAGTTGGGATTGTAATTCTAATTCTATGCACGGGAAGCGAAAGTGACAATACCGAAAGAGGAGGATTTGCGTGTGTATAAATATGCGAGTACACTAGTCGTTGTGGGTGGAAAGAAATATGCGGACTTACCCCGCAAAACTCCGGTGAGCTCCGTATCGAGCCCCATCGTAGCACGTGCAACTTTTGACACGATCCTTCAGATAACGGTGTCTTTATCGCTTTACACCTGTATTTGTCATTACAATTATTTGGTAACCGACTGACTGATTTACCCTAACTTGGTTGTTCACTGAAATACACTGCGACTGAGCGACGAACAAAATGTGACACTTTATCGCGAATCAAAGGAAACGTTATTATCGAAAACAGAGATAGATCTATTCACTCATTTAGCTTCCGACGGACGTATGTCAATTCCAAGTCGCAGTAGCGTCGAAGGAATTTATCGAGTAATTGTTACGATCAGTCAATCTCGAGTTTCTTTCGTAAACAAAAGGCGCCGCCTTTAAACGAGCAACATTAACAAAACTATTATAATAATAATTTAACAAAACTGTTCAACGTCTTTGACAGGTTCTCACCTGTAGACAATTTATCCTTCTACCGTCGTGTTCGAATCGACCTAACGTTTAATTCTACGTCTTCCGTAACAATTAGCGCGTACATAACGTTTACGTTTTTTTTTACATCACTCTCCGATGCCGAGAAAATCTTGAAGAAAGAGAGGAATGCACCGATATCGTTCGATTAAAATTTAACTAGCAACCTAGACACAGACGCGGGAGCAGCCGAAGGCGACTCCCGCAAAGACTGTTTTTTGACTGTCGTTACTCGTCCGAGTCTTTGGTTTCCTTCTCTCTTTTTCTCGACCTCTCTTTCGGACGACGCGATGGGCGTTCGCGCTGTTCCTACGAGCGATTGACTCACTCCTTCGAGCATACCCTTCCACGCGTTAATCCGTCATCCTCGTCACGTTCGCGACGTCTCTTCTTTCTCTGACCACTCTTTCGTCGCGTTCTCTTTCTCTCGATCGCGTCATTACGCAGCGACGTGTTTTAATTGATCATTCCAATTGACGGAGTAAGAACGAGAAACAAACAGCCGTCCGTGCCATCGAGTTTAGCTCACGAACCAGAAATTCGGAGAGTGAAATGCGCTTCGGTTACAAGACATTTATTTCTCGTTCACATCAAAGACTCGAAACGAAACTTGGAATATTCGATGGATTTAACTATATTCCCACGGCGATTTCCCGCGAAGTGTCTCCAGTGGCTTCGCGTAAACATCCGTCACGATTTCCGACATCGCCGGCGGAGGATCTGCTTTCGCTTGCTCCATTTCCGCGTCCACAGCCTTGTTCACGCTACTTTGTAATTGCTGCCGGAATACGATCGTTATCTATTTGTCAATATTTCTCATTCCTTTGAGTACTCACTTGAATTTCCGCGTCAGTTTTCAAGCCGTTTTCTATCATCAACTGAGAAAGCAACTTGATAGGGTCGCGTTCGTCTCTCATGCTTTTCACTTCCTCTCTGGTACGATATGATGTACCAGGATCGCTCATGCTGTGCCCAAAGTACCTATATGTGACCACTTCCAAAAGTATTGGACCCTTTCGCAGAGCATGGTCTCTCGCGAACTTCATTGCTTCGCGGACGTCCAATACTTTCATGCCGTCTACCTGAAATGTTAGAGAAGAGGTTTCAGTTATAAGGTTCTTTGAACGAATTATGTAGATTTGTGTAGAATTATCATGTTACATTTATGAGTTTAAGGAGACATATGTATTTGGTGACTTATCTTATTAAAATTTGTAGTTGTACTTAATAGGAGTTGTTAGATTAAAAGTGATTAATCTATTATTACATTGAGTTATTAAATATTATGTATATTATATATTAGTAATATATATTGTATTATATATTATATTATTATATTATACATTATATTATTGTATATAGTATATATTATATATTAGTAATATCTATTATATTATACATAATATTATTGTATATAGTATATATTATATATTAGTAATATACATTATATTGCACATTATATTATTAGATATAGTGTATATTATATATATGTAACATCTATTATATTATACATAATATTGTATATAGTATATATTATATATTAGTAATATACATTACATTATACATAATATTATTGTAAATAATACATATTACATATTAGTAATATATACTACATTATACATAATATTATTGTACATAGTATATATTATATATTAGTAATATACATCATATTATACATAATATTATTGTATATAGTATATATTATACATTAGCAATATACATTATATTATTCTATATAATATATATTATATATTACTTAATATATTTATCTATTACTATATTATCTATTATTAAATTATAATAAGAGTATCATCTTAACATCTACATTCATTATAGACCACCTAAAGGTGAACTTTTCAACTACCTCACCTTTATTCCAGGGATCAAATCTCCCCTAGTATAAAGTTTCGTGTTCGCAGAATGTCTGTGCACCGCCGTACCCATTCCATACAGATTGTTCTCGCAAATGTACACCACCGGTAAATTCCACAACATTGACATGTTGAACGATTCGTGAACCTGACCCTGGGACGCAGCACCGTCACCGTACAACGTCCATGACACTGCTCCGATGCCGTTGTATTTATGTGCGAACGCCAGTCCGGTACCGATCGGCACCTATTTGCTCCTATCAATATATCTTGACTCTTTTCTCGCGAGAACGTCGTGTCGATTGTTCACCTGACCACCGACGATACCGTCACCGCCGTAGAATTGCTTCGCGTACATGTGCATAGAGCCACCTTTCCCTTGTGACACTCCGGTCTTCCGACCCATTAGTTCGGCGAATATTTCCCGCGCTGAGGATCCGAAAACTACGGCGAAACCGTGGCAACGGTAGGCTGTGATGAGACTGTCGTGGTTTTCCATCGCTAACTTTATACCGACAGACACTGCTTCCTGCGAAACACTAATTGTTATTTCATGTTTCAAATACTTTTCGCATGTTGCAATACTTTCGCATTTTAGTATTCTGTCATTTTTGTAAACTGCTCGTAAAACATACCTGACCGGAATATAAATGAAGGAAGCCGTTGATCAAGCGTAATCTGTACAATTCCGCTGACTTATTTTCCATTCGTCGGATGTACATCATCGTTTTAAGAGCGTACATAGCTTCCTCGTCGTTCATTGTTGCTTTCAGTGATGGCCCGGTTTCGAGACGATATAAGTCATATTTCTGTGGAACATGAATTGTGTACACTATTCTGACGAATAAATTTCGGTAGGACATGAAGATTAATCGTGAGATTTTGAAGGATGGATGTTACCGTGGGTACGGTTATCTCTTTCGATATAGGTCTGCATTGGACGTAGGGGAAGTCCGTCCAGCATCGCGCGAATTTCGACCGGTTGAACATTCCTGCACCGCGGTATAAACATGCCCCTCGCTAACAAAATTTACTCTTTCGCTTCTTTCGAGTTCGTTGAATTTCATGTTACGATCATCGTGTTCCGATCGACACTGAAGTCATCGGTCATGCGATTTTTTGCGAGCCGAACAGGGATGCAGTGATGGCTTTAAGCGACAGTTTTCATCGCTACATCAGTTACAGTTTTACATGAAACGCGATCATATGGAAAATATCGTTCGTGGAAACTGACCCGAGTGAATACAATATTTCTTCCGTACATTCCATCTGTTTCTTTTATAAATATTATTATGCACATATTTGCATATGTCTATAAGAGATGTAGATGGTATTCGTATGTTTGAAATGGCAATATTTGTTCGGTGAAATGCAGGCGTTTGAAACGTGTGAAATATTGTGGCGACTAAAATAACGCATAGATGAAATTGAACATATTGATAGAAAGTATTGATTTCTTATAGCAAAAGCTTTGCTACGAAATTGAATATATTGATAGAAAGTATTAATTTGTTATAGTAAAAGCTTTGCTACGAAATTGAACAGATTAATAGAAAGTATTGATTTGTTATAGTAAAAGCTTTGCTACAAAATTGAACATATTGATAGAAAGCACTGATTTGTTACAATAAAAGCTTTGCTGCTTGATAATAAAATGTAGCAGCATAATTTTAAGGATCTTGCTCTCTTACTTTCTCAGAATTAATTTTGAGATGTCTTCCTTCGTTGGACATAAAAATATATTTTCTAAGATTGTTCATCTTGTTCTTTGTTCTATTGCCATGCCAAGTTACTTGACATTTATAATTTTATATATGTTACATATTAATATAAGAGACTTCTACACCAATATATTCGCAAAAATATAATCTCATCGCAATTTTTGACAACATCGCTGAACACGAATGAAATATTATTCTATGTAAATGTTCAGGCGCCCTCGAGAAGCGAATCTAAAACATTCGTGGGGGAACCACCCGGGTGAAAGAGACGCGACGTCTTGTCGGTCGATGTCGGTCGACGACGCATTTCTAGTCGTAGATAAACGTTCTCTTCGTCGTGCTCTTCTCTGTCTCTCTCAGATGGAACGCGCTGCAACGCTCGGGTCAGAATCGGTGACTTGAAAATTGTACTCGACGAACCACTGTGGCTCCATTTGTCCCTAGAAAGTATTAGGAAAGTAATTACAGTGTTACAACAATGTTTGGCTATTCGCAATTAACATTGAAATGTCTGTAAACTAGTTTCTTAACATTACTTTTATCTTGCATTCTTAATATCTTATAATAAACATATTTGTAAGTTTGTTAACACTATTTTTATCTTGCATTTTCAACACCTTATTCTAAAATTTAATTTCTCCGGAAGATCGTTTAAAGTCACGAGAATACCAGATAATTTTCGAGGATGACGCAAACGTTAATTACCGTGTTAAAGATGCGTTGTCGATTGAATCGTTCGTCAAGGATAAGACATCGTTCGATAGCGTGGAGGAATCGAATTGGCTCGAGGATTCGGGGCTCGTCGAGAACAACGAGTACATCGCTCGTAACTCCTATTTTAATATATTTTAAGAACGAAATGTGATGGACTGTTAAATAGTGATAGCCACTTGCCTTCTTTCGCGGCGATTCGGAAGAAAGAATGGTGCTCAAACGACTTGTGGTCGCTTTTCGAATTTGCCAAGCTTTGGGTGAATGTTCTTTAACTTGAAAACTTACGGATACCTGTGCGTATGTGTACAATGAGAGATAAGACAGATGCAGGAGGAAAAGATTGAAGTGTGCGCGGATCAAAAGAATTACATTTTTGTTCTACTATCGTTGTGTCTCTTCCTCTCAAATAAGTTGCTCTACCTCTTAAATAAATTTTAAATAACAAATTATATCTTTGTCGATGACAACCTATTCAAGAGGGAGAGACGTGGTAAACTATAGTTAACATATCACTGTCCTGAACATTCAGATAAATGAATAGAATACTACAAAGTTGAACTGAGTTCATTTTCAAAGAATTGCACGTCTCTTTCCCGAATGAATCTTTAACGGAGTCGCTCGAACGAAAATATTCTCAGACCCGACTTTGTAACAATCATTCGACTTGGCTGGTACTCCGATCGTCGCGATATTCCACAGATAAGAAAATGGCTGATTAGAAGACCCAACGAAAGAATTCGCGGTTGCATTTGTCCATCGATTTCGCGTTCGTCCTTCGAGTACCTGCGGCGAATTGCCAATCGTTTGCTTCCAATTGTTGTAACGTCGGTGTCGAGGACAAATTCCATTCTCCTTCATACTCCTAGACAGCGACGAGAACGTGTGCGCCATTATTCGATCAATTTCGACCTACCAAACGAAACAGAAAAAGAATTGAATCACGTTTGCTGAATTTATGGACGATGACTTTAAATTGAATATTAAGTATAAGAAATCTCAACCTTGACACGCTTCGCTCGTTTGCGAACGCCGATTTGAGAAGGTCGTGGAGGTGATTGATCGAGGATCAATTGCTTCGATTCCTGTTGCTCCTTTGGATCACCGAATAAACCTTTTGATTCCGCTACTTTGATCATGAACAAAGAATCGAACTGCATCATCTCTTTACGCCTGATCACAGCGATGAAACATCCTGCGTCCAGGGTGCGACTCGCGTTCTCTCCGTAGATCTCGTCGATGCTGCCTATCTCGAACAGGTCGCTATTCGGAACCTTTAATTAAAAAAAAAATATTTAACTTGAATTCAAAAATTTAAAAACCAATCTCGCAAATACAAATCCATTTTGTCTACATCTTACTGTAATGTTTGAAGAATTCATTTGATCCACTTTCCGCAAAGCGTTAAGCTTTTCTAACGCTTCCTTCGCCTCCTTCGAAACCTTCTACATTGATCAAAAAAACAAAAGATTGGTTTCTAAGTATGGGTACAAGTAGGGAAATCTTTTCAGAAAACCTTACCGAATGCTCGCGAATATATTTCTCTAAAGCCATACGATTGACTTGATCGACTACTCGTTGTACCATTTCAGTAGTCTCCGAGGGCAGAGCGGTATGCACCTCGTATACGAGAAACTGAACATTCGGTCTGGTTAGAGCATATTTCAGAGTGGACATCTGATCGGCCAAGAAGGTTTGCGGATGTCGATGGTCGAGTTCGTCGTCGCTGGCGTAGGCGTTCGTTAACGATTCGAGGAGGTCCGTGTCTCCTCCACGAGCTACGGCGAGATCAACGATGTCTTTAACGCCGGTGTAGCTACACGGTGGCGCGGCCAAAACTACCGTTGCTCTCTCTAACTCGGCTGTTGCTGTATGAGACACGTATCTGATAAAACAAGAAGATTAATGGTTATTATAAAAGAATTTATATAAAAGATTTATATAAAAGAACCATCTATTCCAATGATCAAGATCAATATCAAGATCAACTTTACTATTATGTATCCATTATACCATTAGCTTTTTGTTATCTCTGATATGATATACTTAAGTATACAGTGTGTATTTCAATATATCATCGTTCTCACTTCATCATAGCACCTATAGTGTACATATATAATACTTGAAAATATCACACTGAAATATTGTGTACTTCTGCCTATTATGCCAGAGAGTTTCAGAAAATAAAATCAGTGAGGTATCCTTTTCTATACAGCAACCAAATTGATTCCTAAAGCAATCTAGGTTTCCTAAAGGTACATAAAGAACTTGAAGATCATACTCTTCGGAGAAGACGCGACATCGTTGCAAAGTAACGCCCAGGTCCTTCAGGTACGTCTCGTACTCGCATCGGCGATTGCCAGTCCCGAAAGCCAACAGTCTACCAGCATGATCGATGTCGGTCAACAGTCCAGCTAAATACCCAGTGTGTCTAGGTGCAAGGGAATGTGTCAAAATGACCGGCCCGCAAAATCGACTCATACGAATTGCCTTCGCCAGCGCTGCAGCGCCGATGCACATCGATCTCTCCTATTTAAATGAAAACAGATTAGCCAACGACGATCGACGCAAGAGTGGCGACTCGATTACCTACTAAAAATACGAAACGGTGATCGCGGACGAGTCTTGAAACGGCCAATGTTTCCCGAGCTCTTTCGTGGAAGTTAATCATCTTCGGACAGATCGAATCGAAAGCGTAACTGGTTTCGTCGAGCTCCACCTCGTCCTCCTGACACGTTAATCCTAGTTTCGACATTTCTTCCAGAAAGTGTTCCTTCTTGGGAATTTTAACGGTGTTCACCCATCCGAAGCCTATCGCTGCATCTTCGTCCCACGCTACGCCCTCGATCGCTCGTAAATGCAACGGCAGCAGGTCGTCTTAGCGATTCCGGATGTACGTGTAACAAATATAGCGATTATGTTACCGTACGTTATACGTTTACTTTGAACAATTGAATATTCACCGAGTTTGAGGGCGGAACCGCGTATACGCAGCCGTGAGATACTTGCGGCTAGATGCGTTTTTGCTTCCAGAAGAGCGTCGTCGATGTCCGTCAATCCGGCTGCCTGTATAATCAAATTAAAACTGATTGAATTTTTTTTTATTTTGAGGAGATTATTTTCCACTGAAATTTTCTTTAGGAAACTATAATAAGTACTTATCAAATAAAATTTAATGATACCAATTTTGTGTAAAAGAATTTACTGTTTCAAAAGTAATATGAAGTTCAGAGTCCTTATCACAGTTAGGAATAAAGATATTTGAATCGTCTCGCCAAAGTAGCCGCTACTCACGTGATCTATGACGACATACTGTGACGTCACTTATAGATACAGATCAATATGGCGGGAAAGTACTTTTAAATCCATAATTGCTATCATTAAACATATTTGACAAGTATTTTGTATATATGTAGGTTTAAAATCCCAAGTTTCCCTAAAGAAAAATTTATTAATTTCTATAAAACTTTTAAAAATGAGATCGGCGTTCGATCTAACCTCGAAGATCCTTTTACGTTCTTCCGCAGCGTCGACTTCGTCTCGTATCCCAAATTTCCTGCCTTGCATGTCGTACAATAAAAGCCAGACGATCTTTTCGCGGTCCTCAATGGCACTGTTCTGACGCCAAAACCCTGTATCCTTCAGAGCGCGATCGAATATCTTCTTGTCTAAGGAAGAAAGAGAAAAAGGAAATTGCAATTCGAAAGAAATGTAACCTTGTCATCTTACACCTGAGCACGTCGTAAACCAGCCCGAACACTCGACGCATCTCGGCTTCATCGTTGAAACTGGGAAGAGGTCGAACTTTTCGAAGGATTTCTGCCGCCAATGAGATATCGTTGATGCGCCAACCAGGTCGAACGCGTTTTTCCGTCATTGAACCACTGACACTGCGAAACTTCGTTAACGATTCGGTCGATTTGTCGCTTTCTCTTCTTGTAGCTTTTGCTCTTAAAGAATTGAACTCGCGGAATTTCGGCTCCCATTCCCATTTCGTTTCGATACCTCCGGTTTCAGACACGTTCATCTCTTCCGCCTTTTTTCTCTCCTCGCTTGTGAATTCTGCTTCCGGTCTAATCTCGCCGATCCTTCGATTTTTGTTTTTAACACATACTTATTATACGTAGTTTCTCGACCGGTATTGCATTATGTTCGACCGATCGATCTACGCTTTTTAACTCGTTCATTATTCGCTGATTTTTTATCTACTCGCGATTATCGTAGTTGAAAAACGCCATTAGCATTCAGAGGAAATCGATCGATTCGTATCGAATTCAATCGCGAAACAATTTACGATCGATAACGCGGCAAATTTGAACGACCATTTTATATTTATCGTCGAACGTAAACCATAGATATAATAGATCGAGAAAACGAAAAACAAATAGTCTAATCAATATTAGATAATCGAAACGATTCTTGAAACATCGACTCAAAAGCAAATAATTACCTTTTCGCTGCAAATTCAGCATCGCGTTCTCTTTGCAACTCGACCAGTTGATAATAAACTTTGCGTCTCCAATCTTCATTGCTGGGTAAAATCAAGTCTTCTGTATTCCTATCGTTCTTATAACAAACACCCTCACACCTTTCTATCCATCTCGCCAACAAGTTGCGAAAAATTTCGCTATACTCGCCAATCATCTCTCCCAAAACCGTGTCTGAGGATTCTTCTAATCGCAAGTAATTTTCATCTTTTGTATTATGAAAACTTCTCGCCGTCATCGAAATCTTTTTCAACGTTCCTTCCGTTAACTTCAAACGAACACGTTATTATCGAGCGAGCAAGATTTTACCAATAATGTATCGAAAAAATCGATAAGTCGTAAGATCGATAAACTCGTCAGAAAATGGCGGGAAACCCGTAGCTCGAGATGCGACCAGCTCGTTCGAGATTTGACGGCAATTCTTTCGTTTCGCTTTAGATCAGGAGGACAAAAGTGAGGGTAAATCGCGTCGCGTGATTCGATATCGTCTTTTACGAAATCGCGTTCAACTGTCCGCATTATCCTTAAACGAAAATTGCGATTCGCTATCGGACCGATGCAAAGTGACGACGTTCTTGGTAAATCGACATTCTTGATAAATAAACGTTCTCATTTTTGACGATTCTTTCGTGCAATATTCCATTTGTTCGCCGCATTATGTATCGTGGGTAACTGGAACGTCGCGTCGCGTAAAATGTATTACGATCGAAAAGATAAAGGTTGAAATACCATGCTGGTCGTCACGAAACTATGTGCCGTGTACGTACACCTTAAACGTTTACGAAAATCGTGAGTGCAAGGTTACGTCTATCATTTATGTTAAAAATAGTAAAAGTATTTCATCGTATCGCGGCCACTCGGAATGACAGACATACATAAAGGCATCATTGCTGAAAGGAGTTGAAGGAAGAAAGAAATACAAGATAGATCAAATTCTGACATTTAAGAAGGATGCATGAACCAATACGAGCTTTCATCTGCAATTTCCGTTATATTTTAAATAATCTTTAATTCACCTTAAGGCTAAAAGAAACATTTAAAACACGAAAAGGTTACATTGTCTTCCGTTTATTTACCGCCGTCAATGGTTTTCAAGAGAAAATAATAGGATATCGCTGTATTTAACACCTGTAAATTGAGTTTATTTTTTTAGATGAAAGGCGAGACAATACGACGTTTACCTTCACGAAAAGATCCAACGACACCAGCAATATACGGCATGCTTTCACCACGATCGTTCTCTGCGTCAATATTAAAGAAAACTGCTTTATCAAATTGGCATCCCCGTTCTTGTACCAGTAGCTACAATAAATCTTATCGCGAAACAGCTCGCTCTGTTCAAGAAACATTCAAATGAATCAAGATCTGTATCGATACGCTGACAGTTTTGGCGAAAAATTTTCAATCGAAATACGAACTTCGGAAATGATTACGGAACCCGGCCAAGCATACATCAAGGTTTGTGTGAACTTCATTACAAAGTATGTTGTGTATATTGCCATCTGAGCATTACTTATTTCAGTGTTAACCTGTTACAGAGAAAATGACATTTTTCTGAAAACCACAAGAGGAAAGCGGATTTCCCTAGGAGACATATGATAACAAAGGGAAAAGAAACCTTCCATTTATTAACTTTTATGGATATTTGAAGATTTGGAATCTTTGTAGGATTTTGACGATCAAGAAATTTGAAAATTTTGGAATTTGGAGATGTAGAGATATGGTAATCTATGAATTTTGGAATGTAGGGAGTTGAAGATAAGGAAATTGAAAAATTTGTATATTTTGAAACCTAGGAATTGAGGGTTTTTTCATTGTTAAAATGTGAAGAGTTAAAACTTTTAAATGTACATGTAACTCCTCATCCAAAGAAAGGATACATTGCACCCAAATGTACATGTTTCATATAAGAAATTCTTACCTGAACAATCTGAAATATCAGACTACACATGCATAAGGCGTTCGTGGTTGCTACTATTAGAACAACAGGTCCATAAACTTCTTGAATTATGTCCCTACATTTGAACAATGCAACATGCATTTCAATGCATTCGCCAAACTCTTTTCGGCGAATCTCGTCGTCTTTCCGTGCCGACAATATTTCAAACTGCAAGGTCAATCTGCGCAGTACCGACGACATACGAAACATTGTAAATCCATAAAATGCGTCTACCCCGCTAGATACGAAAATGATGTAGTAACAAACGTTAAATTCGAAGGCGTAATGCAAATACCAAATGGGTGGCGACTCCAGTGACCAAGGGAAACGCTCAGGAAACGGTAGCGGATAATTTTCTTCCGTTGTATTGGTAGGATCACGAAGAAGTCTGTTTAACAATGACCTCGTTGCATAAAGCAACGTTATTCCTGCCATTAAAACAGCTTCAACAAGTATTGTTCGATAAAATGCACCAACTAACGGGAAAGCGATTGATTTGAGTCGTGGCTCTTTCGATATTTCTTCCATCGAGGAATCAAGTATATCGTTTAAAACCCACAATTTCTTTTTATGAACGAAAAAACACAAACCCTGAGAAAATTCACAAAATCATGACACGACGTAACCAACGCGAGAACGTTCTCGTATCCTTTTCAAACTGGACATTAAGTTTTATACGATACACGAAACAAATCTTTCACTACAGAAACAAACCTTCATAGTTATGCTAATTGTGGTGGCAAGATGACCGAGAGACGACGTTAGCTTGCTTATGTTCGTAATAGTCGTCGAACAACTGTATGCCATTGTTAAGCACAAAAGAAAGTTAGACAATACCGCCCAAACTGATACAAACTGATATGCGACATACCGGTTCAGAGCACTTGGGCACATACCACCGAACAGAAGATAATTCTTAACGAAACTAACATACGCTCGGTATATTCGTAATTCTTCCGACATAGTACAAATTACGGTACGACCAGTTTTACCAGAATCTTTACGTAGTCATCTACGACGATTTACGAAGACAGTTAGGTTGTTACTCTAACTGTCGTTAAAGTAACAATCGGTACAGTACCCGTATTTTTCTATTCCACATAGAAAGATAATCGATCGATTGTCCAGTAATAATGGACAATTAACCGTTTACCGTAGGTGCACTGATCTTGAATCGGCCGACCGTCGAATAATTTATTCGATAATGATCCTTGTGCACCCCTCGATGCATTCGAATCTTGTTACCTCGACTATTACGATAACTAGCTGCTGATACAAGGAAGAACTTATGAATAAATCAACTAGCTCGGGAACCACGCTCTTCAAACTACTGTTCGATCGTTGAATCGTTTCCTACGACCGCTAAATCGTTCGTTTTACGGATAAGAATCCTCTGCAGTTTTGTTTGTACTTTTGGTGGATAAGAAAGCTGAAAAATAAATTTTTATAAACAAAAGCTATCGACACACAGATTCAAATGTTAATATTATATTTTCTCGGTTTATAAAATTTATCGAGAATATACAAAATTGTAGATCTTAGTCTCGATTTAAATAACAACGTTATAAAAATTAGAATCTCGGAGAAATATTGAACGTATCATTTTTTCCTTTTACATGGTCTCCGCTTTTTCTTCTCTCACAGTACTTTACAACCATATAATATCAATGACCATTTCAAAAGGCACTGCTCCCTTCCGATACGAAAGCTACGTTCTTTGGTTAGTGCGTTAGTGATATCGTTAACCGCAATGTTAACTCGTTCATCTTTATTGCGTTCAGTTTTATTACGTTTTCGAAGCATTTCTTCAATTCATGCTTTTATACTTTGTGAATAAATTGTACAACACGCGCAGAGTTGACTTCAGATCCAAGTTTACGATATCTGCAAACAGAACAAAATTATATTCAGTAATACAATTTACTAAGTGATTATCAAGATTGTATGTTCACCTTCTGGCCGAGCTTTGGGTTTGGGTAATCCAATATCTTGCATAATATCGAACGCGAATGAAACATTATGCACCTTCTGGTCGTGTGTTTTAGGTGTCAAATGAAAACTACCTAAAGGTACGAAAAAACCTTCCAGAAGTCCCAGCAGAAGTGTTAAGAAAACACCGTCGTGGAACTGTGTGTCTAAATCCGTTACTTCCAAGTGTACCTTACTCAAATGTTTGTTAACGAAAGTAATCAATGACTGAAAAAATATTACTGTTAGTTGTAACCTTACTCAACCAGTGTATTATAGATATGTACATCATATGAAAACATACTCTTTTAACGACTGCTAACTTATCAGGCCCATCGTCGAAAAGAGTATCAAAAGCGTCGCGCTCGCAACGCATTCCCAAATCGTCGTATGTCGACGTAATTTCTTCCCTGATTGTTCTGTGTATCAGTTGACCATCTTTTTTACGCACGACTACGACTTGCGCAGCTACTCTTTCAGGTAACCTAACAGGCGCGCGAAATTGTCTCGCTAAACCGACTAATAAATGTAAAATGGCGATGATATTCTTTGAATGGACTGATTCCACACTCCATTTATAAGGAGGATAACGACACAGTACACGATTAGCAGTTGATAAAACAACAGCTAACTTTTGTTTTTGTCCTTCCTCTGATTGCGTTACTTCTGGTACATCCAATTTCTCTCCTGTTAGCTTTTCTGAAATTAGAGAAATATATATATATACATGTACTAAACTTTTAATGACTATAATCTGGTTTCATCTCTCTTGTACCTAAAAGCTTCTGCAGTACTTGTCCATCATACAAATCCTCTGCAATATTTTTTACAATAATGCGTTGATCAGCTAACTCATCATTGATCCATTCTATCAATACAAATATCAGTTCTTTCAGCTTAGAATCCTCCAAAGATCTAGGCTCTATCATGGAACGTTCTTCATTTTCATCCAATGCATATTCTTCCGGTGGCATTTCTGGATTAGCAGCATATCCTGGTGAATCGATTGCATATTTTCCTTCTTCTTGTACTTCTTGCACTATAAACAAACAAATTAAAAAAATCAATATATAACCAATAATTTAAAATTTGGTTTGTATATAATATCATTGGCAAAACACTGATCAAGCAACAAGAAAAACTTGAACAAACCAGTCATACCATATAAGGTAATACTTTCTGTAGATATTTTAAATGATGTGTGAGCAAGATTGACTATGATGTTATGTTAAATGTGATAGGTTACCTTCTTTAATACGCTTTTTCCGGCCCAATGTACCAATTTTATCCCAAAAACTCTCTTCTTTTTCATCTTTTTTCGTAGATATGGGTGGTCGAGGTGACTTTGGTCGCGGAGACGCCATCATTCCATAATATCGCTCAGAAGACACCCGTATAACGCGGTAACACTTTACACGTTACACGAATTTGTGTTACAGAAAATTATGCTTCACAAGAACTTCTTTTACATAAATAATATAACTCGTTACAGAAATTCGCGTTATAAGGAAATCTGCTGAAACGTCATCTCTGTCATCTCTCAAAATACATTACAAACTTTTCATTTCGTTTCCGGAGCTGTCCAGTTTATGTTACCTCTATTTTGGATCACTGATGTCATACTATATTTCAAATGTTCTTTTTAAATATTTATCTTTTTCATTATTATACTAATTTTATACATATTACTTACCTGAAATCGGTACTCAAATATGACAATATTATTTCAGTGGTAAAATTTGATAATTAGACCTTTAAAATTAAAGCGACACAATCGTTGATTTTTGACTCTTCAAATGATATATTACTTAATTTATAACTATAGTTCCTCAAGAATAAATAATAAAAAGTAATTTTAACATTTTCAAATACTAATGTATAAATTGCTTGTATAGTCAAAGGAAACACGTGGAATTGAACTTTCTATACAATAATGTATTGTCAATTTCACGAGAGAACAGCAACATTTCACGCAATTCCGACTAAATTACCCATTTCTCGTTTATTAGTCATATACTCGGTGAACATAATATTCAGATAGCTGAAAAAGAGATAATAATGTAATAAATATATAAAATAAAAGAACCACTAAGTATGTGCGTTTGATATCAAGATATCGTAATAGCGCTTACATGTATTTGGAATCAAACTAAACATGCGCAGAGTAAACGAAAATTCGTTATCCAACAGTCTCGGCTTCACAATCTATGTATTATATATATGTGTAAGAACATGGAAGTTAATTTAAGATAACCAATATTAAAGTATAAAATAAAAACTAACTGAAGATCAAAATGATACCATTAATGAAACGTTGCGAAGTGACTGGGATTATTACCGCATTAAAATTCAAAAAACTTTCATCACCATTCTCCACAACAAAAGCTACTAACAATGGTACATTCTTACTTAACCTCTATATCTCATTAATAAATGTTTACATCAACACATGAAATTTATTTAAATTGTATTTTCAATTAATTTCATATTTCCATGTTATTACATGCTCGCAGAATTTCGAGTGTTGAATATAAGAGGAGAAATAAAGAGACCATTTGTCAAAAAAAGAGCATATATAATAACTGAAGTAGATCCTGAAAAAACTAAAGCTAAAACAATGCCTACAAATCAAGATTGGCAAGCAATTTGGCCTGCTGCTCGAACATTTCATCCTGATGTTGTACCACTACCTCTACGACAAGGATATAAAAATCCTAAAGGTATACATCCTGATAAATATGGAAACACAGAACTTATGAAAATACCAAACTTTTTACATTTAACTCCACCTGTGATTAAGAGACATTGTGAAGCATTACGGAAATTCTGTACAAAATGGCCAGAACAGTTAGAAAAAGATGATGAATGTGAAAAATACTTCCCTGTTGAAATAATTACATCTGATTATTGCTATTCTTCTCCTACAATAAGAGAACCTCTTGCTAGGATAGTAAGTTTAAGAGTAAAACTGTCATCGTTACATTTAGATGCTCATGCTAAAGATAAAATGCTTAGATTAGTAGGTAATAGATACAATCCTCAAACAGACGTAATAACAATAGTTGCTGACAGATGTCCAACTAGAAAACAGAATTTAGACTATGTAAAATATCTCTTAACAGCTTTATATCATATATCTTGGGTAAGTTATCTACTAATTTGTTAATCCTTGAGAATGAGACAGTTTAATTGTAGTTTATATGTTAAATTATTTTAGCGTGTTGAACCATGGGAAACTGAAAAATCTGAGGATGATATGGAATCTTATTACTGGGATAAACGTAAAAGCAAAAAAAATTTGGGAAACATACACTGCTGGCCCCAAACCTTTACTGAATGTAATTATGAGTCAATACCAAGTGTAACAGAATATAAGAATGCAGTTACAGACCTGATGAGTAATGAAGAAAATCATGACTTACTTAATCAATACAAAGAAGCTGTTAAAAATGTATTAAATATCAAATAACGTGAAAAAATAAAATAATTAAAAATAAAAGCTATACTATAGGTTTTAACTATTATAGGTGATTTCTGAGACCACTGATGATTTTTAAAACGGCATATCAAATTTCTAAAATAATGATTACAATGTATACCTTTCCAATACAATTTTTATTGTTCAGTTGTATGTACATTATACATGGAACCATTTAATTAAGTTTAAATGTAGTTGTTCTCTATTCAACATTTGTATGTAGGTATTATTATATGTATATGATAATGTAATGAAGCAATTAGTGGTCTGTCAAGACATCTATAGTAATTATGTGAGTTTTATATAATGGTTAAAAGTTAAACATCATAAATATACACATAATTTTGTCATGTATGTTATTCTACTGAACGTCAGTTTGTTTAAAGCAATAAATAAATTTATGTTAATTTTAATATCTTTATCTTATTCAAATTATGACCAGATTCATACATTTATCTCTCTTAAATGCATCAACTCAATTACCTACTTTCTTAAAATTGAATATCTCATAAATTAGACACTTTAATAATGTATAAAAATTATTACGCTTTATTTATTCAATTTCCTAAAACCGTCAATATCAATTGCTAGTATGAGAAATCATACTACCACGCATTACTGTAAATTTAAAATAAATTTAGAAACTTCTGAAATCTGTTTAAGTGATGAATTTTCACTTTTGTTATTTCCATTTGTTTATTCGGTATTCAGTCTTTGTAATGATTTACTGGAATTCCAATAGATAGACGCGTAGAAGAAATCACGAATATGTTGAAAGTGTGACATATTAAATAACACATTTACTATTTTATAATTTCTCTTAAATAATAAAATAATATTAAATATCTTATCATTATTGTGTTCCTTATTACAAAGTAGTTTTTATACAAGTACGATTACGTCGAGATACACTAAAGATTTTTTTATTCATATTTAATATTATATCAAATATATAGCCAGTTCTCTGTATATCTTTTTACTGGCTTATTTGTAAATATGTACGCAATTCATTTTCTTACTAGCTATTACTACTTCTAATGAACATTACTATTGCCACGGCATTCGAGACGAAGCTGGAGCCGGAACAAACCTACAATAATAATATAGTTGTAAAACAATATTAATTCATTTGAATCCTACAATACTTACTTCTGTTTACTATTTGGTTTCTGATATGGATGCGTCGTTATCAGTCCTCGCCTTTCTTTTTCTCTTACTGCTTTTAATGATCCATCAGTATTCTCCTTATTGAGATTGTCTCTTTTAAGTTTATCTGCTTTTAATTTATTTAATATAGCTATGCTTTTAGCACTCATTGTTATATGTGGTTTCGACACATGTTGCTTGTTCTCTTTCTCCTTAGCTTGAATTGTGGAAGGTGAATCTTTATGCTTTGGAGATATCTTTCTTGCTTGTTTAATAGGCGTTTTTATTATATTTATGTTATTTTTATCTAAAAGAACACGCTTTTTGGCCTTTGGTTGTGTGCAATTTACATTATTCTCCTCTTTTTCTATACTTCCCACAGTCTCGTTTACTTCTACTTTTTCTTTTGTGATGTCATTAAAACTTATATTTGAATCTGATTTTAAGGTAACAGTTGTATCGTGCGTTCCACACACATTGTCCTTCTCTGTACAAGTTGCATTAAAGGTAGTGTTTAATGTATCTTTAGTACAAGTTTGGTTTTGATCATCTGCAGGATATAATGTATATATAGGTACTTTATTATTAAGTGGATCCATTAAATGAGGAATGCTAAGACAAGTTAAACTATAAAAGCACTCCTCATGATTAACAGTTTCCATATCAGACCATTTAATATTTCTTACTCCTTCTAATAACTTAATTAATTGCTTAAACTCTTCTTTCATAGAATCTGTCATTGTTCCATAGCCTCTCATCATATTATAATAATTCTGTAAAGTTGTACTCATCATTTTTATCATTGAATAATGAGACTGCATTTCACACTGTTGAAGATTGCTCACTTTCTTTGCATGCTCATATTGTTGCTGTAATCTAGATTTTTCTATCTCACAAGCCTGTAATGTTATTATGTTTTCCAACTTCTCAAATTTCTTTGATTTTATATCTGAATTAAGTTTTTGCAGTTCTTCTTCTATTAAGCATAATTCTTCCCATGCTGCTTCCATTTGTATTTTTAGAGAATCTCTTTGTCGTTCAAAATAATGTAAAGACTTATTAACTCTTGATTTGCCACTAGTGTTATGCTCCTCAGGTGTTGTAGCATCAACAGCTGCTGTTAAATTTTGCAGTCTCTCATCTGCAGCTTTCTTGTATTGAATTCTACAGCATAGTATTTTGTCAGCACTTTCTAAGGAAAGAACCTTTTCATTTAAAGCTCGTTTTCTTTGAAGTAAATCAGCTAATTTATTACTAATTGTTAGAACATATTTATCTGTTTCCTCATCAGTCTTACTATCTTTTAATTCTGGTACTATAGGGGTTGATCCATTCTCAAGTACTAATAACTTTTGCTTCAAATAATTTATTTCTTTCTTTTGTTCTTCCACCATTTTAATATATGCAGTTACATGCATTTCACAAGATAAAATATTTTTCTTTATATGAGTTTTAATTTTCTTTGCTCTGTTTGCATATCTTAATGTGTTGTATGTATCTTCATAACTAGTACTAGAGGGTGCAATGTTAGCTATCATAACTGTCTGACAATTTCCCCCTAAAGAGTCTTTTAATAAACGCGTTAATTTTGAATCTCTGTATGTTATGTGTTTTGCACCATCTGCCAAGTTATTAATGCAATTTCCAAGTGCTAATAATGATTTATTAATATTTGCACCTTCTTTAAACCTTGCTCCTTTACAACCCGTAGCAGAAGCTCTTTCAGATCCTGCTAAATCAATCATAGATAATTTTACTTGTCGTACTTGGCCATCCAGTTTATTAGTGATGTTAATGTAAACTTGGAAAACAGCATGGCTTCTGCTACTTTCCTCATTTGCATCAGTAGGATGCTGAGTACGGTTTTTGTTACCCTTTGCCAAAAGTGTCAACAACTCCTCAGCACTGTGAATAGTTATTACTTTCAGACCAGCAACAATTACTCCGCATCTACCATCGTCTCTCAAATGTAATGGTCCAGATTTATGTAAAAGATCTTGCACGTTCTCGTTATAAATTTCTAAATATGTTACACCCAAATTAAATTCACGATGCTCACCCTGCTGCTCTATTTGAGCAAATAATTCTGCTACTGTACGATATGTAATGCCTGGATCCTCACTACTGCCAAGCATAGTGTGTGTTTTCCCAGCTCCGGTTGCTCCGTATGCAAATACAGAGCAATTATAACCATCTAACAAACTAGTGATCAGATCTTTAGTACTTCCTTCAAATACATCAGAATTGTTAGATGAAATATTAAATACTTTGTCAAAAATAAATTGTAATTCTTTATTTTGCTTTCTAAGTAAGTCACGACCCTTCTGAGCAACACCATGATAAAAAAATGGATTTTCCTCTTCTTTCGGATCGAAAATTAGCATTTTATCATCAACAATTTTTATGATATTTCTACAATTACTTTGAAGCTCGCGATCATTTTCTGGCCGTACTCTTACTATTACCTTAATACTTGTCTGCGAGCCAGGCTCAGTTTGTATTGATAAAGCTGTTGTTCCGCTTGTACTCGGTTTCGTTGCATTACTTGAAAATCGTTTCTTTGTTAGCTTTTTTACTTTATTAGGCGAAAATGCTTTCGCCAAATCTTTCTTATTAAACACCATAGCAGATTCTTTTAATTTAGATACAAGCACCCATCACCAACCGTTAAGAGTAAACGAAGTTTTGAATACTTTTGAAATTCAAATTATTATTCGTTGAAGTTGGCGCTACAAGCAGTTTAGCCAAAACTGGACACATGTCTAGTGACATTACAGGGAATTTCTTAAAACACATTTAAATTGGAAATTTTAAGGAAAGATGTCACTAAATACCTATTCCAATTATCGGACGCAAATGAACTCAATATTAATTCAGTTCACTATTGATAGATGGTGATAGATGCTATATTATTAAATAGGCACACACATTCACGTATTTTAAATATGACGAAGCAATCATACTTTACTGTAATAAATTTGTTATTAAAATTGTTAATATAAATTATAATTGACAGCAAATTTACTTAATCATATAAATTGTCAAATTACTGAACTTTTAACTATCAAATTTTGAATAGAACAGATTTCTATTATCACATTCCACCACACATATACAGTACCATGCTCTGATGTCATAGTGTTTGTGTATATGTATGTAGATAGTTGAAGAGTCAATGTATCATTGAAAAGACATTGAAAAAGATGAATATGTAATATAACCTACAAAATGATCAAAATGTAATTTAAGAACGATGATATGAAAATATGCTCCCACAAGTATATTATAAAATCGCAGAAATAGAATGGTTCTTCAAAACATTGGTAGTAATTTAATTAAAACAATTGCTAATGCATATACTAGACAAGATAAACGAGGTGGGAACACATGTATTCAAAGATTGTATATGGCATTACCACGGCTTACACCTCAAGAGGTAATGAGACCTACGACATCAATCTTTAATATCAAATAGAATGTACCAAGCAGTTTATTGTAGGTTACAGCAGTCCTTCAAACTAATGAGTATACTAAAGAATTTAATAGCCATGGTTCTATAAAATATTATGATTCAAATCAGTTAGCATGTAACAATCCTATAGAAGACACTCGATCAGAGGCCCAATGCTTACTTACAAAAGGTATTATAAAACATAAACAAAGTATGAGTAATAATAAACTTATGTATACATATTTATATTTTTCAGGACTTTTATTAGGTGTATTCGATGGCCATGGAGGTAGCACTTGTGCGCAAATTGTTTCAAAAAGACTTTTCTACTATATATCGGCTTGCTTGTTACCCACAAAATTATTGAAACAATATTTAGATACAGTTCATACTGATAACAAATTAGAACTTCTTCAAACATTTAATGATAAAGTAGAATTTGTTTCTGAAATTAAAAATTTATATGAAGCAAGCTTTTTAAATTTTGTCCAGGACTTAATAGAATCAGAATGTACAAAAGAATTTCAAATGGAAACAGCTTTAGAGAATGCTTTTCTGAGATTAGACAATGATTTGTCAAATGAAGCACTTTTGAAGTTAGATAAAAATAATACTGCTAGGACTCTTGCTGTTGCTATGTCTGGTGCTGTAGCTGCAGTTGCGCATATAGATGGTCCACATCTCCATGTTGCAGGAGTGGGTGACTGTCAAGCAGTGCTTGGTATATTTTCTGGTATTTATGATTTTAAATATATTCTTATAATTTTATTACAAATTTCTTTGTCTTCATTATATAATTAATTGTAGAAAGTGATGGTTGGTCTGCAAAGCTGATGACTGTGGAACATAATACTGACAATCGTGCAGAAGTTGAAAGAATTCTATCAGAACATCCAGCAAATGAAAAATCAACTGTAATTAAAGTGGAGAGATTACTAGGTCAATTAGTACCCCTACGTTCATTGGGTGATTTTCGCTATAAGTGGAGTAAAGACTTGTTAAAGAAAATAATAGTACCATATTTTGGTGAAGTCGCGATTCCTCCAAATTATTATACTCCTCCATATTTAACAGCAAAACCGGATGTTAAATATCATAGATTAACGCCTAGAGATAAATTTCTTATAATAGCAAGTGATGGCCTGTGGGATTTGATATCACCTTTACAAGCTGTACGTTTAGTAGGCGAACATATGAGTGGAAAAGTAACACTGAGTCCACTAAGATTACCTCGCAAAAACATGAAATTGTCTGATATAAATAACATGTTATTACAACGAAAAGAGGGTTTAAAGAAGAAACCGCTCGACAGTAATGCGGCAACACACTTATTGAGAAATGCTCTTGGTGGTACCGAATATGGTATAGATCATGTCAAATTATCACGATTGTTAACGTTACCAAGTGAAGTAAGACGAATATTTAGAGATGATATTACGATAACCGTTGTTTATATGGATTCTGAATTTTTAAGACACTGCCCTCCATAAGTACTCAAAACCCTATTATTATATTTGTAAGACCTCCAACTAATATCGTTTTCGAACAAAGCTCCATCGAAAACAAACGAAACATTAATGTGTACAGCTTATTATTTATTTAATTAACAATAAAAACAATTTACATGTAAATGGTATAATGCTCATTTGAAGTACGTACACATATATCACGTGCTACATATAGTCGCATTCATTTAGTTCAACGAATTATTCAGATTGATTATTCGTAATTTTAACTGTAGGGGTAAATGAATATAGCTATTGTAGACACATGTTATGAATGTTCAAGCAAAATAAAAATTATAAAACATATAAAGAAACTGCTAATCAACGGGCGCAAATATTATTCGGAAATACTTATTAAACCTACGTATTGTACAGTTAATTTGTTAGATACAACTATAGCGAAAATTGTAAGTTAAAAACGCCCAAAATTCGTTACTCGCGTTTTAACTTTTTCTTTGCATTTATGAACTTTTAAAAAACAGTCTATAATCTTTTTCGCTGACTAAAATCTAACAGCTTTTCGCTTCAAAATATATAATTCATTCTGTTTTGTTTTCGTATCGATTCAGGCAAACAGCGTTCATGAAAAAGCCTCAAGTTTACAATATCGTCATTGTTATTGCGAATTGACTGCTTAAAAAAAAGAAGTAATAAACATAAGAAGTGTTTTCATTGAAACACTAGGTAGCAATGTCTGTCAATGATCAAAAAAGACATAAGGCAAGTGCATGTATAACCGAAAGATACTTTCGTAGATGTACAGTATCCTTCTTAACAAAGTCTAAATATCAACCTTCTTGCCCAAAATCTTCTTTGAATTTCTCTAACTTAGTCATGTCTTCTTCATTCACCGTAGGACGGGTAGTGGCTAACGACTTTAGCATATCTTTCTAAATGTGAAAAAATATATGATATGATGTATTATTTTTAAATATAAAATAGTTTCGGTGTTCACGCGAATTGAATGATCATGCACTTACCATAGTTACAGGGGGTTCATATAATTTGTCACCTTCAACTTCCATCCAACTCATTTCGATAGCGGCTGGATCTCCAGGAGAACATGGCGTCAGTAAATCGTCTACTATGATAGAAGGATCTTTTGGCGATGGCCCTCTTACACGTTTAAAATGAGTCGCGGTTTGAACTTGTCTAACTGGTTGCATGAGCGCATCTCGCACAATAATACTTATATCAGCTCCAGAGTATCCATCAGTAGCAGCTGCTAATTTTTTAAAGTCCTCCTCTGTAAGACAATGGGCGGTATTTCCCAAATGAAGTTTAAACATTATACCACGAGCTTGCTCATCAGGTAAAGGAATGTAAATCCTCTTTTCAAATCTTCTCCTGATAGCAGAATCCAATACCCATGGTATATTAGTTGCTCCCAATACCAATATACCGTCGTTGTCAGATCCAACACCTTAATATATTTAATATGCATATAAGCAAAGGAAATATTACACAAATCATTTAGTTATAAATCAGTCTTGATTACCTTGCATCTGAACTAGAAATTCTGTTTTTATTCTTCTCGCGGATTCTGATTCATTATCAGATCGTGACGAACATAATGAATCTATTTCGTCGATAAATATGATACTAGGTTTATGCTGACGAGCTAAGTCAAATAAATTCTTTACAAGCTTCTCGGATTCTCCAAGCCATTTACTTACTAAATCCGAGGATGAAACTGAAAAAAATGTTGAATTGTTGGCTTCCGTCGCGACCGCTTTTGCCAAATAAGATTTACCGGTACCAGGTGGCTAAAAATAACTTGAGATTATTTTAAAATACTTATACAAAATTAGTTCTCTTTTTATTTAAACAGTTACCCCAAACAACAATATGCCTTTCCATGGAATTCGTTTTCCAGTGAACAGGTGAGGAAAACGTATTGGTAGAATAACAGCTTCCTTCAGAGCTTCTTTGGCTCCATCAAGACCAGCTACATCACTCCATTTAATATCTGGTTTCTCAATAATTATCGCGCCTTCCAATTTACTTTGAAGTTTCTTCTTTTCAGGATCACTATCTGTATCACTGTCTCCACTGTCACTTTTCTTATCTTCTGCCTTAGAATTGTCTTCTCCTGCTTTCACAGGTTTTTTCTTGCTCTTTTTCAGGTATGCTTTCAAGTTTTCAGCTCTTTCTAAATACTGAGTACACTTTGCTCTTATGCTTTCCTTTGCTCTATCTCCTTGTGCTTCATCTGTAAGAAACACTCAATAACTGAACTGGGTAAACTATACTACGTAGTATCTAATATTAAAAGAATCTGATAATACTCGTACATTTGATAGAGTGCAAGAAATATTCAACTGCATGTTCGTACAATCTAAGTGCTTCTTCATAATTTTTATTCCGATCCTCTTCTGTTGCTTTAGTAACCAGGTCTATAGCTTTCTGTAGAATGCCAAACAGATTTGTAATTGCAAGAATTAATTTTACAGTAACATAAATATAATGAAAGTAATATATTTCAGTAACTCACTTGCAATATTGTGCCTAAAGCCATTCTATTATTTTAAGTTGTACCTAACCTTTGTTTTCCTGCAAAATTTTTTAATATTTACACGACTGTTTACCGTCACGATTAGACGCAATGTTTGGAGTATATAACAAATCGCGGTGACCAAAGCGGATATCTACCGCATCGAACTAGTATCCTGATTTAACTGATTTTAATCAATATTAAATCTTCAACTTTTTTGTCGTTTGATAACCTTCAAAACTCAGTTGTCCAACGTCACCGCTTGACATATCATGTATACTCTCATCAGTACTCCAAGTACTCACTAATCATTTCCATGAACTAATCCTTGAGTACTTTATGCACAATGTTATGGAGTTAAATAAAGTCGTGTTCACAATTGTACACAAACAAAACAAACATAACAAATTATACAAAATTGAAGTAGAGAAATATAGGAAATTACACAAATTTGTTGAAAATTACTTCAGATGCGTTAGACATTCATCATATATGCATATGGAAATACTACATGCTTAGTACAATATATAATTATATTATTATAAAAGTATCAACTAAAATGAATAAATATGTAAAAGATTATATATTTTAAAATAAGTAAATAAATTGATGATGAAGTATTCATTTTTCTAATCGTCAGAAATAAAATGAAAACTGAAATTTTATGTATATAAATGATAATTTTTTAATAAGATACAGTTCGTAAATATATGTGTATGGGTATATATTACATGTATGAAAATAAATACGTATAAATACGATACGATGAAAAAAACAGACAGCAGACAGTGAATACGCGGCTTGCGAAGGCGAACGCATGTGCAACAGCTACCTGTCTACGAAGCACCGAATCCGAAGAGATAAAAACCTCGGGGCTACTGAGAGCTACCGATGGATCTTTTTCTGTGTTTACACCTGTTTCTTATTTTTGTTTCAATACTCTTGTGGGCCTAAATCTTTAATCAGAAAGTTAATTTTATTAAATTCTAACCTAGCAAAATATCGACATACGAAAAATGCGTACCGTGACCATATGATAGAAACACTAGTCGAAACCAAGAAACTTGGATCATCGTGGTTTAGTAATTTTACAATAAGGAAACAACTGAGGAAAAACGTTTGATCTAAGTATGAATCGTTTATTCGTTTCCGATTTCCTATTTCACTTTTTTGCTCCTTATGACAATCTCGCGAAAATTAGGGGTGTGGCTAACCGGTTCTTTATTATTCTAGGCTATGTTCTGAATCTAACTTAATTTTAGAATTCATCTAAGGTTAGGATTTTTATGCACTTTGAAGGATTGTATTTTTATGAGTACATCAAATATCAGTACGTTTTTAGTAGTTCTTTTTCATTCTTTTTTACACGAAAATCTGAGCATGAAGAAACGTGAAACAATAAACATGCTTCCTTTGTAATTACCAAATTATGATATTTTTTTGCTGATAATATTTCTGTACCTTTGTCATATTTCTTGCATTCACTGTTAACAATTGATCAATTTTACAACATGCAGTAAATGTAGAACAACACACTTTTGGTGTGAAAATTAATAAAATGAATCAACATAGAAGATCATAACTCTATGCATTGAAATATTTTATATAACTTTTTCACACGTATAAGGTTTTAAAGACATGCTTTAATGGACCAAAGAATTGTGATGAAAATGCAAATATATTAAATTTTACGTTTCATGTTTTTAATTTCTTTGTAAGTTTTTTATATGTCCATAATACCTCATCAATAATAGAACTTTTTTATTAAGAGAAATATTAATGAATTACTGATTTTTGTCCAGGTAATACAATATATTAGACATAAGACAGTGATGTCTGTCCCTTCTTCGTCGTCTAATAAAATATCTAATGGTAAACCAGGCGGTACAAGTCCTAGTCCTGTAGAGGGCATTGAAGGTGTTCCAGGACCAAGTTCTTTGGAACCTATGCATTCTTTATTACCACAAGATGAAGAATCGGAAGACTATGGTGATGATGGTGAGGAAGAAGAGGATGACAGTAGCGAAGAAGAAAGTGAAGTGAGTTTTATTTTTGTATTAAAAAAATTATGCTAAAATATTTGTGTGTTGCAATATCTAAGTTAATTTGATTTCAGATTAGTGACACTGGAATATTCTGTGATGCAGAATGCGAACCCAACCTCGAAAGTAATAATTGTTCGCTATCTACGACTCGACCACAGTCTCTTACCCAACAAGTTCACAGTCCCATTTTACATGCTTGCGTACCCCTGGATGTTGTTCAACCACAAAGGAAACGTACTAGTGAAACAGAATCGAGTTTACCGTGTAAAAAGCTTAATCCAGAAGATAAATCACATTCAATGTAAATATATAGTTCAAAAGAAGTTGTACAAAATATTTCTTGAAAATAAGTTTTAAAATATTGCATAGTGCACGAGTCTTTTTTGTTATAGGATCGTTAAAAAATTGGATGAGAAGAGTAAACACATGAGATGTGTTATTCCAACAAAAGATAATCCTCCACCTGAAATGAGTAATTGGCTTCTTCAGTTTCAGGTATAAGAAAACTAAATCCTTTAATCAAATAAACTCTTGTATTCGATGAAAATAGATGCAAACTAAAAATATTAATTATAACTACAGAGGTGGTCAAATGCTGAAAGAATGTTAGCTATAGATGAATTGATTGAGCGATGTGAACCAACTCAAGTGCGGCACATGATGCAAGTGATCGAGCCTCAGTTTCAAAGAGATTTCATATCATTACTACCGAAAGAATTGGCCTTATCGGTGTTAGCTTTCTTAGAACCGCGGGACCTTTTACGTGCTGCGCAAACGTGTCGTAATTGGCGATTTCTCGCTGATGATAATTTGTTATGGAAAGAAAAATGTAGAGCAGCTGGTATAGAAGACTTGAAGGACTTGCCTCCAGCTAAACGTAAGAATTGTAGAAATTCTGGTAATTCTTCTTCACCTTGGAAACAAGCGTACATGAGACAACATAATATAAAGATGAATTGGAGGACAAAGCCAATCCGAACGCCAAAGGTCTTAAAGGGACATGATGATCACGTGATTACCTGTCTCCAGTTTTCTGGTAATCGAATAGTGAGCGGTTCCGATGACAACACTCTTAAAGTGTGGTCCGCCGTTACGGGTAAGGTAAGTTAGAAATTATTATTACTTATTTAGCATTCTTTTTTTTATTTACTTTTATTTCTTCAGCTCAAGTGATTATTTTTTACTTTATCTTACAGTGTCTAAGAACACTAGTCGGACATACCGGCGGTGTATGGTCCTCACAAATGTCCGGCACTACAGTAATCAGCGGTAGTACAGACCGTACTCTAAAAGTATGGAATGCTGAAACTGGTCAGTGCATTCATACTCTGTACGGGCATACCTCAACGGTGAGGTGTATGCATCTACACGGTAACAAAGTAGTCAGCGGTAGTAGAGACGCTACGCTAAGGGTATGGCAAGTGGATACTGGCGAATGTTTACACGTACTCGTGGGCCATTTGGCAGCTGTTAGATGTGTGCAATATGATGGAAAATTAGTGGTCAGTGGCGCCTATGACTATATGGTCAAAGTTTGGAATCCGGAACGTGAGGAGTGCCTTCATACACTACAAGGACATACAAATCGTGTTTATTCCCTCCAAGTAAGCATCGCGTTTAAATCACGCGCATAACACCAATGTGTGATACGATATGCATGTATATCGATGCCTTTCAAACCAGTGTTGTCCATGAGTGGAGTATTCCCTTGCGCGGTTTTGATTTTTTCTATGCGTCATCGTTAAACTTGTTGCTATCATGTTCACTAACACGTTTGTTTTATTTGTCTGCACAATGTCAGTTAGCGTTTCAACGTCTCAAAGACAAGGGTAAAGTTTGGTAAGCTCTGAAACTGGACAGCACCGTTGCGAACAATATTTTATATAAAAATTTACTTGTCAGAATATTAACGTGTTTCCTTTGCTTCTTTTTTGTCTATGTATCAGTTTGATGGTGTACATGTTGTTAGCGGTTCTTTGGATACAAGCATAAGAGTATGGGAAGTTGAAACTGGTGCATGCAGACACACGTTAATGGGACACCAGTCGCTTACTTCGGGAATGGAATTACGTAATAATATTTTGGTATCTGGAAACGCGGATTCAACCGTTAAAGTATGGGATATTGTTAGTGGTCACTGCCTTCAAACACTTTCTGGTCCAAATAAGCATCAGTCTGCTGTTACTTGTCTTCAGTTCAACAGTCATTTTGTAATTACTTCGTCCGATGATGGTACAGTGAAACTTTGGGACGTTAAAACTGGTAAGTTCTTTCAATTGACAAATTTTCCTTTCATTTTAGCAAACGTATTTTTTAAATGTATTAATTTTGTATTTAGGTGATTTTATAAGAAACTTGGTCGCTCTCGAGAGCGGCGGAAGTGGTGGTGTTGTGTGGAGGATACGTGCAAGTGATACAAAATTGGTGTGTGCAGTGGGTAGCCGTAATGGCACGGAGGAAACCAAACTTCTTGTTCTCGACTTTGACGTAGAGGTAAAATAATGCACCCGCGGTGCGAAACTGTCCTCTTCTATGACTTCTGTACATAATCTAATTAGGTAGCGTAATCAATCTACTGTACAATGATTCATGTATTACATGGTGTGATTGTGATAAGAATGTATGTCGAAAACCAGAAGGGAGATCGTAGAAAGTCGAACGATGAATCGGTAGTTGTAAATGATCTCCAAGATGGTAGAACGTTTAAATCGAAGGCATTAATTATATTAATTACGGAGTGTATTATTCGTGGTGTACAAATATGAGATTTCAAAGACTCAACAAATTACGAAGAACGAGGAGCTTAACTAACAGTGTACCACTGTATTATTGCTGTTACAAAATCTAAATGAAGTCGCTATAGTAATTTTAAACGGAATCAGCCCGTCATAAACATTATGATTATATAACGATTTGTATGGGCGTTTAGGAAAGTATTTTTAAACTATAAAAAACAAAATTTCGTACTGTATTTATCAAACTTATAGATACAAATGTCGCTTAAAGAATCTCAAATTAAAAAAGATAAACAAAAGATTCGAATGAGGGAAGCGAAGAAAAGAGAAATAAAGCAAAGAATTGGAATAAATGATAAATTTAGGTAAAATAGGAAAAAAAAAACAAAAATGACCAGAGTAATAAGGATATTCTTTGTATCATAAATTCTTCAACTCTGTTGTGTTTCATATGACTTATTTAAATTTTTCATTTACGTTGGTTAAATTAATTATTATGGGAATTGTGCATAATTTATTGGATAATGTAATGAATATTTAATAACTTTTTAATAACAAAATGAACATTGTTTTCCATTAGATCTACTTTGTTTCATTCGCGCCAGTTCTAATTTCATCATCTAAAGTCTAAACTGTTCGTGCACAAATGTTCATACAAAATCATATAGTTCTATCTATATCTGATTTCTCGAATTTTAAGATCGTGTTTCTAAACATCATAGCGATTTCTAGCATTTTAGCGATGCTAATGTTATGTTACATTAGAAATTGAATCGTTTATGTTGCTCGTTAAGCAGAATGTTGATGAACGTGTTACGTGAAAGGAACAATTATTCCCTTATCGCAGCTTCGAGAAAGAACATTCAACACATTTTATTAGTTTTTGTAATAACTAATCCGTAAAATATGCAGATATGCATTTACCTTAATCATTTAGCTATCATTTAGATATATCCACGTACATCAGAAATTTAGTATGTCTATTGCATTTCAACGTGTACGCGTAATAAAAAGATTACAAATTTTGGGACACGAAACAAGAATTCCTTAGGATAACAATAAAGACACTTCTAAAGATACAAAACAACAAGAACCGAATATTCGCCGAGTTTGCCTATATATATTTTATCATGATATAGAGTTCTTTTCATAACCAGTTGTATTATTTACATAATCAATTACATAATGGACAAGAATCATGTGCATGCAATTATCAAGAAAAATTTATGACTCTGCAACGTAGAGTCTATACTTTTCGCTTGTCAAATATTTCTTCAAGTATTTGATTGATTTTCCACGCGTGACACGTTCAGGAGTCAGTCACTGTTCATTGTTCATTCGCCGATTATTTAAACAACCAGGGTTAATTCAATATTCGTGATAATAATTTAATTGATTGGATCGTCGATATTTAAATAAAATGTATTAATTTTGACATTAGTAACAAGTCTGGTTTTGCCATGGTGCAATAATAAGAGTTGCAAACCTATCCTGTGCAATATGCACGAATCAATTAAACAAAATAAAATCAATTGTCATGTGAAAATAAATATGAACAAGTTACAGCTTATTTCAATTTATTGTAGATTTTTATAGGAAATCAGTTTTTTATACAAACTTTTGTCAGTATAGGAATTACGTAAGCAAATACGCAAACACTGGATTCCCATTGACAATAAGCTTTATAAATTTTAATGCCAATACATAACACGATTCGTGTAAATGCAATTTTTATTATTGAACCTAGGATATTCTAAGGATCGTGTTTTTATTTGTATATTGCTCAATAGTTTATATTTGTAACGATGTGTTATCTGTTGTATCATTTTTTATAAGAAATAGAAAATGTTGCTGCATTTTAAATCCTGTCATTTTATATTTTATATTTAAATATTCTGTACCTCTTAATTGCTTTACATGAAATTTTAATGATACCACTTTAAAATTACCTCTGTGTACAAGTGTTACGTGTCAACAATGATAACAAAAGTACACTCCAAACATGGAACATGTATCGATTGATTTTTCTCCTCGATGTATTCTTTTTGAACCTGGTATACTCCACCACATCTACATCGATAAATTAATATATCCTCATCATCTGTTACTTCTAATTCTTCAGCCTGTATTCTTGCATATACTGTAACACACTCAGAATCTAGTTCTGTTTGCTTCTGTACAGTGTCATATTCTTCCCTCGACTTAGGATCACGCAACACGTTCCAAGCCTCTAATATACGTTGAAACTTTGCATTATCAAATTCTGATTGATTCTTATCTGGATGAAATTTTAAAGCTAATGCATGATATGCACGTTTTATATCTTCCGACGTTGATTGTTTTGTACAACCAAGTACATCGTAATGATCCGTCACATTCATAATATAAATTATAAATCGTATTGTAAATTTACATACATGTACAAAATCATTACAAGAAAGAAAAACACATTCGAGTATATCATATAACCTAACAAATGTTAGATTTATTTGTAACAATGTATACGTATGTAAATATAAGTTTTCGATTCATCGAAAGAGTAGCGAGTTATCGTTCGTTCTCCGTATATCGACTGTGATTGTGTTCTGCGCAAGCGTTTTTACGACGTTTTCAGCGTCGAGCATGTATACTTAGCGATTTTTTTATTTTGTAATTCCTTACATCCTTTCTTTACCCTATTTGTATATGCTGTCCATTGAATTTATAACCGATGAAGCACAAAATAAGGCAATATAAATATTGGGAAATCACTTGAATTCAGTTGAGCTGAATCAACATGTTTGCGCATTGGCGCGCGCATATTGCCGAAAGCGTTATTCAATTTAATAAAGCGGGAACATATGAAATAATTGTCTTATTTTCTTCGAAAAGTCGTTTATACGTATGTATATACATCTAAATCATTGTCCAAATTCAGATTTGCAGAATAATCACTAATATTAATGATCAAATTGACTAAAATATAGCGAAAAAAAGGAAAATCATTTTTCCTTTATTTCTGTTTTTCCTTTTGTCATAAGTCTACCGTATTTAATAATCTCAAGAGCATGCCGGAAATATAATTGTATAATCTATACAATATCATTAAATAACAAATGCTTTATCAGATAATTAAAATCCACGATATCACAAATCAAATTGCAGATGTTTTTGTAAATTCAATTATTGCGATGTATAAAATGTGTCATTGCGATATTTTAAATATTTACTTGGTGCCAATAATATATTTTTGTTAATACTTTTCTGACGATGAATTTTATGCAAATATATACAAATACCGTTTATTTGCGGGAAAATAAACATACGTATCTTATAAATCAAAATGACTATGAAATACTAATGTTTTTTATCCTCTTTGGCTTTCAGTATAGTTTATCTAAAACTGCATATTAGACATATTTGTAAAACCTTATATATAAATAACGTTTCAAAGTTTTTATCAAACTGGAATCAAAACTGAAAAAAACTGTCTGGAATTTACACATGATTAGAACAGTTAAAAAGAATTAGTTGTAGAAGGCTCGAGTACACCTCTTTATCTGCATTGATCACACAAAATACAAATATATACATGTAAAGAAAACATATCGTGTATAAGTTTACTTCACTAACTTCTGAGATATGTGATAAATTTCACGATATTTTTATAATCTATAAAGACATTTATATAAATAAATTGAAATCTCATTCAGAAGAAAAAGTGTTAGAAAGTCGTTCACAACGTATCTGACCAGTTTTCTTTGAAACCAACAAAAATACGTCACCCTTTTCAAAGTCTTTGCAATTTATCGATTTTATTTACAAATGTTTCGCTTCATAACGACGTTATGAAATAAAAGTTTTGCCCCAGAATCGTAAGTATCACAATAAAAGTTTACGCGACACTAAATGCCGCGACACAATAATATTGTAAAATTCTTTAACAGATTTTCTGTTAGACATTTTTCTCTTTTCCTTTCAACTTAATTATTACACCGATTAATGACTGCGATAAACATTAAAGCCTGAAAATTGCCAACGCCTTTCCATATTTGCTCCAATTCCAAATAAGTCTTGTTTAAAGACTTGTGGAAATCGTTGCATCAGAGCTTCTACTTCGTTCGGTTTGATACCAGGTTCCAGCTTTTGTAAGTACGACCATAGATAATCTACACTTGCGCCAAATGGGTGGATATGTAAAAAGGTTGCTATTAACCCTGAAACGACAAAAATAACATTGCATATAAAGCTGACAAAAATATAATACCTAAATAACTGGAAATCATTTTCACCTATAAGTTTGGCATCCTTTTGAGTAATTTGAACAAAACTAGATGTTAAGACTAATTGTTTAGGAGTTCGAGGTTCTTCATTTATATCATCATCCTTATCCAATGTGATTATTTCGCTCTCTCTAGGCTCTTCCTTTTTCGTAGCATTTAGTTTTACAGTTAAATCCTTGATTTTCTGGTCATCCTGTGCTTGCTGTTTTCTTGACTGCATCAGCTGCTCTTGCATGCCTTTTAGAGTTTGCTGTAACATCTTCATTTGTTTATCTTTTCCATCTATCTCGCTCTTCGTCTCAGATTTAAGCAAATCCACCTATAAAGCATAAGTTTTTCTTTAGTAATTTGTAGACAAATTTAATACATTGTAATACATTATAATACATTGATACTAAATTGATGCATACTTCATTTTTGTATGCCTCCAATTGACATCGAAGACTGTCATTTTCTTCTTTCAAAGCTTGCAGCCTTTCAGAGTCGTCGTGTCCATCCGACTGATTGCGTGCTTTCTTGCGTTGAGGTTCCTCTTCCGAATCGGAGACTTCCATTTCCCCTTCACCTTCCATTAACGTTTCTTCCAATTGAACTGCTTTAATTTCCTGTCGTCATTAAAAAATCATCACCAAATTAATATTGATTCAAGTTTTATGATAAAAACAACACCAAAAAGAACATGCTATATATACGCATATGTATGTACATATGTGTCTTTTAATGCCAATACGAGTATCGTAATTAGTAGAAAATTTTACTTTCAATTTGACCTCAACAGTCATTTTTTCAGTACAATATCTCTTGTATAATTTATTCTTCACAATGGGTATTTCATTATGTTTGAAAAAATTGTTGATTAATTTTCAAAAATATCTTTAAAAAATGACCTGCTTACCTAAGGAAAATTAAAGAAAAAACGTGTGTGTATATATACATATTTTTAAATACTTTTACGCCGAATAATATAAAATAATCCTTTGTCCCTTAAATCGTTTGGTTTACAGTTTCCATACGTGTTGTAGAATGATAAATCTGGTTTGTAAGACCGAACAATATAATTTATCTTACAAGCTGTTTAATTTCTTATTACCTGTTTTGTTCCTGTCAGCGGTATCTGTCCAATTTAAACTAACATAATTGTTCTTTACCTTTCGTGTTCCAATATTTCCAAAGTTTAAACACCGATCATACAGAAAAAATTCAACGACCAGACTCGGAAATCGTCCGTAGTTTTTGATTGACTTACCTTCCTTTTGAAAAAAAGTTTTTGCAAATGAATGTGGAATCGCGTAAAGAAGCTCTTTGAGACTCGTAAGACTTTGTTGTTGATTACTGTTGTCTAATCATAAAAAAAGTAACGTACTGAACACACTACTGACGTGGAAATGCGAATACATACCGAGGATTGTTTCTTCCACATTTCGATATTCTTCCGTTGAGCCTTTGTGAAGTGATCCCAGACCTTCTTGTGGCTGGCCGCAGTAAAGACGCGTTCAATCTGACTGACTGTTGATGACATGGTCGCATGTTGCATACAAAAACACAACAAATCGTCTGTTGTATACCCTGCTTTAAACTCTACGTTCGTTTTGATCTAACATGTTACTCTCGTTTTAGTTATCTATACACTTTACAACATATTCTTCGCAATATTCTCAATATTGTTGTTACCAAGTATCCTTGTTTCCTGTATCATTCAGATTCGAACGTTTCCTTCGCATATTTGAAAATTATCCCTATTGCTATTCGATTAAATCTTATACAAATCCTCTATGAATCGTGCTAAGCAACCTTATCATGAAATTACTTATCCGAACGTGTAATGATTTCATAAACTGCTTTCACCGTACTGAGGATCCTGTCAAGGCCTTGTAATTCGGCTGCCAATCGGTCTTTTCAATATATCATGATTAATGCTCATTTTCTTTTGGAAAATGTGCACCAGTTCCTTAATAACTTACAACATGTAGAGGCTTCCAACGTTAAAGATGATCTTACGTTATGATTCCATTTGAAAAGAAAACAAAACACAGGAAAAGAAAAGAAAAATGCATTAAGCAATTTAGAATGTTTACATTCTTGTATAGTCTTATTAATTGATAAATTAACTGGTTACATGGGGAATCGTAGCGTAATGTCATCTCTGCAACAAGTATTTAGCCCATCACCCTTAATCCTTAGCATTGCAAGCATGCAAGTCTTAGATACACTATGTCTCTATAAAATGAATTTTTGTGATATTTGTGCTCTTTTGTTCAATCATTAGAGCTTAGAATCGAAAGTCAGGATTTCTTCACCCACCTTATATTTTCTCCTACTGTCTTTGATCCCTCTACCGACTTGTCCTGATCGTGCATTGACCACAATACACTCGTTACATAATAAATTTCTTACGATACACCTGATGTTGAATCTCAATGAGGATGAAATTTTTCAACGAACTTATCACGATTAACTGTATCAAGAATATCCATTAAAATTCGAAACAATTTAAACAGTCAACTACGTAACTTTTAGCCTTAGAAATTTAAATCAATTTTGTGTATTCATCTTCAAGTACCAGAACATTTAATATGAAAAGCAACATACCTTTGTGACTATTAGAATGATAAATTCTGCATTTATTACGGTATCCTTATTTTAAGAATTAGATGTACAATGAAACAAATTTTTTGCTATCGTAAGACACGTTCAATTCTGTCGTAATTACATTTGTCATAACAAATACCCAAAGGATTGTGGCATCCTCACTTTATGGCAAAAAAAAAACTTACCAGATAAAGCAATATGTATGTAGATTTGCTCTTGTGTACACAAAAAATGTACAATAGTACAGAGCTATATGTAAAAGGTATATGTATATGTATATATATATATGAGTATATATATACATACATATATGCGATATATGAACGTACATTGTATTAGAAGTCCTTGCATTCTGCCTTTCATTAGTTCCTTCGCTTTCTGCAGCTCCTCTTCGTATGCGACTTTCTCCGTGAGCAATCGCCGAACATGAGAATTGGTTGATTGTATCATCGAGTAAAAGGTATTGGCATTGCGTTTGGTGCAATCTCCACGCTCGAGCCACGTGACGACAACCTAACGTATTTTAAAAAATTTCATATTTCATACAAAAAAGTATAAATATAATTTTAGTGGTATTACTCACTTGTACCGCTTTCATGAATGTATCGTCTTGTTTAATTTTTTCACAAATGTTGGATGCTTCGTGATCCGTGTAATGTACCACTGGTGGTGGACTGGACGGTGCCCTTTGTCTCTCTTTCTCGACTCTTTCTCTGTGACGCTGCTCTCTTTGTAGTTGACGTTGTCTACATTCCCATTCATACTGATCATCTCTAGCCTGCATTTGTATACATATATTTAATATTCATTAACGTTGCATTTCAAAATTACAAACCTGAGCAAAGTCTACGTGGAGTCTTCCAGTGTTTGCAGAATCACCGCTTGATCCTATTCTAACTCGGTATCCGGATAAATATATAGCTGCGTCGACACTATTTTCGAGTACAAAACGTATATGACAAAAATTTTTTTTAGAAAGACGTAGAGTAGTTATTTCGCCGCATCGTTCAAATATTTCTTGAATTATCGTTTCTGTGATATTTTCTGGTAAACCTGCATGAAATTTATAAAAATACAATCAGTATTATAATGATAATTTTAATTTTTTACAATAATATAAAGTGTTGGAACAAAAAGAAGTTACCTCCGACAAATATTGTTCTACATCCTGGAGGCCTTTCTCTAGTTGTTGGAGGTGGAGCATTTGGGTTTGGTGGGAACAATGTACAACTTTTACAATGTATTATTTCTTTGGTTCCTTGAGGTGTTGTTGGTGGAGGAGGTAATGCACTGCTCATAATTTGAGCAGCATCATTCATTATTTGTTCTGGTCCTAATATCTGTGCACTTATCATGCTACCATCATGAGACATCATTCCCATACCCATAGGTCCATAGCTATGAGTGTGTCCCATGTGTGGACCAAGTGTCATTTCACCCATCATTGGTCCCATTGGCCCCATTGGACCCATTCCCATTACTGGATATCCAACTCCCATTCCCCAAACTCCTGTTGCCTGTTCCATTTGAGGACCCAGATTTGGAGCACTACTAGTATTTGATGATGATGGAATTTCATTATTATTTGAATTATTATTGTGTCCATTGTTATTACTCGTGGAATTCATATTATTTCTTTCCTCTGGCCTTCGTTCTTCTCTTCGATCCCTATCATTTCTTTCTTCTCTTCTTTCTCTATCTCTCTCTCTTCTATCACTTCGTTCGCTTCTAGATCTGCCTCAATAAAAATACATTTGAGCATAATACTAACATAATTTATAAACAATGGTTATAAATAATAAACAAATTGAGAAACCTTCTATTATCCCGATTATCTCTATTGTCTCTGTTTTCTCTTTCTCTTCTAACATCATTTTTATCTCCTCTTTTATCAACATTATCTTCTGATGTTTCTCTAGCTACTGGTGGTTGATTTTTGTTTGTACTAAATTCTAAAGGAGAATCATTCATTCCAGGTAATGGTATTGGTGGAGGTAAGGGAGGGAATCCTTGACCTCCTGCCAATTCCATAAAACTTTGAGGGCCAGCAATGGAAGTAAGAGGTCCCATTGGTCCCATACCTAAAAATATGCGGCATTAAATATAAAAATATATACAAAACTACTGCAATATAGACATAACTTTGAATAAATAAGAGAAAATGATTACTCAATACATAAAGTAAACTACAATAGGTTAATACAAAATGGTTATGAATTTGAAGCATACCCATTGGTGCCATAGCCGCTGCTGGCACACCCGGAAAATTGTAAGCCATCTTCTAATTTCGTCACCGTTCGATATTAATTTCTGACCAAATTATGAAGAATTAAAAGTTAAAGAAAGTGGATTTACTTGTTGAAAATCCTAGATCATATCGTTGCAAACCCTGCATCCAATATGGCAGAATGACAAATGTAACCTTCTTAACTTTAAAGCCTGCAGTTGATTCGTTTCCTCCATAGTTTCGGGATAAATCTTTCAACTATGAAAGACAACGAACATATTAAAATTATTGGAACAAACGTGATTTTAATACCGTACAAAGAAAAACACGTTAAAAAGCGAGTATCGTTTCTCACTTATCGATTATCGTCGTATTTTCACGTTAACAAAATATCCGCCATTTTTAAATAATATCCCATGGCGTTTTCAATCACCTACCAAAATTTCACCAATATTATTAATTACTTACTTGTATTTATCTTTCTTTGAATTTATTTTCAGGTATCACGAATGGATGAAGTCAGCAGAATTACAATATTTTACAGGTTCTGAAGCTTTAACGTTAGAAGAAGAATTTGAAATGCAAAAGCGATGGCATCAAGATCAGGACAGTGAGTAAACTTTTGTGTAATACAAAATTTAATTATTATATATTTTTATTTGTTTTAGAATGTACTTTTATCATTTTGGAAAAAAGCATTTTTTCTACGTCTTCAAATGAAATAGGTATTTACATGAAATGTAAATTTATGTTGAACGTCGTTTTCTTAAATTACGTATTGACATTAATGAATTTTAGAAGCTATGATCGGAGATACAAATTTATTTTTTAATCAGTCAGATGAATTAAATTGCGCGGAAATTGAAATTATGATAGCAGACGTTACTTGTAGAGGAAAGAAGAGAGGTTGGGAAGCAACGATTTTAATGTTACTCTATGGTATGCACGTAGTGCTATTTTTTCCTTTTGTTTATTTATAAATTTCTTTTTATTTATATGTAAAATAGATTGTTTATGTCAGGAATCGAAAAATTGAACGTAACTAAATACATGGCAAAAATTAAGTTCAACAACGAGAAGAGCATAAAAATGTTTGAAAAATTGCAATTTCATGAGGTAACCTCTTCATCAATTTACGCTCGGCATAAATAATATTAAAGTTTATAATAATCGACTGTAATGTTATAAAAATAGGTAGCTAAAAGTGAAGTTTTCCAAGAGTATACTTTTGAGAAAATTGTAAGTCAAAGTTGGAAGGATTGGCTACATTCTAATGTTACTGATACAATTACTTATGAAGCTTACAACGAATAATAATCGACGGACTATTGTTCGTAAAATTTAACAAATTTACAAATATTTAATTTATGTACATATATGTATATATTATTTTGTTGAATCAAATAATTTTCTATACCGAGATTACTTGCAATTTATGTAACTGAGACGTGATTGGTTTTGATTAATTCTAAGTGGGTATAGTAGATAACACGTGTACTATGTAAGCATATCCAGTAGAGCGTTGTTCGCTATACCCCCTTTTTTCGGTTGATAACTAGTCGAGACTAAGTTCGATGTAATCGAAATTACACAAGAGTAACATTTCACAGGTTGGTATATTTATTTGTTTTATATCTGTAATTGCAGTTTTTCCAATATAACAATAACTGTATATTTAAAATTTGTCACAATACTAGCCAAATCGAAATTCGGGCAGCGAGCTTATTTAAATTGTATAATTTTCGTGTCGTTTATTTTATCAAATACACGTTTTTACATTTTATAGAAGTTAGTTTATTCCGATACCTGCTTCATTCTTTCATATCATTCTTTATCATAATATGTACAAATTTACAAATTCTTATATATACATGTTCGTTCGTTGTATATGTGTTGAAACAGTTGAAATTCTTTCTAATCAGTTCGCTATTATTTGAATAAGTTACATCACCATCAAAAGATTAAATAGAATTCGTAGTGATCGACAGAGATAAATTTCATTTACGAAACGTAGTTTTTAAATAATCAAAAATATGTTTTATTCGTAGCAAAAACTTTTGCTACTTGTTTAATGTAATGCATTAATTTTCAGATAATAAAACACAATCGAAGTGAACGGCAAGTTGTGAGAAATTACGATTGTGATTAGCGAAAAATTATGTCTGTCCTGAGAATTCTACAAAAGTTAAAAAATTCCGCCCAGAAAAGACCGTTACTCTTCAATTCTATGATTTATGGTTCTTTTTATACTGGTGCCGAATTTACACGACAAACATATAGCAGAATATTTAAGGTAACGTTTCTCGCTGCGGAGAATTTTTGTCATAATTCCAAAAGAGAAAAGATAACTAGAAAAAATATTCTATTCCATTATACTGTTATTATTCTTAGTAATATATATTACATAATATAATTAACTAGTATGGCAAATATGTATACAGCGATTTTTAAATATGCGATTCAACAGATCTAATTGAGTGTCAATTGTTTCGATTATAGTTTCCGTTACCGCCAGTGTCGGAAGATAACGTAGAATTGAACACGATCGAGAACAAGAAACCACTACTTGTTTGGACAAATAAATTTAACGAAACATTGGGTTTACTGGATGAAAAAAGCTCAGCGGAATTAACAGATTACAATTGGCCACAACTTAAGCGATATGCTATCTATGGTTGTTTCATTGCAGGACCGGTGTTACATGGATGGTATCACGCTTTATTATAGTTGTCTTCACAAACCTGAACAATCGTGAATGTTTATCAATCATTCGTCTTTCCAAACATGATCAATGTTTTTTGAAAACTTGATCGATTTTATCGATGCACATTGTTAGTCGCATGCCTATTGTATTTTTTCATTATATTTTTTGCATGAAATCTATATATATTGCATATATAATATGGGATTTTAAACACGTTATTGTAAGTAACTAATGAAGTATTGGTATACATATAATAAAATGACTATTCAAGTATCAATGAAATTATCACAGTTTAAATGACTTTAATTTTAAATTGACATTGTCGTTATTAATGGTTTTGAAAGATGAATGATGCCACGATCACTCATCACAAATCAAGATTACAATGGATTAACTTAATGTAGTCAAGATTGAGTGATCAGATTTTGGAAGACAACTTATACCTTTTTCTATAATGCTTTGTATCAGTTCTCACTTAATCTTTATCACATTCTGCTTTTATGTTACAAAGCACATTTATATATTACGTGCACGCTTACATGTATGTACATGCGATACGTTTTGCAACGAATCGACTAATAATTGAAAGTAACACTCTAAACTATAAATTATTATAAAATAATAGCAATATTATTGAACAATAAGTTATCTTTAGCCAATATTAATATGTTTCAAATGCTTGAAAAAGCACATAAAAAAATAATCACTGATAATATATATTAAAACTTAGGAAAACTTGTAAGATAGAAATGTTAGAATATTTTCACGATTATACGAGTAAAACAAAGGATATATAACATACAATATATTTACTTATCGATAAATAACTGATCGTTGCTCTATTTTGATGGTGGTGATCTCTCTTAGACACCTTCTATTATAGTTACCAACATCAAATAAACTACCTATCTACTGGATGACGATTGCACGATTAAGTACATTCATCGGCACGTTGGCCTTCTCTCAACTTATCACTTTCGGTGAGCTTATTCTGCTTTGCCATTTTTATCGATGCAAAATTCGCCTGTATGAGTCGCTAAAGATTACAAATTGCAATCAGTAATATAGAAAAAATTCGTTTCATAATCAGTTCATCCAAAAACATTTTTTCCTTGTTAATATATCGCGATGACTGAAAGTTGAAAGCGAATTGAATTTTACAATATTATTTCTTTTCAGGTACAAATGGTTAGACGCGTTCTACAAAGGCACGGCAATGAAGATAGTTCTTACAAAGCTTTGCGTCGACCAATTTGTTCTTACTCCACCGTTGATTATAGTATTTTTTATCAGTTCGTATATTTCTTGTTCTTTGTATTGTTACTACACTTGAATATTATTGCTTTTATACTATTCTTAACATTTTTAGGTATGAGCTTAATGGAAGGCAAGCAGGATATTTTTAACGAATGCAAAGCGAAATTTCTTCAAACGTTTAAGGCAAGAAAATATATTAAATTTCTTCGTTTAACGTTCAAGAAATTTGTATGTAAATTAAATTTTTGTTTTTAGACCTCGTGTATGTATTGGTTGCCAGTTCAGTTTTTGAACTTTCTATTGATACCAGCAACGTTACGAGTTTCCTTCGTCAGTGTGGCAGCCTTTTGCTGGGTGAATATTCTTTGCTATTTGAAAAGCGCACCAATGATCGACCACGATAACAACAACCAGATGAAATATTAGTCTCTTAAATTATTCTCGAAAAAGTTGAACATTCACGTTTATTGAAAGATAGACTTCTATCGAAAAACACCGCACAACAATTGACATATCAAACGTAGCTAAATGAATATTATATTAATCTTGCATGAGTCAATTTCATGCTAATATGCCAAAAATAAGATTACAATTTCTTAGTTTAGTATGGATATTATAACAAATAGTTTTTAAAATTTGAATCGAATTCAATGGATTTTCACAGTAAATTCGCTTTTACCAATATTTCAAAATAGTCAAAATCAAATTTACTATTATCCGTAGAAACGTATTTTCAATATGCATATAATTGCTATTACTGAAAATATTACCTTTTATCTTTTAAACGATCAAAGTATTTTTAGACGTCCATTAGTTACATTCGCATAGTACGTACGTATGAATACGTATAATTTAATACAGTCTTTTTCATGTATATTATGAAAGAATCGACTCATTGTATCAATATGTAAATTTTGTAAGTAAAATCGCACTTTACATTAAAGGCGATGCAGGATTATAAACATTCCGTAACGAATTTATCTATATAAAAATTGCGATAGACCAATTACGTAATTTAATTTATATGTATTATATTGTGGTCACAAAAAAATGCGATTAATAGGCCATAGAAATTTATTATTTTCGTACAGAATATCGTTGCTGTCTGCGTTATATTTATTTTAAAAACCTAAGTAAATCGATGATGATTTAAAAAAAAAGGAAAATACTGTGAAATAATAGATCAAACGAAATTTCAACGTTCATAAAATTTAAGTTTGCTACTCCCTACACGTTACATTACACAACACTTACTTTAAACAAGATGCTTCCATATTCCGTAGAATTTGATAAGTTGTCAACTATAAGCAAATAAATATTATCTAGATAATTAAGTAAAAATTGTTCATTGTTTAGCATGTAACACTGTCAGTTTTGACAGTAAGCAAAAATCAGTCCGTGATAAATGTATCGTCAAAGATTGTATTAACTTCATGTTATATTTGATTTATATTAATTTCATATTATGTCTTGTGTAAATGTGTACACAGATTTACCACGTATGCGCAAAGTACCATCAAAGTACAATTCGATATATTTGATTCATTTGGAATTACTATTTGCTTATGTTATGTTTCTAAATTTATTGGCAATGATCGTACAAGAATACTGACAATTGCCTTATATTTTATTAAAAGATTTTTTATAATGCTATGTATATGCATGAGATATAACGTGTATTTTTACGAATAAATACGTATATAGGATTCGACGGTATTGTGCGATTATGAAAAATTATTTTTTCGCTATGCGTGTCGTGCGATGTAATTCCTCAACAGTCTCTTAATAACAGATCAATTGGTTCGTCTAGATAGTATTTAGTTTTAATAATTAGGAAAGGCACCTAAGAGGGATCCAGCCCTACCTCGTAGAAGAAAATATATTCATTGTTCCACTAGCTGTGCGTTTTCTTATAAGACGTGCTGCCACTATAAAGTGTAAATTATAATGGACATTACCGTAAAAACATTATCATTCCCCTTTCTCTACTATAATAAAACTTACCAGTTGCATCCTGTGGGGTAAGTGGTTTATCTATCACCTTTTGAATAACATTCATCCACTGCGTTCTATCGTCATCGCTTTGAGCAGAAAGTAGGTAAGTTCTATCCGGTGTTTCAAGAGTAAATGAAAACCCTTGATCCTTTGCACCAGGAGGAACTCCTGTTCTCACTGCAAAACCGTCTGAACTGTGACCCAAGAAAATTTCACCCTTCGGATGTGCATCCTTTGAATTTCCACAAAATACATTTAATAAATACAATATAACATTTGGAAAACATAAGTATAATATTTCTTAGGTATGTACGCATACCATAGGGTCGTCATGATACATAAGTTTTCGTCCATCTAACGTGAACCATCTTTTTTTGTAGGCATCTGTGTGTCTAGGACCAGTTTTCCATAAAAATCCTTCACGGGGGAAATCTCGCGTGAGTTGTGAGAGTAACTCAGCTTCGGTTGCTCCCGGATATGCTACTTGTAAACGGTGTAACTTTGCACACCTTATTGCCAAATACCAATTTGTAATTACTTCAGGGTCTTCATGATATACATAGATATGTCTTGTTGTACCGTCCTTCATAAACGATATTTGTAGACTATTTTGATTACCAGTTTTAGGTGGTGCAAATGCTACATTTAATTCTGATATTCTAAGAACAGCTTTGGGTTCCTTGGAATATGATAAATAAATATGTAAATGAAATGTAACAATAAATATATACATATATATAAGATTTAATAATTACACACCTTATTTTCCTTAACATGATACTTTAAAGTGTCTTCTGCTTCGCAAAGAACAAACTTTCGAGGATGATAACGTGAATCTTCCTTGCCACGTTTCATCAGAAATCCTTCCATAAACCCTGACACGTAATGATTTTGCCTTTCTGGATGACAAAATTCTTCCCTTTCATATTTTGCTCTTATCCATTGCTCCACCAATACTCTGTCAATTACATAAAGTTTAACTTCTAAAATATGTTTTAATTTTTTTTGATTTTGTGTTATAGTCATATACAAGATAACCTACTGTGGTGCATCTGGGCTTGGTCTGCGGTAACATGGAGGTACACGTTCTTCATAATGCAGTCTAGCTGCAACATTACCGACTTCCCTAATTCTATTTACTTGTGAATCCTCCCATCTGTCCAATTTTAAATGTTTAACTTTAGAGATGTGTGCACCCATAGACCTATGTATACCAGCACATCTTGTGCACACAAATATACCTATGTTATACGAAGCCCATTCTGGATCTGGAATAATTTGGTAAAACCATAAATATGCAGAATATTCATACATAAATATGTCTATTAAAAATGAGACAATATGAATGTTATTACTTGTAAAATGAAAGATACAATGATTATTGCCTTAGAAAATAGTTCACGCACACAAATAAATTTAATAAAAATATACAAGAAAGGTAAATAAACATAACAAGTAATATAAACAAGGTATATGAAATTTCTTTATTACTGTATACAATGTAAGTTGATTTGTTACTAAAACATAATCATCATTCTTTCATTTCTTTATTTACACGTAACACATTATAAATGCAACAAATTTAAAACTGTTTAGAACAGATAAGAACTCAGCTATTGTAGATATAATTCACATAAATCTCATATAACAATTTACCAACTAAACAAAATGCTTTTTGAATTAGTTACATTATTTTAATATAAGTACACTATATAAAATGATTCTTTCTATAAATCTCAATAAGATGAAGCTAAATGAAAACGATAACTTTTGATTTCTATTGTTACGGTATTATGAATGTAATTAAATTGTTTTACGCTTAATTACGACAAAAATTACGAAAACAAAGTTTGAAATACAATCACTAAATACTTTAAAACATGATTAAATAAAACCTTCTCAATGGTTTTTATATTATAATACATTAATATACTTAAAACTTCTCAAAAAACCCACTCACTCTTTGCCCCACAATCCGCACATACATTATTTCCAGGTTTTTTGAGGAGTTCTGCTAACAACTTCTCGTTTAAGTCCGCCATCTTAAAACACTGACAAACAGCAGTATGTGTATATACAAAAATTATTCGGTACAAAGAGAGTTAACTCGCTAAAGAGATATTTTACAGCCGAGTTCGAAAAAATTGTAATAAATTTCACCAGGCGTCGTTTTAATTCGTCGCATAAAATAAGAATTTTTATTTTCCATTTTCAATTTCCGCAGTTACTCATTTACTTCTTGTCTTTCCTAGTTTACAGTACATATTAAATAAGTGCAACTTTTTTTAACTACTGTGTTTTTATGTATGTTGATATATAAAATCAAGTTAGATAATGAACTTTTTGTTGAGTGCGTTTAAATGACAACGTTCACGTATTAGCTGATTATAAATTGTAAATATATTTATTGAATTCATTAATTTATATTTTTTTAATACGACATGAGTTAGACAGTAAAATATAAAGATATTTGATAGAAAATGAGCGTATAAAATAAAATATTACCAGCCATCTTCATAAATTGTCTAAGTGACGTATTGCAATTGAATTTGAAATACTATTTCTGTAAACACTTTGTCGATTATCGTTCCCATTCTTAATTTTATTCACTTTAATGAAAATAAATGCCACTGATTATCCTAAAATCTATATTAAAGAACCATATCCAGCAGAATTTCAAGCTTCTTCCACTCTCTGTCTGTTATCTTCAAAGTGACAAACAAAAGATAAAGTCTATCTTATACTTCGTCTGTCAAGAGTCTATCTTCTTTTTAAAAAAATTAGAATCTTTTTAAGGAAAAGAGATACGAAGTGGAGGAAGCTTAGGGATCAGAGTTTGAATGGATGCCAATGATTTAAATGAAGAACTTTGTGTTTTTTATTGTTATTAATTGTTTACTATTATTTGTGTTATCATAATGCGTTATGTTTAATTAAATTCCAATCATTTGGAAGCTGAACCCGAATTAGTAACATTTTCTGAGGATAGGCAGTAATTGAAGCTGTTGAAAAAATTTATTTGTGGGCTGCATTCAATCAGAAATACTCCTGTAAATTGATTTCAATGATTCACTTCAACAATTAACGCTACACGTATTTCAGTTGGGGATTGTAAATAAGAAAAATGTAATCACGAAAGGATAAAACAGCAAAGAAACTCGACGTTAATTCTGTTCGTGAAGTGATTTATCGTTTATACGAGGCCAACGAGTGTAATAAGTGACGCGTTCTGCAAGTAGCTAACCAATTTTGATTCATTAATAGGTCGACCCGTATGACCCAAAGTGTCGGAGACAACTAAACGAATTAATTTACTCGCGTTCTTAGTGCGAGTGCGCAATGTGTTGTCCAAAAAAACAAATTTCTGTTTGTTGTCAGTTGTGATAGTTGTTCGTGAATTATTTTTATCGATTGTATACATAACATCATTCTGCTTCAAATAGAAAGCAATTTGGCTTCAAAATATTTTCGCAATGTATTTTAATAGATGGATTTTTTGCTGATTCTATCGCAAAATTGTACGAGATGAAGGTAATTCAAATAAAAGAGTGTCAAATTATTGTAATTTTAGTACCGCAAGTAACAGAATAAATTTGATAGTAGATTATAAGTTTCTTCGATTGTTTACATATAATTGTGTTTAATATCTACTTATTAGTATTGATAATTCATTCATATGTATTAAATTTTTAGTATATTATACATCATTTATGTTAAATATACATGACTGAAGTTTTCTTTATTTCTTCAATATGTTATATTATTTATACATTTATTTGAATAAAATGCATGAAGTATGAAGTTTGACTAACAAATTCGAAATAAATCTTATTTCTTGAAAACAAGTTTTTATTTGATATATCTATGATCAAAGTTATAATTAATTTTAAAAATATTTTTTACTTTATTTTTATTGTTTTTACAGTACTATATGTTTGTAAACAATGTGATTAAAATTGTTAAAAAATTTATAGATGCAGTGGTTTGCCATAATGATGTGCTTGTATGCGGGGGTAGCAAGTGCAAGGACGGAAGAAGACCAACAAACATCTTCATCGACTGCTATTACTGGAATATCTGGAGGTCTTTTAGAACAGTGTTTCTACAAGCCTCCTAGTGAATGTCCTAATGTTAAAACAACTGGATGTTTGTGTGAAAAGATTGTTCTTGTTCACAATAATCCTGAAGGAAATGCAGTACTTTGTTGTAATTTGGACATGCAAAATTTTGAATCTGAACTTTCTTGTGCAGGTTTATACAAAATTATTTCACCACATTGATATTTAATAACATAACACTTAAATGTTTCTAAAAAATATTTCTGTTACGACAGGATTTCCATCAAATATATCTTATATACATATAAGAAATGCAACACTAGATGTATTTGATGTAAGTGAAGTTCGATGGAGAAGATTAAAATCACTTGCAATTACTGATGGAAGAATTAATCGAGTGAAAGGACAATTCCGAATGATGACACCAACGGTATGTTTAAATCTTTCAAATAATGCTCTTATTGAAGTAGAAAACAATTCTCTCACTCGATTAGCTCAACTTACTACTTTGGATTTATCTTACAATAATCTTACACATTTACCGGCTCTAAATACAATGAATGGTCGTGAATTTTGGCTTGATATTTCAGGTAAATACATTTTAGGCAAATCTAATAGCATTGCTACTATTTGAATGATATTATTTTACAAATTATATAAAGCATAAGTTTCCATTGTTTATATGTAGGAACAAATACACTCTGGTGTCATGATATCTATCAATACATTAATAAAACAGGAGAAAAGCAAATAAATTTTAATCGTGAAAATGAAACTGTATGTTCAGCTAGTAAGACTTGGCATTGGTTCAATACTACAGAACAAGTACCTTTGAAACAAGTTCGATATCTAAGTTTGGTAATATTTTGGTATATAATATTTGCTTTCATATAACAATATAATTAATGTACCAGTTCGGCCTTTAACATACAACAATTATTTTTTAAATCCATAGTTGCAAACAGAATGTCCTAAAGGAGATACTTGGCAGTGTCAATGTAATTTTAGAAGATTAGATATTGTTGAAGGTAAACCACCGACTTTGGCGGTGAATGTAGATTGCAGCGGAATTCAAATCACTGAATTACCCGAGAAATTACCTCGCAATACTATAGCACTGAATGTATCATACAATAACGTACGTAAAATTTATAATGTTATAAAATAAAATATAACTTTATAATTTGTGCATTTATATCTATTATGATTTATTGTTATAGATTACTGCATTAGATGATCTCAGTACCAATCCATGTTACGAAGATATACGAGAATTTTATGCAGACTACAATAATATATCATCAATAAATAAACTGGAAGGTTCAAAATTTTTAGACAATTATGCTTTCCTTAGTCTGCGATACAACAAAATTAAATCTGTAAGTAAACCAAATGAGAAAATTGTGGTAAATGATAAAAACTGTATAATTAATATCTTATAAACGTTTAGCTTCCAACATACATTTTGAGCCCTAATACTCACGACAAAAGTTTTATTAGCTCCCGTTTCGTCAAATTAGGAGGAAACGAACTACACTGTGATTGTAATACAGCTAAGTATTTAAAGGTATGTACGTATACGTATATATTACGAAAAATTTAGAATGATTATACTTAACATTTTAAACTATAAAACAGGTATGGTTACAAACTCGCATATTAGATTCAGATGAAGTGCTGTGCGAAAATGTGAAGGAAAAGGTTATCGATTTAGAACCTTCAAAAATGTGTGTTTACCCGGGTGATTGGACAGATTATATTTATTATATAATTGCTACGGAAGTCGTACTTTTAATAAGTCTGATAGCTAAAGTATCTTACGATTACTGGATCTTTAAAACAGCAGGATATCTTCCATGGCCAGCAAATAAAATGCCAAAATTACCCTGTGATTGGTTATGTGAGACTTAATACGTTTGTTTTCCATGTTCAATTTGCGATACATAATTTATTAACTTTGTCCAAAATAAATTTTGGTAGTACTTTTATAAAATTAAGAATTTTTTGAATTTTTATATTTTATTAAATACGTATGTTTTTTCAAATGTTTTCATACATGTACATAAATTCGTATACGTACAAACATATCATGAAAATTTGTAATCAAACAGATATGTATATTTAAACAGTAAATGCATTGCATATAGTTGAATAGTACTATTTTGTATATTTAGACGACAACTCAGTTAAATGTATATATTTGGAAGACTAATAAAATGTTATAATGACTTTTTCAAGATCTTTTTTTATAAATATTTAGATACGAATTTATATGAAGCATATGACTTACGATGTGTTTATTGGATGATATATATAAATTTGGTGTATATACTAAATAAAAATGTTCTATTTTTTAAGAACAATCACTATTTTGTCACTTGTATGATTATAAAATATGCTATATATTTAATGTTTCGTTATATATTACAATTCCATTGTTTCTAATTTCCCATGCTTTTTCAGTTCTCTTTATCCTCTACTTTCTCTCCATTACTTTTCTTAATTTTTTTCTTTTTATTTTTTAATTCATTTTGCTTTGGTTTACGAGATTTTGTATCAACTTTTCTGTAATATAAAAATATTATCTTTATGTTACTATAAAAAAAAGCTTTAATAATAACAATACTTTACCCTGTTTTTTCTTTGTTATGCGTTCGTTTAAATTTTGGTATGGTAGATATTTTTTCTCTAGTAGGGGCTCTACGTTCAAGTTGTCGTTTTTCTTTTTTATTATGTTTTTTCATAGCCAACATATAATCAGGAACATCACAACCAGATTGTCGCATAACAACAGCTATACTATAAGATTAATATAAATAAGTTATCTACAGTTACTAATTAATTCAATACTTTCATGATACCTACCTTCTCAAATTTACAGTATCTTGTTTAGTGAAAAACGTGATTGCTTTTCCTTTATGTCCCGCTCTACCGGTACGACCTATGTGAATTAATCGATATTTGAAATCTTGATTCCTATCATTCTATTAAATTTTTTAGAAATACATACCAATTCTGTGAACGTAAGAAATAACTGACGGTGGAAAATCGTAATTTATAACAAGATTTACACCTTTAAAATCAATACCTCTAGCCATTAATTCTGTACAGATCAATACCCATATCTTTCCTTCTCTAAAACAACGAACAACATTGTCTCGCTAGAAAGAGAAATGAAAAAAAGAAAAGAATAGTTTGATCAAATATAATTTTATTTGTAAATATATTGTCCCTGTATAAAAATACCTGTGTCTGTGTTCTGTCAGCATGAATAACATCAACATTAATTCCATCATATATCAATTCATTAAATAATTCTTGAGCTCTTTCTTTACTCTGTACAAACACCAATACAGGCGGTAATACTCCCTTTATTAAACAACAAAAATTTCTGTTAGACAAGTATAGTTAATATATTCAAAATATATATGTATTATTACCTTCTGAATAATATTTCTAAGTGCTACAAGTTTTCCCCCTTCTTCTCCAACAAATAAAAGTTCTTGTTCTACTGAATCAGTTGCAGCATTTCTATGATAAATATGAAATTAGTACATACATATTAGTACATATATGGTAATGTATCATAAGAAAGAACAAAATAAACCTGTGACCAACTGTAATTGTAACAAGACCTTTCAAGTTATGTCGACACCATTTTGTTACTACAGGAGTATTGGTGGCACTAAACATTGCCCTACGTAAGTTTTCATTTGTGCATGCTTTTGAAATTGTTTCCATCTGATCTCTAAAGCATCGTGTTCCATCTTCAAAAAGTTTGTCTGCTTCATCCACAATTAGCCATTCAACACTACACAAATTTGATTCAATTTTAATTGTATGGACATTGAGATACTTAGAAAATACTTAGAAAGGTATAAAGACAAATTTCAATTACTTCTTGAAAGAAATAGCTGGTGGGTCTTGACTTAATAGAAATATTATTCTCCTTGGTGTAGTTATTAATATATCTATAATGGATAAAATCATAACAATATTAAAGAAGTTCATCATAAATAATACTACTGTACATTTTATACCTACCAAATTTTTGTGAACTTTTGGGACCATAAGCTGTTAATGCTTGATTTATTTTACTTATAATATGAACTCTAAAATCATAACCTTCACTAAGACGCAAACATTCTCTATATGTTTGTTTTGCTAATTCTCTTGTTGGACATAGTATAACAGCTCTAAATCCCTTTTTCTGTGGCCCACCTAAGTGATGAATTATGGGTAACAAAAATGCAGCTGTTTTTCCAGATCCTGTTGGTGCACAAGCTAATACTTGCCTACTCTGTTTCAATTTTGATTGCAAGAAGTCAAAACCTTTTACTTAATGTAAAAATTTCTGTCACTAATAATTACTTTACCTGCAGCATAACAGGTATGGCTTGCATCTGAATTGGTGTTGGTTGTACATATCCACAAGTTATAACATTATTTAATAATTGCTCAGATACACCATAATTCTTTGATAATTCACTAAATTCTGAAATAGGTTCAGGTACTCTACTACCTGTAACGTTTATGCGATGTTGATTGCGAAATTGATTAATCTAAAATAAATGCAATTATTTAAAATTATATTGTTTTATTTATGATAATTAAATATTCATACCTTTTCCTGTTCTAATTTCAACTGTTTCTCTTCTGTTATAGGTGCTTTACTTTTCTTAGATTTAACTTTATTTCCATTTTTAGGAACAGACATTCCATCAACTAATATTAATTCACCAGCATCTTTTGTATCTTCTTCAATATCATCATGCTTTCTTTTCATTGGCATCATTGGATAGTTCATATTATTCAATGCTTCGGTACTGTTGTTTTCAGTTTTAACAACATTTTCAGATTGTTTTTTGACCAACTATTGTAAAAAATATCAATAATATAAGTTAAGTTAAAAGTTGATCATATGGAAAACTTGATTGAATTATGGTTAACTGTGTAGCTATTACATTGAAGAGTACCTGAAACCTTTCTGCATCACTTTGAAAACGTTTCTTGTCAAACTTGACACCGGTAGAGAGCTTTCGAAAAAGTTCATAAGCGTCCATTTTTGTAATGTATTTAACAATAAATTTCTTTATAAATTAATAAACTTGTAATAAACAAGATAACCTCTTTTTCATTCTGCTCTTCTAAGGACCAAAACCGCATTGTACAGTTTGAACGTATAGTAACCAATAGTTACATATCCATTACCAACATTGGTATATAAAACATAGTTACAGGGAGTGCACTTGGTAAATTGTAAAGAATAGAAAAATTATTTCTTTCATTTTCTGTATTTTTTATCAATAAGGTAAATAATAACCTGCGTAATTAATGTTTTTGTGTAGAAAAAATTAACGTAATCCTTATTCCTAAAATACATAGTTTGTTTCTACTTATTATCATTGATTTAAAATATCAGTTAAACTTCTGCTATTTGAATAAACATGAAAAGGATATTGAACAACCATTTTTGTTAAATTTATTTATATATGTTGTATACAACATGTAATATATATAATGTTGTAAAATGTCGGTTATGAAATATGTAACAAGAGCAAGTAAACCTCATATTAAGTTATAAAAAATTTGATGACAAGTAATTATCATTATGTTACATTACTTTTATTAAGTTAACATGTTTAATTTACTATATGAATATAATATAAAATATATATTAAACAAATAATACACTCATATATTTTATGTTTTGTTTGCACTTGATTTATCTCACTGCTTTATTCAATTCTTTTTCAGATTACTACATAATATTGTCATTTAATCATTTTATAATTATCTTTGGAAAACAAACGGTATGTTTGTTAATATTTTTTCTGATTGGTGTGCAACGAAAAGTTTTATTTTTTATCCACCTTAAACAGGAATCATTCTCAGAACAAATATTTTTATAACTATTGTCTTTGAGTATACATCTGATATCATTTTTTAACAGATCTGTTTAAACAATTAAAAATATGGACGAACATTCATATGTATCATGTATTAAAATTAATGGAGTTCCTATTTTACCACCTATGGTATGAATACTATTGCATATACATACATGATAAGTAGTATTTATTCTATTATAAGATTTTATTATTTTCAGATAACTAAAGATATCAGAGAAGAAATGCTTCATTATAAACAAAGCGCCATAAATATAGAAAAAAAGTTAATAACTTTACGTGCTGCCAAAAAATTTAATAATTACAATGTTCATAGAGAAAATGCCAGAAATGAATCTGAAGATACACAGTTCAGAGAAGAAGAATACAGTTCTAAAGAAGACTTAGTTCCTGTTGAATCTAAGAATACTAATTTTAGCCAGACTGATGTTCCAATAGAAATCTCTGAAAATTCTAATGGAGATATAGAGAAAACTTTACAGCATAGTAAAGAATTAAATACCAAATATAAGTTAGGAGAACAAATGAATTTAGCTTCTAATAGCACATTAAGGTCAGAACTGCTTACAATTACTAATAGTATGAATCATTACTCAAAGGAAGCAGTTTCTGCAAAGTCAGAAATTGATTTAGTATCAAATGCTTGGAAACCTCAAGTGCCTAAAACTTTGAATATTGTTCCATTGATATTAAATGATTCTAATAGTAGAAAGAATGAACAACATGAAGAAAATGAGTTAGACAATATAGAAGATACGCCTAAGTTAGTGCGTCAGGGTTCTTATGTATTAGATGCTCCAAGTCCTATATTACTAGCACATATGCAAATGGAATTAGCTAGTTCAACATGTACTCCTTGTTCGGAATATATTCCAACGTCATATCCGAGTACAGTACGTCGGAAGGAGTGGAATATTGCACAAGCTAAGATTGAATGGGAGCATGATGCTAAACATAAAGAATCTTTTCCTATGGAATCTTTGAAACATTTATCAACACCGAAAAGAAGCGGCTATTCTAATAGTGGTCATACTATACGTAAATCATATTCATTACAAACAAAGCCAAAACCGTCATCTGTATCTACTTACTCATCTACAAGGTCTGCTGATTGTATTCAAACAATGTTAGCGCAAGAACGTATAAATAGAAACAATATACAAATGAATTCTGATAAAGCATCCAATGTATATAGCAGCAATGAAAAAAAATCTAGGTTCCAAAAATGGAGGAAATGTAACAGTTTTTCCACCTTTAATTCAGCAAATGGATTCGGTGGTTCCTTGGAAAATTTAGATAATAATAATGTATCTTCTACGTGTTCAGAGAGTCAATATAATAATGTTTCTGCGAGAAACAACTTCGCATCCGAAATTTCAAAAAATATTGATATACAGCAATCTGTGCCACAATCAAAATCTTCCACTGCAACTGATAAACTTTTGACAGTTTATAAGAAGGTACAAGAAATGCATAAAAAACAAATGGCTGAACTAATGTTTCGTCAACAGAGAGAACAAACGTTGCTTCAACAAGAATTTGAGAAACAACAATTACTTTTACTAAATGAGATTAGAAAGTCATTTCCAGAACTTTCAGTTCCATTACTTTCGGAAAACATTTCATCCCCTGTTTTTAAAGAGACTACACCTAACAATGAAAAGTTCTTTGAATACATTGATGATAATACACAAAATACAAAAATTGTAGAAAATACTTTGCAACAAGAAAATGGAATAGAGCATTTACACGATGATAATACGAAAGTGGTTGTCTGTCCACTAGATTATATTTACTCTGCAGTGAGTCACGATACAAATCCTTGTCCAGTTAAAAATTCGTGTCCAATTCAACCATTGGAAGTAAAATCATCACCAAAAATTGATAATTTTGTATCAGAAGAAAAGGAATCGGAAATTGAAATAAATAATGTAAAAAATTATGAAAACGAATTAATAAAAGACATTAATGGCTGTAAACGTTCTAATGTTAGCCGACAATTGTTTCCTTTAAATAGTAAAACTACTCATGTTCCGATTCTTGAAAGAACAATGTATGGAACTAAACATGTAAGACATCAATATTAAAAATTTGTAGTTTTGAATAATACTGAAAATCTTAACAGGCATTCTTATGATACAGGTAAAGGCAATAAATATAATCAATGCATATGCGAGAGGATATTTGGTACGTAGAATAATGCGGACGGAGCGTGTCATTGCTTTAAAAAATACATATAAAGAAGCTTTACATTGTATGCTTAAACTTCATGTTGATGCACCTCTCAATCGATCAGAATTTAATTTTCTACAACGTCTTCAATTACAGGTAATATATACAATAATTTAGCACAGAAAGTATCATATTCTTTTTTGTATCAATATTTTAAATTTATCATCTTTTCTCACTTTTAATCATAGTAGTACTTTAGCTATTAATACGAGATAATATTAAAATAGTGTAATTTTTATTTAAAAAACCGTACATGCTTTTGATTGTAAAGACATAATTTAATAGTTTTTCAAAATATGTTGCTGCTATAGATAAGTAAATGTTATTTTGAATATGAAAGAAATCTTTTAAAGAAACATACTCATAAGAATGTTATAATTTCTAAAAGTGTGATGCAGCTTCTATGAATATAGTGGAATTATTTGCACAAAGTCCTAAGAAAAGAATGCAAATAATAGCGCAAGATCGTGAAATCAAGCAGGCTCGCATAGAACGTCCAACGTCTGCAAGATCATTTTCATTTGCAACTCAGCGAACCTTAGCAAGGAAAAAACTGAAGGAGTATGATTCCGCATAGTATAATTTATGTTTGTGTTCCATAGAGAATTTATAAATTTTTAAGACATAGAATGTCATTAGAAGAAAATAAATTATTTTGGTATTCAATGTTTAATTTGTTTTATGTAAAACGTTGTAAATATATCTATATTTTATATAACTATAATTTGCATGCTCAATATCAATGCAATTTCTGTTCATAGAAAAACAGAACTTAAAATAGATGTACTAGCACGCATTTTTATCATCTTTATATATAATTATTATTTTAGTTCCAAATTTTAACAAACGCATTTTATTTATACTTCAATTTCTTGTTATCAGGATGGAGGAATATCAGCCAGTTTCGTTTGTTCGTACATGTTTATCTAGATCTAGGTGTCAAACTTGGACTTCCGATGTTAAAGAAAAACTAATCTCTCCAAATATTTTATGTAAGTTTTTTTTAAATTAAATTATCAAATCTTCATAGTTCTTACAGGTAACTAAAAGATGAGTTCAACTATAACACCAAGTTTGCTATTCATTATATATTCATAACAAATAATTTGTAAATTTCAGATCATAGTATTAAAAGAAGTACTAGTGCTGGGACTGTACGTAAACCATGGCGGTAAAATTATAATAGTGCCTTTTATTATTAATTTTGTTACATCAAATACATGTAAAAATTATAACATGTGAACAAATTCACTTTGTGCCTGAATTTTTTAATAAATTTGTTTTATACAAAGTACTACTCTTCCTATAACATACTTGCATGAATTACTTGTACTACAAATTGTTAGGATAAAAATGAATTATTATTCATCACCTACATGAAATTTATTTGTTCAAAGAAATGCATGTTTGAGAAGGGAACAGTAATATCGAATACAATAGAAAGCTTGACAAATTTCTGAGTTGCGTAACTTAAAATTTTAATTAATATGTTAAACTGTTGGACTGGGAATTCTGTGCTGACAAACGTCACTTTTGATATTGTTTCGTGGAGCACACATACATTTAGGCGCACGCGCAATACGCATATTACGTATAGACTGCATATACGCCCTGTGAACCGTGAGCAGAACGAAAACGGAGTAGTGTGCAGATGTGTAGCAGTGTGCAATAATCATAAGAAAACTTTGGTTCATTTTTCTAATACCTTTTAGATTCATTATTAAATCTTGATAATATATTTTTAGATCAATTATGTTTTTAACAACTGTTGTTGAGTTTTAACGCGAGAACCATGTGTGACAACGTGAACAACAATCCATTTGCTGGATTGTTTTCTACCATTAATGATGCCGTGTCATTTTCATCTCAGAATCAAACGATTATCAACGAAAGTAACAGAGTTAATTATATCGCGCAACTTAAGGATAAGCATGTTGATAACACTAAGGAAATAAATTTTCAAGGTTCCAAAGATTTCAGAGATGATAGTCAAATTAACCTTCTTCTCAATGATATATTTGGAATAACACTACATGCAACAGAGTCGAATGAACAACAAAAACGTAAATTAGTCTTTATTAATGTTGATTCGATTGAACAAGCAGTTTTTGAGCGATTAATGCTCTCTGACCTTGAGTCCAAATTAGTACCTGTTGAAAATTCTCAAGAAGTTGTAAATGACTCTCATACAGTAGAGAAATTAGTTATGTATTATTTATTTGAAAGTTATTGTCGATTGCAGCGATATCAAAATAAATTGGAATGTTCTGATATTATCTACAAAATACGTCAAGTTATTTTACAAAATGCAGGTGTTGCATTGCAAGAACCAAAATTGTTCGAAGAACAAGAGGTAAATGGATTGTTAATTGTGTACAATACAATTATTTATTACTTCAACTGTAACAAAAGCATTACATTTAATGGAACATTATTGAATTATGCATTTTGCAGATTCATAATCAATTTATTGCATTATGTATGGATGAAACAGGACCAAAACCAGAACTGATATCTTTCACGCATGGTATTGTGAATGAACTGAGAGCACAAGATGAAAAAAATGCTTCAGATGTAATTACTACATCTTTTACTCCTATTCTTGATATAATTCATAAGGAAGCAGCACAGAGTAATCTTGTCTTTTTTCGCCGCTATTGGTTTACTATATTAAACCTCTTTGCAACAATAGAACCTTTAGCAAAATTACTTATTGAACATAGTACTCCTAAAAGCAATCAAGGCAGAGCTTATGCAGAGACATTACTGGGTGCACTTCTTAGTTTGAGTTGTTTGCCTAAAACAATAGGAGAACCATTTTACTTCTTTGATAAACCATTGCAACAGGTAAATAATATATCAGTATAAAAACAATTAAATCACCCACTTATATTTACATTTTTTTTGTAGTCTTCTACTACTATTGAGGGAAACATTTGGACTGCTTTGGATGTTTTGAATGAATCTTTACAAAAGGTTTTTCATTTATTACTAAAATGTTCAATTGAAGTACGGCATTTAACTTTACAATGGATAGGCAATTGTCTTCATTTGAATGCAAACAGAGGAAAACTTTGGAATGCCCAAATTGATGTAGTTTTTAGTACAATGTTGTGCGTTTCTGATGGTTTTATGTTAAATTTAGGAAATGTACTATTGCGACTTTGTCAACCATTCTGCATTAAAGAAAACGAATCTAAAGTGCCTAAAATTGATCCAACATACTGTGCAGCAGAGGTCAGTTCATTTGTAAAAATGTGGGTGAATAAATTTTGTTTATTAGATCTTAAGAAGTATAAAATTTTATACAAATGAATTTTGTAGGTGACCAATGAAAATGAATCTATGGGTCAATTTATACATTTGAAAGGAATGTCTTCAGAAACTTGTTTAATACCAACATCAGAAGGTGGTGCTAAACCAGTTGCAAAATCGTTTGGATTCATTACTGAATGCTTTTTTTTAACTCACAGAGCTCTAGATCTTGGTTATAGAGTAGTATTGGATAAATTTTTAAGGTTTGTGTTTGTAACAACAATTCTTTCTCTTCATTAATTAGTTGAACTTCATATTAGACCAGTAATCATCTTTAAAAATTTTAGAACAAATCAAAGTTTGGTCAGAATACAAAGAGTATATGAGGATGCTCAGGCTGGTGGTAGGTCAGAAGTGTTAGAGACATTATCTCAACGCATGGAAGACGAAATGACCAAGTATGTTCTTATTATTCCTATTAACAAAATATAATATTTATTTATTTACCGAGAAATAATTTATAATTTTTAGATACTTGTCTATAAGAGCAAGTCTTCTAGTGCCAGAAATGTTAAAGCTTTTAGCAAAATTTAATGCAACAACAGCATTTTGGTTAGTACAAGTGTACCTAGATGATGTCAAAACTGAAGAAAATGAACCGAATGATTACATTCCAAAAGAATGTAAAGTAGTAACGTTCCCTTTACCAGAAACTGTTCCAGAGACATTAAGGTATTTAAGTTTGAAGGTTTTTGTGATAATAGTAATTTTAATATTTATGATGTTTCCTGTAGGTGCATTCCTGAATTCGTGGTTGAAAATACTATTAGATTTTTACATATTTTGAGCCGTTTAAATACAAATGTTTTTGAAGAACAAGGTTCACCATTTTTAACACCAATACTGACAGAAGTAAGTTAACAGCGTATATCTAGTAAATAGACGTTGATATAGTTCCATTAAATAATTGAGATAAATAATTAATGTTAGATTATAGTGTTAATGGAGTCTCAACAACGTTTATACAATCCTCATTTACGCGCTCGTTTGGCAGAGGGATTAGAAGCGCTTTTACCTACAACTGATGAAACCATACAACCCATAACACCGAGTTTAGGGAAGTTCCATAGAGAACAACTGTTTATTACACATCCGTATAGGCAACATGTACGTAATAATTTCTTCTAAATTCGTAAAATGTTTTATAATCAATGATATGAAGGTTTACTTTAACATTTAGATTGTCTCTAATTTGCTTAAAGTGTTTGTAAGTATCGAAATGACTGGGCAAAGTGTGCAATTTGAACAAAAGTTCAATTACCGACGACCAATGTACGTTGTTATGGAGTATTTGTGGAAATTGCCAGAGCATCGGAATAACTTTATGTATGTATAGTGTAGATATGTTATACTTACTAAATTTATACCTAATTACAAACATTTATTTTACAGTACTTTGGCCGAAGAAGCAGAAGCCAATATGGAAGCAGCACAGCCACCATTATTTTTGCGTTTTATAAATCTTTTAATGAATGATGCAGTTTTTTTATTAGACGAAGCACTTTCAAGCATGGCTCAATTGAGACAATTAATTCAAGCAAGGTACTTACTTTAAATATCATATGCTTAAGAAACTTTTCCGTTCAATTTGTTTGAACACAATTTATACAAGGTGACATTATCTTTAAGGGAAAGTGGAGAGTGGAATAAATTACCACAACATGAACGCGACCAACAGGCTCAGTATTTGTTATATCTTGGAATGACTGCTCGATTTAACAATATATTAGGTAGAAAAACCATTTACACATTGAAAATGTTGACTACAGAGATAAAATCGATCTTTTGTCATCCGACAATGGTAGATCGTATTGCATCGATGCTTAATTATTTGTTGCTTCAATTGGTTGGGCCAAATAAAAAGAATTTAAAGGTAAAAACCATAATCAGCTGTTGACATAATAAGAATTTATTATGTACATAAATATTTAATGTTATTGTACACTCTCTTAACTTTAGGTGAATGGTCAGAAAGAATATGCATTTAATCCTGCAAATCTGGTATTGAACATATGTGAAATTTATATAAATCTTAGTCAAAATAAATCTTTTACACTGGCAGTTTCTCAAGATGGTCGGTCATATAGACCTGATTTATTTAAATTAGCCGACAATGTTCTGGGTAAGCAATAGTTTCTCATAGTACCAAATGTTAAACGTTTACGGTGATTAGTGGACAACTTTATTAAATATGATCAATAATGTTTTAGTTCATATCGGTGGCGTTGGAATGTTGGGAGATTTGGATCAGTTTGCAAAGAATGTAGAGGAAGCAGCAAACGATAAAAAGGAAGAAGATGAAATTTTAATCGATGCTCCTGATGAATTCCTTGACCCTATTATGTCCACTTTAATGATTGATCCTGTTATTCTCCCATCGTCAGGAATAACTATTGATCGTCAAACTATAGCAAGGTTAGTATCCGTGACGTTATCTTAATTGTAAAACATGAATATGAAAGACATACATGGTCAGTTTTATATTTTTTGCTGATATTGTTCAGGCATCTACTCAGCGATCAAACGGATCCATTCAATCGATCTCCTTTAACTATGGATATGGTGAAATCTAACGTTGAACTTCAACAGAGGGTGCAAGAATGGATACAACAGAGAAAGCAAGAAAAAGCAAGGAATCGTCAATGATTGTCAAAGAGTAACAGATCGAGTTTGTAAATTGTAACTTGCAAAATAGATGTACTGTGTAATTTAATATTGAATCTAGTAACAAGATTAACATCTCCGATTGCAGATAATGAGAATAACAAAGTATGATATATGGCAAACTCAGTGGTTTATGTTGATTAGTTGAAATTTTGTTGTTTTCTAATATAAAGAAGTACATATTTTTGTATACAAATTCTTATAGGTACGTATAGATACCGATTTTGTGCTATAATTGCTATTATTCTACACAGTTTTCGACATTGCATTTGATGCAAAGAATCGTCTGGTAATTAGTCAATGAAATAATGTAGACAAAGCGCTAAACGTCATTGTTATTGTACGATAAGTGTAAAAAGTACTTGTTATAAAATTTCTTATATTTAATTTGAGAAAGGTGATCGTTACAAATAAGTATGAAATAAAACCACCAATTTCAATGCTTGGAACAAACTGTAGATTAAAATTTCCAGATTATTAACGTTTAAGCAAAACTTTTAACAGGAAAAGCATTAGTAAATATTTAGGTAAATATTTTTAGGTTGCGTTATAATTGCAACATTTCTATCGCTCATTGTTAGAACTTTACAAGCTCAAAATTTATAAAAGAAAAACGTATCATACTGTTCACGTTTCCAAGATATTTATGAGTTCATTGAAGTCGGTAATGAACCAAGGAGATTTCGACTTGACGCTCTCTCGGACCACATTTCCTCCATATCCTATTAAAAGAGCCGCATTATCAAATGAATAAAATAAAGCAACAAGGTCAAACTGATAATATAAGGTAACTAAGATGTACCTATAAATAAATCTGCTATCGCGGTTGTTTCTAAATCCGTTGCGCCGTCCCCGATGTGCACAATAGTTTTAAACCCTTTTTCATTTTTGAGGTATTCAATTACTTTTGTTTTCCCTCCATTTTCGACGGTGGGTTGATCTTCGTCGAATCCTGCATATTCTCCTGTAAATAAATTAAAATTTAGATATAACGCATTATATCAATGGTATATTAGCATAAACGAGTAACCTGTGAAATAAAATTTAAGTCTGTTCGCAAAAATATTCTCTGACGGAATATTAAGCGACGTAGCAACTGGTGCAATTAAACAACGAAATCCACCAGATATCAAGAACACGTGCTTTTTACGATTTTGGAGCGTCGTTATCAGAGCTCTGAAATTTAGATAGAAAATGAACTTAAAAAAAAATAATACAAGTTACGTCACGATAATTTATTATCAATTGTAATTATTTCCTACTTAATCCCAGACGAAAGTTTCAGCTCGCGAGAAGCTAGAAACTGTTCGATTTGCGTCAAACTTGGTTTTATAATATTCAGCCTGTCCACCAAAGATTGTCGAAACGTCACGTTTCCTTGCATTGCCTGATTCGTTCTAAAATCATTTTTAATTACTAATCATGTGTATCTATGTAATTATCTCTATCTGTAAAGGAAAACAGAAAAAAAGTAAAACTTACAACGCAGTAACCTCGTTTTTTTTTCCACAAAATTTCGCAAGCTCATCGATACCTTCTTCTCGAATTACGGTAGAATCGACATCGAAGGTGACAGCATCCGCGTCCCTCCATATCGATCTCATCTTCTCCAAATTCGACATCTAATTCGCTCGAAGCAACAAGTGTTGCTTTACTATACACTCGCGATTTTGAACAAGATGAACCGCAGTTCTAATTTTTCTAAACGATAACACCAACTGATTAAGTGTTACTCAATCAGTTCACTTTAATCTCTCCCAAGAAAGTTTGATACGCATATAAAGAGAAATTTATTATCTTTCCTGTTAGTTGTGAAACTATTGTTTAACTGTCTTTGAGGTTAGGATATTCTTGATATAAAAATCATTTTAAGTAAGCATGTATTTATGTTTTCGCAGATTTCGTAATGAACAAATATTTTCAGTTTAGTGTCATCGCAAGGGAAAGAGAAAGAGACGGAGAGGATAAAAGCAGGGGCCAAAGAAAAAGAAGCTGAGAAAGATAAAAACAATTTATTGATAATACTAATGTCTTGCAACTAAACAAAATTTGTTAAAAATTTTATATCTTTAAATACAGATAAAAATAATAATTGAAATTAGTTTACATTTTGTGTTTTATAAATATTTTTTAACAGAAAATTAAAATATGTTCAGAATATTGAATTAATATACATATATCGCTTTACAGTGTGACTAAGTCGACACGCAATATTTGAAATATTTTAGAAGAAATTGGAAATATTAAAAATACTTTTATAAAAATTTCCCAAAATATTTTGAACTGAACACGATATACTATTCGATATAATCGAGTTGCGTCTCGATTGAACAATCGATTCAACGCGATCAATTTAAAATATACTACAAACTAGCTTTCCAACGAATTCGCTGTATTTATAATCGAACGAAATATAAAAAATTGGCGAAACACGTGCAGATTCAATGACGGAACGCATCTGTACACGTGGCCATGGCAAATTGTTTCGAAATCGAAGTGAACAAAATCTATAAAGCAATAAACGTAGCGGTTTCGCTTAGATCTATGCAACGGTAAAAAACGTTCGATCGTTCGATGAAAGAAAACATTGATGAAGGGAAAGTTCTCGAGTGAAGTGCTGCGCTCTAGTTACCGATCGTAACCTTATCAAGATCGATGGACGGTACATAGTACCGTGCGTACATAGGCGCGAATGGTGAGAAAATCAGCAAGGGTAGATGGTCGATGAGAAGGAAGCTATATCTCGTAATAGTGTTGGGTGGCGTTCGCGCGGCATCAGGCACGCGGTAATGTAACGAACAATCGAAAAATTCGGAGGGCAGTCGTTCGTGAGCTTCACGATTCATCGCGTCGACAATAATTTTTCAAACGCAAGTTTAAGATAAACAGTTTACGAATAAAAAAAAAAGGATAATAGGTGCGAACGTGATCGCGTAGTAAACAATCATGTTAACTCGTATAATTTGGTTGGTTATGATCGGTTGGTCGAGTGGGATCGAAGGGAAGCGGATCGACACGATAGAGGAGTCATTTTGCCGCCCGTTTCCTAGCAAAGTTTTGGAAGGACATAAAATTAGCAGGCTCGACAATGGAAGTTTAGTGCACGACCGGTTGGTGTATCCGGCGAATTCTTATCGGGTGGTCGGAAATGAGACTTACGGATGCGTGTGTAATATACGACTTTGCTTGAGGAAGTGTTGCAGACGAGATGAGATTTTGGGAACAAGCATTCGACCAAATTGTACTCGATTAACGAATGGTCAGCTCGCACCGGATCTTAAGCTTGAACAGCGCCAATTAACCACCGAGATCCAAGGAATATCCGGTTTAAGCGATTTGTTCGTTCTCGTCGAGGATATGCAGTGTCCTGAGGGCACGGGCAAGTTTCTGCTTCAGCCGGAACTCTACAATGACGACGCATTCGTTCTATTGGCGAACGGCACCCTTCAAATGACTACGAACAAATTTGCAGCATGGACTTACTGTTTCGACTGGAAAGAGTCTTTCGAGAAAATCGTCGCTATAGTATGTCTGTCGAATTTTCCTCCTTCCAAAGACGAAATACGGCAAAAATCTTACAATATCGGCGTGATAGTCTCCATCCCGTTTTTCTTCATCACTTTCCTCGTGTATGCAATCATTCCAGAATTGAGAAACCTCTACGGAAAAACACTGATGTGTTACGTAGCTTCTCTCGTGGTAGCGTACACCTTCTTCATATTGACCACCATCTCCTCCAACTTGCCCTTCACCATATGCTGTACGATAGGTAAGCATTTTACTCTATTTATTTTTAGTTATTTTCTTATTTCCTTCCTTTCGAATCCTTTAAAAAAATGAAATTTTTATCAACTTCGAATATATTAAAAACAAGTATTTATTGAACTGTTAAAACTGAAGTTCACCCATCTACAAGGGTACAAGCGTCACAATTTTTCCTATTTACCTACGTGTTTGCGTTTATGCAAGCTGCTGTCACAGGGGTACACATTTATGGCGTAGAAAAAATTTGAATCCGCTGGCATCCAATTAATCCTCCTTTTATTCCCTACGGAAAGTTCGCGAGTATACAAGTACGAATTAATGGAATTTGCGTGATAAAGAATAAAGTGTGGTAATCACCGTGTGTCGCGACGTCATCAGATGTAGCATAATATCGAATATTTGTCGTTACATCTCAACGATTTAAACACGCTACGTCGATTTGCGAAGTCGTCGCGATCAATCGATCTATCGCTTAGTTCGACCTCCATGTACGTTGCGTGATGATCGTTTCCTTGTTACGTATTGTACGATAAAAAACTTAGGCTTATTTAACTTCGAACGTTGGAAGACGCGTTGGAAGAAAAACAAGTTTTAAACACGCGTTCGAGACCAAAGGAAGCGAAGGAGTTTGATTAATTTTTAGGTCATCTTGTTCACCATTAGGCTGACCGAAACGGTGGATTTTAAATGAGCGATCGTACGCTACATTTACCATTATCGTCTTACCGCTTCCGATACATACAATGCGTGTATACTACATGCGATAACGAAGAGATACTGATTACTGCAGCCTACATGACATCTTGGCGCGACGATTTATCGATACCAAATCGACACGTCAGTTTTCTTTTTTACTAAAAATAAAGTTTGACAATTTTTTCAAAGATGGCATTGTTAAAATGTCATATGTTATTTAGAGGTTATGATTACTTTTTCCCTGCATTCTCCGAATATAAATAAACCAAGAGGAAGGGAAGAAATGAAAAGGAAAAAATGTAGACATTAGTAATCTAGCGAGGTTTCCTGGCGGCGCGATAATATGTGCGGTTTCTGCCAGAGCTCGAACTCGAACGGTTCCACGATAAACGACAGTTGGTGAACAAAGACGTATCTGTCAAGATGTCTCGCGTCGATCGCAATCATCGATCGACTATTTTCATCGCGATCGAGTTGTTGTTCGCGGTCACCGCGGTCGAACCGTTTTCGTGGATGGACGATTATATCGAACCCCCCGAGTCGTTCGATTCGATCGATTCAGCCCCTAATGAATCGAGAGTGCCGCGTGCGATTTCGATCGATTCGTTCGATTTTGTGACGGCAAACAGTACCAGAGAATCGAGAATGCAATGCAACTTTATCGAACGAAACGATTCCATCACGAGGATCGGCGAAATTCCTCGAGTGCCTTTGTGCTGCCCGGAGATGAACCGATTGTCGGACGGTCAATGTTTCGAGACGAACGGCACGGTTTATCGTTTCCCGTCGATATATCGTTCGAAGGATTTCACGATGCTCGTCGAAACACCCAATCGAAATTGTTTCGATCTATTTATTCGATATGCCTGCAAAAACCGTCAAAGCTACAATCTTAACCCAGCAAAGTATCCGGAAGACGAGTTCAAGCTTCTCGATAACGCTTCGATCTATAAAGTAGCAGAGAACGTCATTCTCGAAGACGAAGAATATTGTCTCGGCATCACTGACAGTGACGAGTACTACGTGGTCCTTTGTTTCGAAGACGACACCTCCCAACTGACAGAGGATGCCGATCAAATTACAATCGTGTTTCCCGTCGGATTAATCGTGTCGGTGCCATTCTTGTTCGCCACGTTTCTCGTTTACTTACTTTTACCGGAATTGAATAATATGCATGGTCGCACGCTTCGAGGATACATCGGTTCGCTATTGGTTGCTTACGTGATATTAGCCGTCTTACAAATCTCACCGCAAGATCAAATTTCCGATCCTCTTTGCATCGCATTCGGTATTTATATATTTCCCGATTAACCCCACCCATTTTTTCTTTCTGTTTTTCTTCCCCTTTTTTTTAATAGTTCGATAGCTTTGCATCGTTTGATGCATCGATATCGTACGCCTATGCTACTCGCTCGCGCCTTTTGCGGTAACCATTAACTAGTGTCTTTTTTCAGCTTTCATCATCCACTTTTCCTTCCTGGCCAGCTTTTTTTGGCTGAACGTCATGTGTTTCGACATTTGGTGGACATTTGGGTAAGTGATGTTCATAATTTACAATCGTATCGTAAAATTTTGTTTATTTTATTTGTTCAAAATGTTTGGGTTTACTCATCCTTCCTTTACTTCTCGAAACTCGTTTCGCTACGGGTATCGATCAGTTGATCGACGAAGTTTTACGAATCGAAAAAACGATTAATTGTCGTTGATGAGGCGTCGTACACATTTAAAACGTCGCGTCGGCTCGTTATTCCTCGATCGAAGAGGAGAAATTAGATAGTTGACAAACATCAAGGAAAATTGATAGGGACGTAACGCGAATTAATATCCGGTTCGTAAACCGTGTGGACGTATGCGTAAGTTCGGTAAACATTCTTAAATTAATTTCGATCGGTCCACGAGTAAGCAAACGACTCCTCTCGAGTGGCTTTACCGCGTAAACGTGACGCTAATGTTTCGATTCGATTTCGTTCGATAATCTCGTCGCGTTACTTCGCACGTGTTTCTCGATCAGTATGCGTCGTGTGGAGTATTCTGCATTCGTGTCTCTTTTGTATGCGAAATTTAGCATTCAGGAATTTTATGAACAATTTATTAGTTTTTATTATAAAATTACTAAATTCGTACAGTTTCACATTTTCGAATTTTTCGATATTCAGAATATTTTATTTTTGAAATTTCAGATTCCAATTTTACAATATTAAGTCTCTAAATTTTTAAACTTTCAAATAACAAAATTTCTATGTTAAAAAATTTCATTTGACATTCGAGAAAAATTTACACCAGCAACCCTCCTGATTCGATATCATGCTCCCTCTATTGTCAATAGTCGCCGCTAACGAGCGTCTCGTTTCTTTCGATCGATCAATTTAATCTCGATTCTGTATACAGACCGTTTCTCTAATAACGACGTAACGAGTATTCGTTTCCACGAATTTGTGTTCGTATAATTTTCCCTGGCACGGCGTACATACTGATAAACTCACTAATTAGGATGCCTTTGACTTAATTAGCGTAACTTCAAGTTATAACAATTTGTGACGTAACAAAATCAAATATAATTCTGGCTGTGAGACAAAGTTATTATCTTTAATCGAAAATTCGATATGTGTACCTTTGGTAAAAGTTTAAGTTATTGCGTGAACGATATCTAATCGAGATTCGATTTGCGAATTCTATTTGGGGTATTTTATCTCGACGTTCGAGTAGTGCGATAAATTCCGTCTGCGCGCGCACCTTCCGTTATTGCGAACGTGGATTTGAATTCGCTTGGTACTTTTCTTTATATGTCACAAATAAAAGCTTTCAATAAAATCATTGCCATGCTTCAAAAGTTCATTAAAATTTATTTGTATGCGTAAGTTGTAGGAAGTGTATTGAAGATGAAGACATCGTAGATCGCAGTTGTAGCTTTTAGATGAAGCATACTAAGTGGAACCGTTCTAAAAGTTTCTACTTATTCGCATATTCTATAGAGTAGAGTGTAAAGCACCAGGTGTACGGCAAACGAATCGTGACGTATCGTCCAAACAAATCTCTAAAGCTGAGAATCGCTCGACGCCAACGCCAACGCCAACGCCGAGCCCGTATTTCTACCCTAACGTTCGAATTGTTTTCAGTAAAATTACCGGTCAAGTTCCAACGTAAAAATAAGTTATAGGAATTCTTGCGCTCGAAGGCGATACAATTAATTAACTAATTACGAGCGCGTCAACGCAGCGTGACGCGATGCGACGTGTCAAAATTGTTTCTTCGTTAATTGATAGCTACTACGTTTAATGGAGTTTACAATTTATGTGCTTTGTCCTTCTACGCATATCGTCCTCGGAATATTACTAGGGTATCTTTTTTACGCCGTGACGAATTTCGTTTATACTTTCGATCTTCTCGTATTTCAATTATTCTTCGAAACGAATTTGCTTTTTCGAGGAATCTTGTACTTGATACATCGCGTCGATATTTTTAAACATTCCGCGAACAAAAGAGGGTAAGATTTTGAGAGACGTCGCACAGTGGTCTTGTAATAATCTGGCGGCAGAAATGGCATAAAGATCCTGAATCATAACCTATTCAAAACAGAATTTCTCGTAGGAGATATAGTAGGCAATTTTACAAAATATTTCTTTGCACGACGAACATATTTTTTTCTTGGTTTAGTATAAAATCATTGATATGACACATTGCTGTCGCAATCACATTTTCGTTTTGCCAAGCCTTTTTTTATCACGCGATTATGTAGGGCGTGACTGCGTATATATTTCACGTATTCTTATTCCCTATTCCCACTGTTGACATGTACGATCTCTTTGTCACCGTCGATTATTCTTTCTGAACTGCGCTATTATATTACATACACATCGCGTATTTTTCTCAGTAATAATCGGCAATGAATACAAAGAAAAGCAAACACCATAAATAAAAGTAACCACTGTTTCAAGTGATCTACCCCCCGTGTTTCTATGCGAGCGATAAATTGAGAACGACATTTGTCGATTATCGAACGCGTCAAACGAATCGAAACGATCGCGTCGATCGTGACAGTTTCACGAAAACGTGATAGGAAACGTGTGGACGGAAAATGGATGCGTCATCTAAAACCACAAATGTCGCTTTGTCATATACCTTTTTACTTCTTGCGTATCGTGTAATCCCCCAGGATAATTACTGGATAATGAGAAAACTGAAAGAACGTACGTCAATTTCAACTTTATTCGAAGTGACGTAAATCTTATTCGAAGCGAAACTTTTGTAATCGCAACTTGGCAAGGAACCATTCCGAGGTACAAGCAAACTAAAATCTCTATATTCTGATCTATAATAAGTGTTATGATTGGGCGGACTTAAATAACGATAGTTTATGCGGTTTTAATAATAATGCATCCAGAATGTGGTGCGCACGTGGCGCGCCATTAGACATTACGACGCGAAAAGGTAAATAACATGAATATAGGTACGCAGAATGAAAAGCGCAATATGGTATCGATCGTGATCGATGAGCGCGAAATTTAAATATATACAATTTAAGTATATACAATAATATAAAGTTTAGTTTCTGTTCTATGTTGTTTGTATTATCAATAAGGTAACCGATTGATTTCCAGAGGTTTCCGCTCGCTGCAGGGCAGCATGATCCAAAGGGAACGCAAGAAATTTTGCATATACTCCATCTATGCTTGGGGCTGTGCATTACTGCTTACCGGAGTTTGCATTCTTATGGACTTCCTTCCGAATATTCCGGAACACTTTGTCAAACCAGAATTTGGGGTACAAAGTTGCTGGTTCAACAGTATGTTTCTTATAGCAGTATACTAAAATGTCCGCTTCTTTATCATGCAAAATAAATATACACTCGGGTGCAACGCAGGTTTTCATTGTACAGTGCAAACATGATAATTTTTAAATTCTTAAATTTTCCGTAACACCGATCTTTTATGAGACACCGATACGAGGTTAAACACGAGTTTTGACTTTTCAGCAAATAAGGCAAAGGCTATCTATTTTTACGGACCTATGGGCGTCACTGTTGTATGCAACATATGCCTTTTCATTTCGACGGCGTTGAAGATCGTGCGACACAAAAAGGACACGGCTCATCATTTGAAAGGCACCGACAGCAGACGTCACGACGACAATAAGCAATGGTTGGTTCTTTCCCTTCCCTTCCCCTTAGTAGAAGACCAACGATCGAAATATTCTTTTGAAAATGAAATATGTTTTGTACCGCATTTCGGTTATAAATTGAAACATATGTATGCTCTTCGACGTTCGCAAATATATACCCTGATCGTTTGCCGCTCTTATCGCGCAGTTATGACGGGTAAATTATTTTTGGATATTCTCATAGACAGACTGGAACGAACATTTTTCCCATGCCTCGATTTGTTTTCGTAACGACGGCTACCACTTGAGCAACAAATACATCCGTTCGACCGTGGTCTCGTACATGGTCGCACGTTTCATCTTGCCGCCCTTCTTTTACGCTTTATGCGTATTATGTCTACCTGCGTATTACGAGCATACAGAACTGTCTGTTATATACATTCGAGTTCAATGTTCCGATGTCACTTTCAAATCATCCCCGAATTGTCAAATATTCAAAAATAAGGATATTAGAGATATGCTCCTGATTTTATCTACTAATGTCACAGACGATGTTATAGTAGTATACATTTTCCCCTGTGGATGGTGTATCCCACATGAGACTGTAATACCGACTTAGAAAATACATTTATGTTATTAACTTTTTATGTGTTTTATCTAGGTTCAATCTATATCTGAAGCTGTTCATCGTGATGGGTATTAATTGGTCGATGGAAATAGTGTCATGGCTGTGCAACAATTCACCGGCATACATTTGGTACCTGACGGATCTTACCAACACCTTGCAGGGTGTAATTATCTTCTTGATTTTCGTGTGGAAAGATAAAATCAGACGGCTACTCTTGAAACGACTCGGTTGTCATGGAAACAACATTCTGTCAAGAAACTCTACCCGCAGCGCGTATCACAGCTCCACTTCTCGTACTACTTGTACATCGGCAGCACCACTGCAACAGAAGATTATACCCTACTCAAGCGATCCCACCTCACGGAACAAGACACCGTTCGTTGATAACGACGATTCCGTTTAAAACAGCCGATAAATCACCTTCGATCGTTTACGCGGTTCATTACATTTTATACGATTAATCGCGAAACGCGATTACATATATACTTTACGAGTATTCTTTTTTTCATCGAAAAGAACAATCGACTCGATTGTTGGTACGCATAGCATACCAATGCACGCGTTCGTAATCGACGATAAAACGAATACGAGACGCAGATGGTTGCTCCTAATATTTCACGGAAACGTATCTACTTACGTAAATACGTTTATCTATCTAGTCATCGATGGGTTATCATTACAATTTAATTTCGCGTTGTCGATTCGATATACGAGGAAGAATATTTTTTACCAGTTTCATCATTTTATTTGTAAGGAAACGTATCGCTAAATATATCGACAGGAATAACGCTGAATAAGTGAGGATGTTTTTTCTTACTACGAAATACTGAAACTTTGTGGTGTTCAAAGTTTGTCGAATTATGCTTATTGCAAAGGAAATGACGAAAATGCGTGCCATCGTGTATCTTAAGATCTATGTTATTCGCTATTTTTACGATGTCAAGTATTTGAAAATTTTGTACATTTTTCTTATGTATTTAATTTGCATACGCAAGTGCCCACGCACGCACACAGACACATACACACGCACGCGTACACGCACACATACAATACATGTATTTTATTATAAAGAGATATTAAAATATAGTACAAAATAATCAATGTTCAACGTAATACTATTATATGCATGTAATTCATCTATCAATCAAAAGTTATGTATTTGAAGACCCGCGGTCGTAAAAGTAACGCAACGCCTATGTGTAGATTATTCGATAAAAAACTTGTATTCTACTAGTACACTTCAAGGGAAAAAGAAGGAAAAGACTGTTCATCCCTGTAAACACAATGTCTCTCTTAAAGCTTTTTTTCTTCTTTAAGCAAATACATCTTCCCGATCGGCCCCTACTCCTTCTCCATCCTCCAAACTCGAGAAGTTCAAGAAGTGAGCTGGCCTGTGAATCTCGTGATAAAATTCTTTCGGATTCGCCAACTGAAGCTCGTATTTCATGTTGGGATCGTGTCTTACTCCTGTGGACAAACAAATTGTTTAATCACATGAATTGGAATAGCAGCATAAAAGGCAAAATCAAAATCATTACCCATGAAGTTGTAATTCCAGGATCCTTGACTGGGAACCATGAAGAATCCGAGGAAACGATCGGACAAGAGCATTTGTACTTTTTCGTAATGGCTAGGCAAATAACCTTTGGGATTGTTTCCTTTGTCAGTATTTTGTTTTCCCCATTCGAAACCACTGAAATGAACGAGTTCAGTAAAGTGACATGAAGATTAGAGTGCTAGAAAGAAAGTTAGAAAGAGATAAATACGAACCTAGGCGTTAATTTGTATGCCGTAAGGGAACAAGATCCCGGAGTAAAACTGCAAGTTATAACGATAGTCTTTTCTCCGTCCCAGATTGGATTTTCCGCCATTATTCTGGCGTGGGTGGATATATCCTGAAGAATATGGATTTATATAATAAAGGAGTATGTAACTGCGTACTTGACAGCAATTTATATTACCAACCTGTGGCGATAACTGTGGTAATTCGTTCGGCTGAGTGTGTATCCAACCCAGGGGTTCCATTTCCTTCAGGTACTGGTGATTTGGAAGCGTGTTGGGTAAGTGAACCGTTTGATGAGTTCCCCACTGAGGAGCCATAACTATACACCTAATTTCTTTAACTTGTGGATTATCCGGTGGACTAATACCATACAAATACCCTGCAATCTGAAGAAACAAAAGTATGAATACTAATCAGTGATTGCAAACCCATGTACTTTTATCTGACGTATCACGTACCTGCGCTCGTAAATCCGATATAGTAACAAATTTCTTGAGTACATTTTTCGGTAAAATATAAGTGTAACCAGTTTCTTTGATGTCGTCCGACGATACGTAAATGTGGTTCGTTCTGAGATGTAAATTCGTAGCAGAAATCGCTCTTACGCGCCACTCGGTTTTCGAACTGAACGTTTGCGTTTCGTAGTTGGAGGTTGTCGCAGTAATGATTTCGTCTCCGTGTTTGTTCACGGTTCTCGTAGTCGTCGCCGTAAGCTGCGACTGTTCTTTTGTCTGCTTTTCTATCTCGGCGATCTGCTGACGTTGCGCGGACGGTGCACTGATTTCCATACCCAAAATGATATCTCGAATTTCTGACTGAGTCAACGATGCGACGTTCACACTAAAACATAATTATTTGGTCAGTCATTAACTCGTAAACTTCGTTCAAACATTATGTTAATACTGTACCACGATACATACTTATTCTTTTTACCATAATCAGCCAATATTAAATCTTTCAATTGTACTTCAACCTTGATCCACTCGTCGTCTGTTAAAGAGGGCCATATGTGATGGGGTTCCGTGATGGTTGTCTTATCAGGTTTCAGTACAACCTTTGTTCTTTCGGTATTAACGTGCAATGCACGGAGAATTAAAATTAAACGCGAAAATGCCTGTTGAATGTGAAAATTATATAGGTGATGCTCTGATGTTGAATAATCTGATGAATCAATAGATTACCGTGTATGATGAGATGGTTTTCAACCAGTCATCGTATAAATTGAACAACACCATCTGCGGTTCCGTAGCTTTCAAGATTAAGTCACCAAACTTCTCGACCTTCAAGCAAGCCTGGAACGGTAACTGCAGCTCCGACCCTTTGATCACAATATTAGGGAAGTCGAGCAAGTGCACTTCCAAAGGATCCAACATTCCCTTTCTGGTTACAATGATTTGCTTCGGTTGTTCTTCCACCGGTAACGAACGAATAAGTGCGGCTACTTCCTCAGCAGTTTTCCACTTTGCCAACTGCAATGATGTTTCATTATTATGTAGAATTATTCATGTAACAAAGTAACTTGATCACATATCGATGGAATACGATTTACGTACTTGACCTAAACGCTTTTGACCAGCCCAAACAGACGTGTGAATGATCTTCAAGAACAGCTGACCGGTACGAGGGTTGAAGATGAAAATCGCACCGTTTATAGGCTTCGTGGTTAAATTACCCTCGAACGTTTTGTGAATTGTAACACGATAGACGTTGGTATCGTCGACGAACCTGATAAACACGAAAATGAAGATTTAATTAAAAATGAAGATTTAGAAGTTTGTCTATGCATTTAATTAAATAGATGATGAAGGAAATAATGCAATACCAAATAATTTGATTAGAGAAGAGTTCTCCGTAATTTTGCGAGGACAAGTACGGTTCCGTGGGTTCTGAAGAGTAAAGTTGCAGCGCTTTCCTGATACGTTCTCGCAGTACATACAAAGCAGGGTTAGCTTTCATTATTTTTGCCATCGCCTGCTGTATGAGAGGCTTACATCCTGGGAACCAGTTGCCATACGCACTGTCAAGAAAATAAAATTTCAGTAACATTCTTTGCTACCGTATAACAATAATGAAATACCCACCTATGTAAATTATATGCCAAATCAATAGCGATAAGTAATCCTGTCGGTGATGGATAAATGGACATATTGTCCGTCGTATAATCTAAAAATTTCGCTCTAGCGTATCTTTCAATGTCATGTGAATCGTAGTCTCCCCACCTAAGTTGTACGTCTATCCAATATTTCTGTGTGGTAGTGTTATCCATAAGATCTCTGAGAAAATATCACAGCGTTAGAATGTAAGAAGCAAGAGAAAAGTTAGCTATTTAGCTAAAGTTGTTGCTTACTTTGAATCCGCGAGCAAAGATGGCCTAGAGACGTTCCATTTATAAGCAGAGAATAGTAAAATGTCGGCACAAGAAGAATTCATTTTGTATGATTTTCTAGGATGTATAGTTTCCTTCTGAACAGTTTCGATTTCTAGTGCATCCAATTCCTGATCGAATACCTGACAAAGGTCCATAACAATCGACTCGTGCACCTTTTGCCATAAATGGGCTCTGAATATTTGAATCAGAGAAATCTTTAGAGTTGGAATTTTACCGTGCATGAATATTCCAGTCAGATCCAATTGTACCTAACGAGTAAACAATCGGTTAATAATCAAAACGTCTTTACAACAATTGAAACTTATAAGAAGAAATGCTCCTTACCTGGAAACCGACGTATACGTTTGCCCTGTTGATAGTCGGTGACCACCATAAAGTAAATCGACGGTTTGGAATTTGGTTCAAACCTGATCTCTGGGCGTTCGTTAATTTCTTGTATTTCATAGATTCTTCGAATCCAGATGCCTTTTCCCTAAATTGAAAAATGTGATCTGAGTTTCTTAAATATTAAAAAACATAAGAAAGATATCTTACCAGAAAAGACCTTCCCAAGTTGGGAAGTACGTTCCTTTGAACAGCGTGTGCTCCAAAATACCCTCGACACCTCCAAGAGCCTGAATCATATCGGTTCTGTAATTGTTCAGGTTCCATAGTTTACCGTCGTGTCGTTGATGTGTCCACCAGAATGGATTCTGCTTCAAGACCTGATACTGTTTAAACTCAGTACGTATCCTCCAACCCTTGTCGTACGCAAGAGTGTGTCTGTCCTTCTGGAACAATGTATTTATCCTAGGAATACCACGATCCCAACTATCCTCCAAATCTTCCAAGGTAAGTCTGCGATTTTGCGCGTTGGCTTCTTGACGCTTCAACGCGTACTCCGCCCATACTCGCTGCGAGTCTATGAACTCCGACTCCCAGGGTTGAATGTACCGATACAAATTGGGAATCAGTTGATCCTCGTCGTGACTCATACCCGAACGGAAATGAGTGATACCAACGTCGGTTTGTTTCGACCACCGTAAGTCGGACTGGGGTATCAGTACGTGTCCCATGGAAAGCATACCGAGTCCACCCAACTCCTTCGGTGTGTAAAACACGACCGGAGGAAAACGCGAAGGCATCTTGGAGTTAAGTCCGATCTTGATACGCGTCTGGATTTTATTCTCGCACTTCACCAGCAGATCTAACAGCTCTTGTGTATTAACTACAGCTTCACGGAAGTAAGTCATCAGACCTATCAATGCTGTGTTCCATTTGTTGACGATCTTTGTGAACGTGGTGGAACCAGATGCCATCAGAATTTGTCTGACTCTGTTGTGGAATCGTTGCAGACTCTCGTCGTCCACCCTCAAAAAGCATTGAGCAGTTCTCTCCTTCGTGATTTCGTTTTGTAAGTTCCACACACCGTCTCTGTGTGTGAACTCTTCATGAGTGGTTCTGCATTTTGGTAGAATTCTGCACTCGAATCCACTCATGTTGAATAGCAGATTTGGATTGTCTTTGCTGTACACGCTAACGAAACTGTTCTCCCATTGTATCGTGGTAGTGGAACGAGGTAAACGATTCTTGATGTCCCAGAACACGGCGCGACCCAAATTAACGTCGTGCTTCATGAGTCGCATTCGTGCATCCCGGGGCCAACACTTCTTATTATTATAACCAACAATATTTTCGTTGTTGGGATCTGGATGCTCGGTCAAGTACCTCTGAATGAGATCTCTCGCTTCGTCGGCGGAAAATCTCAAGAATAAATGTATCCTGTCCACGTATCTACAATATAATCTGATCGGATGTGCCGTTTCTGAAGCCACGTCCTGGAAGGTCAAGAAATCGTTCGGCATCTGCGGAGGACCAGCCATTTCGCTGGCTCTTTGCAATCCAAGAACCAACAAGTCCAATACCAATCCATAGTACTGCGCAATGAACGAGGCGAACTGTAACCCTCGAATTATTCCGTAACTGTTCGTGTGGTTCATATCTTTGTAATTTATGACGACGTTGTTCTTTGCAGTCATGTAATCGGCAATGTTGTGATCCACGATCAATCTGAGAAGCCTGTTCAACAACGTAAGATCGATCTTCTCGTACAGTTTCTCAAACTTTGATTCCAACAATACGTTACATTCTCCCTCGCTGACGTCCCAAACGTCTTGTAAATTGTTAATACCCTGACACCATTTGTACACCAATAGTGGTGGTGGTTCTGTATCGGAGGGTTTCACCCAAGGAGGGAACAATCTTCGCTTGTCCGCTTCGTACCATAGATACTGATCCAAGTAAGCATCCGTGATTTTCTCGAGGGGCTCGACGTCGTAAACGGGAATCAGATGACTGTACAGATCCATGAATTCTATTCCAACCTACGAATCGAATATGAGGGATGAAATTTAAGTATACAGAAAATGAAATGATTTTAGTTTTTACACATTACCTCTTTGAACGCTCTTTGCGTCAGAAGATGACGCTTGATTCTAGAGAGAGCTTCGTGTGGATTATCGTACGCTTGTTCTATCAAGCCAAGTTCTTCGCGCTGACTTTGATTCAACCTCGATTTGACGCTGTACGCTTCCTTCAAACGTTCCAAAGCTAATATCAAAAGTTTAGTATCGTGTTTGTAAGATAATGGTGGGAAAGGTATAGGAGCAAATCTTCTGGATTCTAACCAATGCACGGTCGTGGTATATATAGCTACAGCTTCCTCCGGAGAGATGTATGGACCATCCTGTATACAAGAATTTTCATTTGAAGATAAAGCCACGCAATTGTTGGATGGTAGCGAAACAATCTTAAGTTATTAATAAATTATACCTTCAAGTAATTGTGTTGTCGTTCTTGTTCGGCCTTAAGGTAAAGTCGAGTGAGACGTCCAAGATTCTTTTTACAAACAGTCTTATCCACAGTTGCTCCACGCCTGATACGTTCTCGGTTATAATGAGCGGTGTTAGTCCACCAGTCTGCCTTCATTTTAACGTAACGAAGGATCATATTTTCGATTGGTATTGGTAATCCAGGAACCTATAGACATCGATGAAAAATGTGGATGTTACGATAAAGGTACAGATAACTAACGAATGGAAAAAGAATATAATACGAACTTTCCAAGGAATATTCGCTTTCCAACACCTCCATGCTTCACTAAGATGTTGAAGAATCGTTCGTGCCTTATTTTGCTTAATTCCCTCTGGCATCATATCCACAATATCGTGCATTACCGATGCTCTCAATTCAAGATCGAAGTGTGACTCCACTCGTTGCTTCGTTACAGTCTTTGCAACACCTTTGGAATGACGACCCTCGAATTGCCTAGACAACAGATTTCCTAACCATCTTTCCAGTAATGGAGTAATTCCTCTCATGAAGAAAAGCCATACTCTCCAACCGGGTGCCCAAAATCCGCATCCAGGTCCCTTCCCGACTGGGCCCTATACAATATACCAATAGTTGATTCATCAAGCACATGAATATATTTTCTTACACACTCTGATAACTTACCGTATTGAAACGATAGTAGATCAAATGTTTCAAATCTTTGCACATTCTGATTTGTCTCATCAATTTATATTTGTACCGATACATTCCAGTTAATTGACCAACGTGGGCAAAAATGTACTGCAGTCCATCAGCTAATTGGAACGCGTCAACGTTATTTAAACGATACTGAACGTGAGAGTCGATAATTAGTTTCGTTAAACGAAGAATCTCACGGCACAAATGGAAAGCTGTAAAAATCAAATGTTGTCATATCTATCACCTTATAAAGTGAAGCCGTATAATAATATACTCACCATTTCCGAATCTAGATTTTTTCCTCTCCTTTGTCGTAAGGGTTTTGACCGGCTTCAAGTTGAAATTATAATCCAAATGAAGGTAGTTCAAATTTTTTCTATGAATAAGTAAATTCAACATATTGTATCCCTGTCGGCATACTTGTAGACCAGCTTCGACCCAATCTATTGTAGTAGTTTGGAAAAATTTCGTTGATTTGAACGATCGGAATAAGTAGCGTTTCTTCTGTGGTTTTGGAGGTCTGTGCTTCAAGGCGTTTAGCACGAAATATTTTAACAATTTTTGATAACTGACACGAACTTTAACGGGTTGTCCGGGTGGACAATGTTCTCTGTACCAGGACTTCACTAACGGAATATCGATAGCTCTTCTAGTTCTACCGGAACGAGTATTAAAGGGTCTAGGAGCCCACAGTAAAGCGATTCCGTTTGCTGTATTGTCAGTGTACAGAGGAGTTTCTTGGAGGAATGGTTGTACTTCTTCTGGGAGCACGAAGTCTTCGTCATCTTCTATTTGTGGTTCCACGGTCTAAAAAAATACATATCTGATATTTCACCGCTAATTATTTAATTAGTCATATTTAATATGTCTGATAAAATTTACCTTTAACGAGTTCCTATGTGAAATAGGATTGATTAACGGATCAAAGTAGAAAGCAGGCAAATCAGGATCTTCTGTTTTTATGTAAACAACGTTTGGTGCATGGTACCTAGTGAAAAACATAGAATTAATCTATTGCTATTAATTTAAGAATCATTGTAGGTGATATCAGCAGTTCCCTTTTATACTTTACAAAGGGTACGAATAACAATCACCACTTTTCTTTACCACACTGCTAGTAAGACTATAATATACTAATAATTGATAAGTCCTAAAACTTGTGTGGAAATAGTGGAAAATAAATTAAATACTTACCACGATAAATGCACGAAATGTGGCATGTTATTATATAAATATGGGAATGCGATACGATATTCCGTTCTTATAGGCTGTCTAATAATAATTTTATTTATATCGTTAAACTCATTCCAATCTTCGTCGGCTGCATTTGAATCTTTCACAAGTGGTTCAAATTTTGGACCACCCGGTATAGCCATATTTAGTGCCTTTGCGGTGAAAAATGATTTTGGGTCAAACAGGTAAAAGAAGTTTTGATCTACTAAGTCCGTTAACAATTGATTAGCCAAGCGGTATAATGTTGCCATTTGTGGTAAAGTTAAATTCCATCTTCGATAAGTTGATCCGTTTACGTGCCTGCAATAATAATTAAAATTGGTGATTAAACAAAATTTTATCAAATAATATATTTTTCCTGATATTTTGAATAATTCAGTAAAGCGTTTTGTCTGGCTAATAGTAACCCATAGTACCTATCTCGGACAAGACTATGGATTACTACAGCTATCAACTCACATGTCAGTTGATTTCAGGACCCCTACGCGATTCATCATAAAAAATTCAATATCCGATATATTTTACTACATGAATTAAGTTAGAACACTATTTTATACTTACTTAGTACCAACAAGTGGTTTGTGTTCGTAAAACCACGATGCAACAGATTCGTCTTCTTCTGAATCAAGTTCTATCTGAATAGCTTCTAAAGGTTCTACATCCAAAACGTTATCCGCATAATCTAGCGGAGGTTCTTCGTCATCGAATGGTGGGAATCTCATTCTTTTGAAATGTCTACGATCTCTTTTTTCTCGTCGCATCATAATCCACATTGTACTGAATAAAGAAAGAGAAGATAAGTCATGTACATTTAACTATACTTGTCCATTATATATATAATACAGGTATACTTTTTTAACTTACCCCCATTGAGCAATATATACAGGTTCTATAACCCATGGGATTTCATTTACAAACGTGATTGCACCTGTGATATGATACAGAACCTTTACATCTCGAATTTGCTCCCAGGGCATGGGCATATTTTCTAAAAGCTTCATAACTGCATGAGGCATATATTTTAGTGCTCTATAAAGGAAAGAATGGAATTAGACAACCACTCTTCTTGTCTTCATTTCTTTAAAAAGTAACATACCCTAAATAAACACGTTTATCATGTCTATATTTCCGGCTACTCATGTCTCCATGATCTCTAATAATTTTTCTAATATGTTCTGGTGGCATATCTTCTTTCTGTGCATCCACAAATCCAAATTTTCTCTTTTCCGCGAATCTCTTTGACTGAAGTTGTTGCCACTTTTGTGCTACAATTGTACAAAGAGTTAAATGTATTTACCTATAATTTTTCTAAAGTGGTAAACTTTAATTTCAAAGTTATACATGTTACACAAACACCACTTCTGTAATACCTTTCTCTTGTAACTTGTCTTCCGATAAAACTTCTGGTTGTTTCGGCATTTGTGGAAGCGGTGGTCCTGCTATTGCTTGCATGTGAGCATGATGCGCAGCTTGTGCGTGTACAGCTGCTTGAGCATGAGCCTGAGCCGCTGCTAATTGTGCATGGGCCTGCTGTTGGGCCATCATGGTGGCCCATGGGTTTGGGCCCAATAAATATGGTGGAATCGACATTTTTCAGTCAAATTTCTGAAAGGAATAAAGTAATATAACATTCAATGATGTTTAATAAAGATACATAATATGTAAATAGTCTACTTGAAGTAAAATGCTAAAATGATATTGCAGTAGCAACAAAGATGATGCTAATATATTGAAAACGGTTAAAAATATAATATATCAGCTAAGCCGGAAAAATTTGAAGTTCGAAGCCGACCTCTTATTACCAAAATAGTAAGCGAATCGCAGGTTTCATACAATTGTGTAAAGCGACATGAAATATATCATTATGTTACTTGAATCATATTTATTTATTGTTTGTAGTAAATATTGACTTTATAACAATATTTTATTCTATCTTGGAATGATGGGTTGTTAACTTACATCGACTTTACATGAAAGCAAACATAACCGTTATAGGAACGCGTTAATAGTAATACACTGGAACTTATTATATTTGTATACCTACAAATAGATAAAACAATGACGTTATGATTGTTTTAAGTCACGCTAAATGATATTAACTACGATATTTGCTCCGCAACACCTGCAGAGCAAATTGAAAACGTTTTACTTTACATTCACACGTTCAATCGAGAAAATACTTCGACGTTTCTATTCCCTCTAGAATTTTAGTGGTACTTTATAGATGGCGTAGTAACAAGATATTATATTTCTTCTACTGCGATAATGTATTCGAAATAAGATTTGAATACGATTTTATTCGTATATTAGATACATAAATTTAATTAAACGATTCTGCCGCGTTTAAAAAAGATGCAAATATATATGATTTTACATGAACTTCTACAAAAGAAAAGGAAAACTATACTTTGAAACTTTAATTTTTCGTTAATGTATAAAAATGAATGGGAGAAATAATGCGTATAAAATTACGCTGAAAAAGAAACAACTTATGTAATAGTTCATACTTCGCTAATTAATAAATAATAAGCTTCATGAAATACATTCAGTTTTCGTTTTGCTACTGCAAAAGAACGTGGATCTTTTAAAAGTTTCTACGAGTCTCTTATATATTTCATGCTCGATTAAAGTAGTATTCGCGCTAAGTCTATATTTTGTTAGTCGAGGTATTTGTATCGTGTGTTTTATTTAAAAATTGTCCACATTTCTGTTTAATCGCTAAAAGAGAAAATAATAATAATAATAACAAAATAATGTATATGTATCTTTTATGATATTAAATGTAATTTCACGTATTATTTTTTATTTACGACAGTGTATATACAGTTCAATCTATTCGTCAGAAAATCAGTGCAGAACACGCAAATAAAGAGAACTAACATACTATCGCGTTTACGCACTTACGTAGTCATCTACGTTATTTGAACTTATTACGATCAATTAAAACTATCGACGAGAAAAGGTTTTAAATGTGATTACAGCGTAGAAAGAATGGCTGGAGTATTCGATATAGAATTACACGAAGGAGATTCCGTAAATCAAGACGAGTCAGATGACGATATTGTTGAAAGCAGAGAAGTTCGTTTCATAATGGATTTTTTGTTTTTCATGAAATTTTTGTAATTATCATTATCCTTCTCGTTTCTTTCTTGTTATTTTATTTGTTCCAGGACGAATATAATCATGCCACCAATGTAAATACCATATTAGAGTAAGTATTAATATATCTTACAGCATATAATGTTTAACTTTATAATTAAATTGTACATTATTCATAAGATGATGATGTTGTTAATTTGTGTATGATGTCAAATGTTCTTTTGCTGCTTCTCTTCTTTTTGCCTTTAATTTTTCCTCTTGTTAAAAACCCTAAATTATAAATTTTTTTGTTTCAGATCTGATGATTTAGAAAGAGTTCAATTATCGGAACAAAATGTCAATGTGGGTCAAGAGAAGACTGGACCTCAAGATTTTGAACTATGCAAGATTCTAGGAGAAGGCGGATATGGAAAAGTTTTTCAAGTTAAAAAAGTTACTGGAAAAGACAAAGGCAGTATCTTTGCTATGAAGGTAATTATTTACATGTCTGCACACGTGTACAAAACGCTTTATAGTTCTCTCTTTTCCTAGGTATTGCGAAAAGCATCTATTGTACGAAGTCAGAAGGATACAGCTCACACAAAGGCAGAGAGGAATATCTTAGAAGCTGTAAAAGTATGTAAAATCTGTTGCATTTAACAATGAAATATTTACCATATTTTTGTTGCAGCACCCGTTCATTGTAAATTTAATGTACGCATTTCAAACTGGTGGTAAATTATACTTAATTTTGGAATATCTTTGTGGTGGAGAGCTTTTTACATATTTAGATAGAGAAGGCATTTTCTTAGAAGATACAGCATGGTATGTTATCTTACCTTTCAAATATATTTCAAACAATATATAATACCTTATACTTACGTGTAAATATTATGCGTATGATAACAATCTAAGAATACATAGATTAACGTTTCTTTTGTCTTTATGCCGATAGTTTTTATTTGTCTGAGATTATTCTCGCGCTACAACATCTTCATAATCAGGGTATTATATACAGGTATAACATCTTTGTTAATAGTACTATTTAAAATACATAGCTGCATGCATTTAACTATGTTAATTACTTTTACAGAGATCTGAAACCAGAAAATATTTTATTAGACGGTGAAGGTCATGTTAAGCTAACGGATTTTGGTTTATGCAAAGAACACATTCAAGAGGGTACAGTGACCCACACATTTTGTGGAACTATAGAATATATGTGAGTAATTTTATTAATTCTTTATTGTAACTTATCAAATACATATGTTGTAATTTTTATTGTTATTGATGTGTTTAGGGCTCCAGAAATTCTAACAAGAAGTGGACATGGAAAAGCAGTTGATTGGTGGAGTTTGGGTGCTCTTATGTTTGATATGCTTACTGGAATGGTATATGGTTTAAATGAACCACAAAGAAACAGGAAAATTTTCAAATTTATCAATTAAATAGAGAAACGTGACTATACGCTGCTTTTTTTTACAGCCACCGTTCACGGGAGATGATAGAAGAAAAACAATTGAAAAAATTTTACGAGGAAAATTAAATCTTCCGTTATATTTAACATCCGATGCAAAAGATTTAATACGAAGGTTATTGAAGGTATTGACAAAATTTGTATGATATAACAACTTTGTTTATACAAGTGTTCATATTGTAAACATGCTCTGTATGTAATTTACAGAGACAGGTATTGCAGAGACTAGGATCCGGGCCCGAAGATGCTGAACAAATTATGAATCACAATTTTTTCAAACATATTAATTGGCAAGATGTAATTTCAAAGAAGTTAGAACCTCCTTTTAAACCATCCTTAGTAAGTATTTTTTATTACAACGGACAGTTGAAGTTGTAAATAAGTAAATGTTATAATTTATACAGAAAAGTGCCGATGATACGTCTCAATTCGATGAACAATTTACAACAACCGTTCCTGTTGATTCTCCAGTTGAAAGTACATTAAGCGAATCTGCTAATATGATCTTTCAAGTAAGTAACAGGGTGTTCTCAATGTTTCATGTTTATAGGGAAGTATTATATTTCAATGGAATGTTCACAGGGATTTACGTATGTTGCACCGAGTGTTCTAGAAGAAATGTATGCGCAACCAAGAGTCGTAAATGCCAGAAGTCCACGAAAAGGTCTTGTAAGTACAGGATTTAGTGGAAGCGTTCACAATTTGCCTTCGAGATCACCTGATGCTCACCTACGTACCTCGTCACAGTTTCATCAGTACAGGTACTGTCGAGCTATTTCAGATGTATGAAAGAAAAAGAATACGAATATTTTGCGCATAATGTAACCGTAAGAGTTTTTCGTTCGTTACATTTTTTTTACTGGAAAAAGCCGTTTTTTTAATTTCTAGGCATCATGTGGTAGGTTCAAATAATATGGAAGATACCGAAATGAAGGATATAGGTCCACTGTTCAATTTTTAAACACCACACAGTACGTTCAAATGATATGGACAAAAAAAAACTCGAATGATGTATATAAATTTACTAATAGATCATGTTTAGTGATTTATATGCATAAACATACGAGAAAATGTTGAACTTTTATCTTAGGCTCAGTAGAACCGAAGAACATTTTCTAGCTTACTTATTTTTGTTGTTTCAATAATCTAAATGTCACATTTAGGGAATATAATGCAATTTACTTACGTATATAAATATTTAGAAACACATGATTCTAAACGTCAAAAGGAGTTTACGCTTATAGAGCAGTGGTGCTACTCCTGTACAAATCTTATGTAGGCCTGTTCTAATGTGACTGACGATTATTTATGGTGTAAAGAATTAAAATATGTATTTTCATTATGTAAATATATGTAGGTATCTAATAATAACAAGTACATTCTTTTTTGAAAAAGACGCTATACCGTTGAAAGATATAAAAAATATTTTTGATGTAAAATACAGTCCCGTCATTGCAATTACTAATTCAGATTTTTAAAATGTTCACTGCTAGTATATAAAAATTAGATCGATAAGATTATTTAATTTAAATATATTGAAAAATTTCTCTAAACGAAACGTTAAAGAATGTACTGTTACTTTCGAGTTACTTTTTTGTAAAAATCACAAATTCAATTACTTATTCATTTAACTGTATAATTTTAGAAGGAGTGTTTATAAATACGTACATTCCAAACTTATTTAAGTGTTTTGTATAAACGTAATATGGAATTCGTGCGGATTATGTTGTGTAGATTAGAACGTCGAATTTATTTAGACTCGGTAGTCTTGTTTTGTTATAAAATTAATTTACTTTAATGATATGTTATTCGATAAAGAAAAGATAATATTGTAAACATAAAACCTACACTGATCTTTGTTACAGTAGAATCGGAGACAAAGTCGATCAATCAAATTAATTTTGCTTTTGCCAAGAATAGTGATCTATTAATAAATTGCAGTAGCTGGTCGTATCTTTTCCGCCAAATAATCCGATTCTACTCCGTGTAATCATGGTGAAAGTGACAATTACATGAAAAAATTTAAACTGCCCAAGTGTTCACAGCTACCAGCTGAATAGTATTTAACTTTACATAGAAAAATATATGCACACTCGCACAGGCACGCGTGTGTAGTGAATAAGTATAAAATTCTTGTTAATAGTTGTGTTATAAAAGAAAAATATTAAGGGTGATAAATTGATACTTTGTAAAATAAATATATGCATAAATATATACATTATACATATACATCTGTATATTACACATATATACATGTATATGTATGTACATTTCAAAGATACAAAAATGCTCTCTCGTTTGTTTGGGCTCGATATGTAATCGAACGTTTTACTTCTATACTTTCTGTAACAAAATTATGATGTAAAGAAATGTACGTTCTAATTTTAAATACGTATGCGTATATGTCTATTTAAAATAATCTATCAGCAACATTGTACTATAATTTAGTTAATATTTTACCTCGTTTTTGTATATATAATGTTTAAATATTTATCAACGAGTATTCTGAGGCAATTTAAAAACAAAAAATTGAGTGATTAATATTATTATTAGAACATGTATTGGAATATCAGTTTTACAATTAGAATAGTACAATTCTCGAGAAATATTTATCAAAGAATTTTTTTTACAATTGTTTTCCGCATAAAACATTTATAAAAGTTGTACCGTTATAGATTTAAAACGATGCTAACGTTTTAAATCAATTATATGTATAGTTTAGTAGTATAATTAGCAATTATGTTCGTGTTCAATCGTATTTTCTCTTGCACGTAGATAAAAAATGTACATGCGTACGGTTTTGTTTTATTCGTGTATTCTGTGCTCTGTATTAACAGTAAATATAGGTGCGCGCATATACATATATGACATTTAATCAAATTTATTATATACTTTCAACATATAGAAACAATTTTAAAACCGTCTGATTTTCTTTCTATCTTCGTGGTCACTACTCTTATCCTCGTTAAATACTGTAGCTTTCCTTTTCTTATAAGTAGAATCTCTATGTTTGCTTTTCTCTCCATCCGCTTTACGTGATTTTTTGTATTTATTCTTTTTATCATATTTAAAGTCATTTTCTCCCTTTCGACTCTTTGTTTTATTTTTGTCTTTCTTTCGACGATAATGCCTCGCGTTGTCGTTTGACATGGAATCTCCTTTTTCCTTCCTCTTCGTCTTTCTCTTCTTCTTCAATTTTTTTGACGTTGAACCATTAGAAATTTTATCCATATTATTCATACTGTTTTTACTACTGTCTGTATTGATACTAGTACTAGTACTGCTACTGCTACTGCTGCTACTACTAGTACTACTGCTGCTACTACTACTGCTGCTGCTGCTACTGCTGCTGCTGCTGCTACTACTGCTGCTGCTGCTACTGCTACTGCTGGTACTTATACTTCTTTTTCTGCTCCTGCTACTGGTACTACTACTGGAACTGCTATTGTTATCCTTATCGTTGTAGTTTTTAGTTTTACGTTTAGTTTTTCTTTTCTTTAATTTTTGTTTTGCTGTCTTTTTGTTTCTTTTTTCAAGTTGCTGTAATTTCCTGTAATCAATGTTTCCCAAGTTAATTTTGTATAAATAATTGTATGTTGTATAAGTACAGAAGAAACTTACTTTAGCAACTTTTTCTTTTCTCTCTTGGAGAGTGTCTTTAAAAATGAGATTTCTGACTGTTCCTCATCGTCTGAAACCATAAGATGTTCATGCTCAGGAACCCGTAAATGTTGCTGGGCACTTAGAGCAGATCTGTGTACAACATAGATTATTTTAGATAAAGAATTCAGTTACAAAGAAAAGTGGTATTTGGTACTTACTTCTTAAGCGCTAGACCATCTTCTCTCATTTGTTGAACTAGTGTTAACGCGTCTGGAGCTGATGGAGTTTGGGAATTATTTGCCATTACTACACTCATTGCTTGGCTATACAATGGACATTCTTTATCTGTAAAATTAGATCCATAATCATAATCAGTTTACTTTAATTATATATTTTGATGCCATCATATGTTACTGTTATGGTTATACAAACCTGTATTTATGTGCCCCCATTTGTGACATTTAATACAACGTACATTACGTACTTGAATACCAAATGGTTGATCTCTTATTTCACTATCCCCTTTACAATAACTTTCTCTCGGTGCATTATATTTACGTTGCCACTCGAATTTATATTCTGGCTCATTATCTTCTTTTTCTCTTTCCTTTTTTGCACCAGGTGGTGGTTCATACATAAAATTTACACTTAGTTTATCCTTGCTTTCTTTACTTAATAAAGCTCTGCAACAAATACAGTAAAAATGTTAAAAAATAAATTCTGAATTTGGTTACTGAGGAAGGCATTATTGTAATCACTTGTTATTATGAAGATCCTGTTCCTTTTCATATTGAACACGTAATTCTTCTTGTTTTTTCTTATAAGCCTCGGCTTGTTGTTCGGCCATCCATACCTGATGAAAAAGAAATTGCGAATTAAGTCGCACATAACAGAGTCAACCTATAAAAATATGCAAACAAAAGATGCTTACTCGTTTCAAATTATCCCGAGATGCTGGATGGAAGAACTTTTTACACATATAATTATTAAATCCTTTCCCCATTTTGTTTTTCTAGGTATATAAACACCTTCCAATATTCAATACAAAATTTACGCTCCTAAAGCTTCAACGATCGAGTGCTACGCTTGTCCCTAACGTCAAGAAAGGTTAGGTTAGCACAATCGTGAAGGTGGCAGTGTTACGTCAAGTTTTTCTCAGCTGCAATATCGTATTTTATATAAGATAAAAATTGTAAAAAAGGAAAAACATGGAGATAATTTAATGACACGTCATAATATTAAAGATACAGTGGATTTTTAATATATATCCTTGAAATCTCAGTGACTAAAGTTATTCGATGAAGTTGACATATGAATAAGGTTAGAATTCGCTTCAAAACCAAAATCAAATTTGGAAAGGACAAGTATCTTTCTTAACAAGTATTATCAGAATACATTATAAAAAGAAGATATTTAATAGAACCAGTGAAATACATTTTCAACGGTGTGTCTGCTGAAAATCGTTTAGCAGCTGGCCAGTTAATAGTACAATTTCAAATGCAATGAAAATAAACGAGAAAAACATGGTAGCTTTCGCGACTTCGGCAACACCAGTAGATCGTGAAGGTTGGTTAAATAAACGCGGGGAATTAAATCGAGGCTATCAAAGAAGATGGTTCGTTCTTAAAGGAAACATATTATTTTATTTCGATCGACGAGGTGACAAGGAGCCAATAGGTATGATAGTTCTTGAAGGTTGTACCATTGAACTAGCCGAGGATGAAGAACAATTTGGCTTTCAAATTGTATTTCACGGTCCAAACAACAGGAACTATGCGCTCGCAGCAGAATCTCAGGTAAAATTATTTAGTAAAATTTTATATAACATCGGTAATAATTTACGTAGAGTCAATACGATGATATAATTTCAGGAATCTATGGAGCAGTGGATGAAAGCTTTGGCATGCGCTAGTTACGATTATATGAAGTTAATGGTAGCGGAATTACAAAGACAGTTAGACGCGGCAGAGGAAGAAACAACGATGGTAACGGTGCCTTCTCAATCGCCTAAAGCACCCCCTAGGCAGCGACATAACCCTTTTAACAGATCAGAAATGCATCATCGTTCGCAAAGCGTTAGATCTGCGCCTGGCAGAACAGAAAATATCCCAAGGACGAGGATAACGTTCCGCGAACTGCACACTATGTACGGCAGAAGAATTTTGGCGGATTTAAACGAATGGAGGCATACGAGAAAAGCTGCGGAGGCTCCGTTGATTAGTTTTTAATTACGCCTCGTATGATTTATAATCTGTAAATATTTAACGGGAAATACGAGTCGGTACTTATCGAACATTATTCGAACGTATCATTTATTTTTGTAACAGTAAAACTGGCGAACGAAATATTCCGGTCGCTGTTAGAACGTCGAGAAATTATCGCGATCGTAGGTATAACGAAAAATGTACTCGAATTACGAACGTTTACATGTTTAACCCAAAGCGTAAGTAACATAAGTGGAAGTAATCGTGTACAAATATTACGAGACGTTACAAATAGACAATTATTATTTAAGTAAGAAAACTTGAATCGCAAGTCGTCGTACGTATACGTTGCGGTTAACTAAATAACATGAACCAAATACAGAATAATAGGAATACCAGTTTGCTCGAATGAAATGCTTGATAATGCGCACCAATCTTTTGTATTAAATATTTTATTGGAATACTGATTTTTTGTGTAAATTAAAAACTGATTAAAGTAGACAAACAATGTAGAATACAGACTACTTAAACTTAAAGACACCTTTTTTTCTCGCGTCACCCGGTAAATGTCTTGCACCTAACAGAAGTCGAGCTTTATCTTCCTCTTGCGGAGCTGATTCTTCCTGCGGACCTCTAGGCTTGATCTGTAATTTCTGTTTAATAGCTTGACTCAATATCACTCGCCTAGAATCACTTTTCATTGCTAAGAGAAGATCCAGCCATGTCCAAGTGACGTTATGATACTCCAATGTAGGTATTACCAGAGCAAAGTCACGGACATCTTCCAAATTTTTTTCTTTATTTCCCTGTACAAAAGAAGGCGGAAAGGTTTAGAGTACATTAGTCTGCTTCTTTGAAATAATTCTTCTCGTAGATATAGTACCTTGTAAGATACGCGAACGGGTACTTCCGGTATTTTAATGTATATGAACAACTTATTTTTATCTGCCCTTTCTTTCATCTTTTCTACGTCGTCTCTCCTTTCGATGGGTACGTAGAAAGAAGAATCCCGTTGTGGTGCTGGTGGTTCCTCTATTCCTTCAGGATCCCTCTCAGGAAAACAGAACTTAAGCATCGTATTGAAAAATTTTTTTGTTAGTCCTAAAAGGAAAGAAACATGAAAAATTAAAAATAGTATCAAGGGTCATATAAGATTTATATAAGGATTGAACGGTTACCTATCGTTAAAGGAACTACGTTAATTTCAAAATGTTCTTTCACTGATATCCCAGCAACCGGTGCCTTCTCCCTACAAAAAACTCGGAGAGCTCTTTGCCTATCAACAGGCATATTACTTTGTAACTCTGTAGGCGTCAGTACTTCTGTATAGGCTTGATTCGGTAATAAATTAGTCATCCTAACGTATCCTAACTCGAGGAGATGTTCGACGGAGTCGTCGGTCTTGCTGGTTTTAGTGTACAAGAAGTTAGTCAAAATAAGATCAGCAATACCCAGCTGACCGTCTGCATCCGTCAATCGCCACTGCGCGTGTTTGAAGCAGATTTCAGCGACTCTGGCGACCGCAGCCGGTTTATCTTTCAACGTGGTAGAGGCCGTTGTTGGAGCAGTCGTTTCTTTGTAACAGCTTAACATCACGTCGAGTTCTTCCGCCTTTGCGGCAAGTTGTTCTTTGCATTCGAAAACTCTCGCTTCGAGTCGCTCCATTTCGGCGAGCAATTCAGGACCAGATTCTTCAGCGAGAGCCTTTTGCACCAAGTAGGTTTCACGTTCCAGTCTCCTTAATTTCGCTACTAAGCCGCGCACGGTATTCTGTAGTTGTTGAATAGGTCGTTTTTGATCCTCGACCGAATGCAATTGCAACTGAAATCTCATTCTCTGTAACCTTTCCGACGCTTCTTTTCGTCTCGGTTCTACATACAGCAGCAAGTTATTCACGATGTCCAGGATCATAGCATACTGCAACGAGTTAGTACACACGTCCAAATCGTGATGCATCAAGGTAAATGCGTCAGCCGCCGATAGTTCCTTCCTCTCCCACGGACTGACTTCTTCTCTCGGAGGCGGAGGAACTTGATCAATCGATCCAACATCTAAAGCTTGGCCATAGCCGACGTAGAAGAACTCGCATTTACATCTCGAAACGATTCGTTGCAGCTGATGCTGAGGACCACCGCCACCTCCAACGGTTTGGCTCACTACTCCCCCGACGCTCTGACCGGAACCTACCAGCGCCGGTACATCCGGCAAGCCAGCTATCACCGTCGAGTCCTTCTCCTATTAAGTTTAACAGTGACCAACAGGGATCTTTTCGTCAGGTTACTCTTTACCTTTTGTTTGCTTATACCTTACTTAAAATCTAGCTTGCGAGTATTAACAACTTACTTGTATATTATCCAAAGTCAACCACATTATATTGTCGTCGATATTCTCGTCGATGTTGGCGCTGACGGTCGCATAATATTGCATGCACTCCAGCGACCCGACCCACGTTGTCTTCGACACTAAGGTTCTTTCTTTCCATACAGGTTGATGGACCCTTTGTAAGATCTCGGCTTTAGCTGCCGATAAGATGACGTATCCTCTCGTCTCGATACCTTTCAGTAACACCTGACTGTTCACCAAAGCGACTGTGGAAAGAACTCAGATTAATCATGTGATACTAATTTTGATATGATAATAGTAGGAAATCGTACTTAGCCAATTTTTATGCAACACGTCGTCCTGATGACAAGCTGCTAAACCACGCAGTTGCTGACCCCTCGTTTGTACCGAGAGGTCATCGCTGAACGCTACAGGTTTGTTCGCAGCTTCCGCTATTAATCTCTGCAGCATCCCAACAGCCTCTCCTTGCTGCGGTTTCGTCGCGGACGTCGAATTGATCTGCGTCGTCGCGTTTTGTACTTCAACGGCTCTAGTTCGGTGATTCTTGTGCGACGAGGAGCTTTCCCTGTGGAAGCCTTTCAGAGCAGCGGTGGAGAGATTCTTCTTTAGCTGTTGAGTCTTTATGAAGGAATCAAACAACGCGAACGCCACGTCTCTGTTCGTTTTTGTCCAGGCTCCTTTGAGGTCGTGCACGGCCAGCCTGTGTGTGGGGGTGTCTCCACTCACTCCAACCACCATGGCCTCTCTTCCGTAACTGACCCTGGCTACACTCAAACAGTAACATTTTTCAACAGGTTGCCGCAATGAAGTGCTTTCCTTGTCTTCTTGCAACGCGCTTTTCAACCAGATCTCCGCGTCGCTTAGCTCGCAGTTCATGTACACCACTGACCATTCCGCTCGCGGTCGGTGTATCAAACCGTCGCCGATCGGATGCAAGAATAAATTATGTTCGCTACTGCATGCCACTCTACCGCCGGTTACCTCGAAACCTCGCTGCATCGCGAACGACATCCAGTAACTAACGTGGAACCGATGAAACGCCAGAGTTAGCCGTACTTTTCTGTAATGTCTGCTGAGCTGCTTTCTCCTAGGCCGGATGTTTTTGAACAGCGGTCCCTTCCTGGTCGGTCTGGTCGCTCCCGATAAGATGAATTTCAGATTTTCAAACCACCTTAGGGTACTGCCGTAAAGTAACGCCGTTGGGGCACTCGCTAAAGCCGGAGACCCGGTTGGTTTTGTTTCGAGTGAAAGGCTGACGTTTAGATTCTGCGAACGAAACGCTCTGAATGAATCGTGTTCCTGATTACTGGAGTACTCGGGCAATCGATCCGGGGCACAAGGTATAGCAGCATGATGATCTCTCGGGTCTCCTAAACAAACCCACGCTAATTTAATGCTTAAACGAACGTTCGGTAAATGCAGTAACCTGCAGTCGTCGTATTTGCTGGCCGTGCGAACATAAACGTCTAAGTCTCCTTTCACGATGATTCTTCCTTGAGTCCAATCGAGTTCCAGCCCGGTCCATGTGAGCTCCATCTCTTCCGTGGTGTTATACGGATCCAAGGAACCGTGTAATAAGACTGTCAGCTGCTTCACGCAAAGTGTTAGTCTTCCGTGCAGAGCCAATCGCATCTTATCCCAGAACGGTAATGGAGGACTCGGGTCTCTTGAAGGGTGTAGTATCTTCTCGAAGCTGAGATTACATTGCGCTACTACCGGCTCCCAACAGGGACCAAACGCGTATCGGAATTTGTCGATGTCCCAATTCAGATCGTGATAGTACTTCAGCGAGGTCATGCCTCTTTCTACCACAATGTCCTCCCAAGGTGCACCGATTTCGATTCTGACCGTCCGCCTGGCTCTCGGTGGTGCCAGAGCTTCGGCGCCGGCCAGTCTTCCCCATACGCTTAAACTTTCAACCAGCAGCAAGGGTTGCGGGAAGTCTCGTAACTGCAGCTTCCATTCGGCGCACTTCAGGCTAATTCCTCTGACCCAGAGCGCGCTGAACTCCAAACCATCCTCGGGCCAAGGAGTCTCTGCGTCCATTTCTCGAAGAGCCTTCGTCGCGTTCTCTGTTCCGTCGATCGATGGATCAGCCAAGGCCAATATTTCGATGTCCAACATAGACCAGGCGAACAGTCGTGTTCTAGCGGGACCGGCGCGTTGCATTTGCTTCCATCTTTGTACGTAAATCTCGGCGTTTTTCTTGTTCAAACTGGCGTACAGTTCTTCGACTTTCCCCTGGGGAAGTAACAAGTGTGTTCGACAAAGTTCCTGTACTTTCGCATCGAGCATCGCTTGCCGTTTCAAACTTTCCTTGTACTCGTCCTCCAATAGTTCGTAATTATCCCTCAAGCGTACTTCGAACGGGTCGTCGCTCACCTCAAATACCCACACTTTGATCTGTAATTTTGTATGAACGCGTTTAAATTAACATCCTCAAGTGATTGAACACGTCACACACATATGTACCTTTATAATCAAATCGCAGGGTAAGGGTTTTTCTTTTCTTCCGCTCGAGTCCGAATGGATTTCCTTCAACCACTTCCTTATACTGAACAGTTCATTTTGAATCGCGTCCGTAAACTGATGTTCGTACGGGAAACAAGCTTTCACCGATTCGATGTTGAGCATCCAAGTCCGATTCCAGTCCAAAACGAACCCTTCATTGCTCTGTCTTTCTAACCGCACTTCCATGTTATCGAACACTTGAATCAATTCAAAACCTTCGATCATGATTATGTCGGCCATGTCCAAGGTAACGCGCACGTAATTCAGCTTCCACTCTCCTTGCGACCAACGCAACTGATCTGACGAAAGTTCCAAAAAGTGTTTCGGGGAGATATCTATGGATAGACTGATTCCGTTTGTGGCCAGGATATCTATTGTTCGCTTCTGCTTTTCCATTGCTTTGTCTATTGATGAAATTTAAATACGTATCAATTGTAATCCAGAAACAGTATAAAGAATGAACATGTTAAGATGAAACTGTGTACCATTAACTGTACCTTGAATATTGATCGTCGATGCATCCTGACCTATGATGGATCTGAAGTCTGCAGACTCTAACCAAAGTTGCAACAGTCGCAGATGCAAATTTGGACTCCACGCCAAACTAGTACCATCCAAACTAATATTTATAGTCTCAGAAGTGACAGCACCTTTGCATTTTCTTATAGCTAGGAAAGGATGTGCTAACGCTTGTGCGTGTTGGCAAATGATCGGTTCATTTTTGTTCAACGTTATTGCGCTTACACCCTCTGTTACAGCCACTAACCGCTTCGCACTGTGTTCTACGTTTGCAGTATCCAAACGCACCATAACAGATACTATGAACGAGAAGAATATTGCAGTTATTCTGCTTAGGATAAGCAATCGATACAAATTATATACGTACAATTATTTTCTGCAATAAAGAATAAATTACAGTTCGTAATCTTCAAATTTAATTGAGCAACGCTGTCCGAATCTTTGGTCCTCTTCGTCGTTTCAGTTCTTCTGCTATACTTTTGACAACATCTGAGAAAAATTTTGAAACAAATATGAATATCGACAAGTTTTCTCCAGTTGATAAGATTATGTTCGAAAGGGCGGTTACTTGTAAGCCTCTTCAAGAAATCTGGCAAGTTCTAGGCTCCATTCAGTTACGAGGGTATCAACGGCAATCCCTATGGCATTGGTACGCGTCGTAGCTAATAATACTCCAACCGATAAAGGTGTTCCCCATTGATGAGACGTTTCCAAACTAACGGTGTTACTTCCATTTAAGGTACAATACAACGATTCCACTACTAACTCTGTATTCCAACCATCGATGGTTTCTAAAATAGTTAAACAATCAATAAATATCTATTCTCATCGTGGTTCAGATAATATAAGTGACATGCCTGTAAGCGTGTTTATAGAAAATTTCATATGAGCTACTCCACATGAAGCTTCGTGAACGTCTAATAACTTGACGCATAAGGACGAATCGTACAGCTCAGTGTTCACTCTTATATCCGACCATGGCAATTTATTTTTGAATGTCATGCTGCCCATAGATCTTGGAACTTCATTATCAGTAGTGCATAATACAGTCTCCCAGTCTTTATGGTCGTAAATCACAGAAAGACTATTAACTTGCGTAGCAATTTGTAAAATATCTTGTTCTACCTGTAGAAACGCATGTAAATTAGTTGATTGCATATAATAAATAGAATACATGATAATGATAATGCATAAATACAGTGTCTGATACCTTCGCATTTATTACTAACGACCGTAACGTTAAAACAGGAAATTTACTACGAACTGATAGACCATCCAAGTTCAAAGTAAGATTTAATTGTGGACCACACGGTTGAAATTTTGTGCTGACCTGAAGGCCCTTCATGACGCCTTCTAAACCAACTACCACACCATCTTCTCCACCCGTGATTACGGAAGAATTACCGATTTTCAACAGAAAATCCTGAAAAAGAAATTTTGAGTTTGCATTTCTTAATCAAAAGAAATGCTTGCTAAATTTACCTTAGGTACGATCGGTGCCAATCGAGCCAGTAAATCGTTCGATGAATCAACGTGCGCATCCGAATACGAAGATGCAGTGGTTAACGAACTTCTGTCTTTGAAGAAGGTAACGAGACCTGCTCCTCCAGAACCCTCTGTCTGCGTTATTCCGATGTACAATTTCTATAAATTAGATCCTGCTTGATTCCAATTTAATCCCATTTCAAAGGACAGTTGTTCAGGAACATCCGTTATGTGTGCTAAACACAAATAGCTACTGATCAAAGCATTGAGCTACGATACTCGCTGGATTACCGCATAGTATCGCATTATTCCACAGCTCTTGCAATTTGCATATTTAAACGCTTGTACAATACATGCGAATATGACACAAGTGATCTATTCTTACCTCCACAGAAAGCTCTTCTTGTGCTTTCAAGGTGGCTTCTGCTGTTCCAGCAAAAGATATTTGTGAAAGACACGCATCTGATGCATGTCTCAACAATTTCATAGCACCACCTATAACAGCAGCAGATGCAAGAAGGGTACGAGCTCCATGGACAGTGCTACCATCCAAAGTAAGGGTTTCTGCACTTCCATTTGCCAACCAACCATTACCCAAAATTAAAAGGCTTAAATTTTCTACGTGCACAGCCATAAACTAGAAAATTTAAAAATGATCTTAATTAATATATGATAAACTATATTAAGTATCCTGTGTTTTGTGAAAGACATACTTGTACAAAAGTTATAATTATAGGTGGAATTTTCTTGTTTCGAAAATCCATTAACTTGGTCTGTTTCTTTGCTACATGCATCGATTCCACTGGAACATCCTTGTTGACTCGTACATCTTTCATGATCACTGCCAATAACTTTGCAACATCGCTGCTAAAGAGACTGCTGCGTATACTGATTTCCTCGACTTGCTGAAATTAATTTGAATATAGTTTGATAAAAAACAACGACATATTTGCTAATTGTAAGAAACTATATAATATAGTACATACCAGAGTGAACCCATTTTTAGAAACGTTTACGTCCCGAAGTATAAAATACGGTAACGAAATATGTCCAACTCGTAAATAAATTTTGTAACGTCTCTTGACCAACCATGCTAAAAATCTCGGGATCACCCTAATAAATAAATTTTGTTCAGCATTAGTTTATGAATGACAGAACTTACAACTGAACACGTAAATTCTTAACCTCACCAAGTAAAACTACAATAGAGAACAAAACAAATTGCACAGAAAGCAATTAAGCCAGTCATTTTTGCGAATTTACATAGCGCGAGAGAAATGCAAATACAATCATTCGATGACACGAAAGATCATCACGGAGAACCGAAACACTTTTTATCTGACAGGTACGACAAAATCACGGGTCAACCGGGTCAACTACGCTTCGGTCGCGTTGAATTATCGAAACGTATTACGTATCATTCCACGGAAGAATATACTTGTTTCGCGCATCTGAACTAAATTCAGAATACTCCCTCCAACTTCTTTACATTCCGCGCTTCACCGCGTATCGCGATGGCGCGAAGGTTGCACGATACGGTCTATAAACGATGAACAAAAAAGTATAAATAGGAAAAAGTAACGGTGATTTGTATAGAATGAAGACAGTGCATGAGATAAGAGAGACAATGTACTCAATTAGAACAATTTAGAGGTTGAGATAAATTGTAGAGAAAGAGATTCAGAAAAAAATCTTATATTTGGTAACGAAGAACTTGCTGAAAGAATTTTGAATTTAAAATGTTTTCGCACTGCGCATGATCATTAAAAGTAAAGAAATTTGGCGGGACCAATCAATAGCAGCATGCGCAGAACGAACGAAAACTCGTTCATCCGAGAAGTATATTCTTTCGTGAATCGAAATATAGTTTGACTTTATCGATACATTGACGCTTTCGATAGTTTCTTTGGAAGCGAGTACAACTTCGGCCACCTTCGATGGTGGTTGGAAATGCTAAGTCTATATAAAGTGGTGTAATTTGCGATAAATAGTATTTATTTTTAGATATTGTCAGGCAACAAATTCATTTTTCACTAAGTACGCGATAAAAAAGTGTCGTGGAAACCATTTGGGTGACGCGATACGTTGAATTTCCGTACAATCTGACGACTAACCTATAAGCGAAGATTGAAACATAAGGTTCGTTACACGTTTTATTTGAAAAGTAGTATAATAATGATTACAGTTACCATTAAAATGTATAAACTACATAGCGTAAAGATACATATCTTTTTGTTAAAGGATTAACGGTATATTTACCGTTATTAGACAGTAGTTTTGAAAAATCTTATAATCAGCTGAATGGTAGATGCATATGAAATGAATTAAAAATATATTACGATATTACATTATTACGATTATTCTTAATTGTAGATAAAGTACTTAGGTTACTTCTAGTTTAGTCATAAATAAGGCGAGAAACGTGTTACAAATTTATATAATAAGAGGTTAATGACAGGGAAAGATAATAACAAAGATAAATCGATACTAGAATCACCGTCGATTAGTTGCACAGTTCGTGTCAAGAACGGTTGCAGACGATATATCGATATTTAACGTCAACATTCGATTTTCAGTCGGAGAAATATCTGACAGTTTGTAGAATGCGAAAAGTTCGGAATTTTTGAAAATTCGATACAATATCAATATTCATTATCGCAGAAGGGTTTGTGCGTGGGCGAATACGTAAAGGGGTGGTTAAAGGCGCTGGCGCGTTAGAAAAGGTCGGTTGTCGACGCAGAGGGTCGAGATTCAGAACCGAGAACGTAGGTTACGATGCTCGCGGAAAATCCGAGAGAAAATGTTCGGGTCGTTTACTCAACGGGGTTGCCAAGCGAGTATCGATTGGGTGAATCGAGTCGCAGTCCGCGAGGCGTACATGGTCGGAAAGGAAAACTCGACCGAATTTTACCGAGAATTGTCGAGGAGCGTCGCGCGACGTCGCGTCGCAACGAGCATTTCGACGTGGACGACGACGAGTGATTCGGGGTGGTATGACTGTTACCAGTCGTGCGAAACGATCGTGAAAAGCATAAAGTAAAAAATGAATCGTGAGGATGAAATGATTCGAAGGACGAAGGGGCTAGTCGAAGATAGACACGGAGATAAAAAGAAATGAAGGGAAAATTACAAGGAACAGCGGCGGAGGAACGTAACCGAGGAAGACATTGGTAGCGGGTAGCCGCGAAACGGAGAGGTCGCGTTATGCGAAGAAGCGAAAGCACGAAGGGCGTTTTATCAAAATGGTGTTCGTCTCAAAACGCGTTCGTGACACCGGAACGCAGAAAATTCAGACGCGTGCACGGACTTCAACTGCCGTTACACCCTCAGCAAGTGGTAGGCTGGATCGTGAGTCTGTTAATCGTGGTAAACACGTTCGCGGTAATAACGCCGGTTCTCGGTCCGAGCTTACGATCGATCTTTTCGATCGTGATCACGGCAATCTTCTCGACGCACTTTTTCTCTCACTTGACCGTGCTTCTGTTAGATCCTGCGGACCCTCGAGTCAGAGCTCAGCCAACGAACAAGATCGTACCAGAATTCGACCGAGGAAAACATTCGCGTGTGATCGAGAACGGTAGGTGTCATCTGTGCAACATCACCACCGACAACAACCGTACGAAGCATTGCTCTATCTGTAACAAGTGCATCGTCCGATTCGACCATCACTGCAAGTGGCTGAACAACTGCATCGGAGCTAGAAACTATACAGCTTTCCTCGTCTGTTTAATCTCCGCGATTCTGGCCAGTCTGTTCGTCGCCGGTGTCGCCGCGACGGAATTGTTGCTCTCATTCTTCCCCGACCGCATCGTCATGTTGGAAGGTTCGAACGCCACCGGAAACGCCGTGCCTGCAATCCTGCCTCTCTCTGATGCAGTCTCGGTAGTGCTGGTCTCCGCGATCGGAATTCTATCCGCGATCGCAGCGATACTTCTGATCCACCTGTGCCTGTTCCACGGTTACATCGCTTGTCTCGGCCTAACAACCTACGAGTACGTACGCAATAAACGACGAAGAAACACGGTGACCGCAGCCGCCG